GGCAGGCCGGTGGTCTGGTTGCCGCTGTCGCTCATAGATGGCGGTAGCTGTATGGAGTTTTGTGTCGACATTTGTTCGCGGACACGATACCGGGGGAACTAGCCCTTAACAGCTCCGCTGTAATAAACGCAACTTTTAATGCGTGTTGATCATATTCGTCCAAACACGGTTAGAAATATTGTGCGCGGCATTATTTCTAAACCACACTAAAAGCATTTACTTTACCTCGTGTTCGAAACGGACTTAAAACAACCAACTCACGCGGTTCCCCTCGTGCTGTTGGCGCTTGACAGCTTATCGACAAGAGACTATGAAACGAATAGACACTCACAGATTATTACTACAGCTGCATTAGATCATCTTTTTTTTCGAAGCAATTGTTTTCAGAGGGCAAAGGAAGCATCGTGTATTTGTGTAAAAAAATGTGTTTGCTGCTTTTTTTCTTTGGCTCGATGATTCCAGACTGCCGTAGTTTAACTCGGTTATTTATTGATTCTCGCCAGTTCGGTTTTGGAGGACTGTTTCTCTCCCGCATAGCAGCAGTGTTTACAGGCACTGCTCGTGTATATTTTGAGATGGGACCGGCGTGTGAATGGGTTGTGACAGTTGCTTGCACGAGGGCAGTCATCTCCTTTCAAAACCAAGTCTATAATATCAGTGCTGATCGTCGTTTATACCTCATGTAGTGTCAGTAAACCGAGATAAACCTGCGGTCTCTGTGTTTTTTTATACTGCCTGAACATAATAAAACGGACGTCACACACTTTTTTGCACCGTGTCTAATTTGCGCACACTTCAGACATAAGATTTTATCGGGTCGGAATTTTTAGGCACGGCCCAAGCTTGGCCCAGCCAATATTTCGGCCCAAGCCCAGCCTGACCTGACCCCAATCTGTAAAGATCCCAAACCAAACCGGACCACCAATTTGGTCAATTTGCCCCGCTAAATTTAACGGGGAAATATTTCTGCTAAATATTTCCCACTAAATTTATTAGAAAAATTTCTCGCCAAATTTGGCGGGAAAATTTTACCCTTGTGACGTTACACGTGACGCCACTCGAACCGTAAAAATTTTGGTCAATATAGTGGGAAGATTTTTCCGCTAAGTTTAGCGGGGGAAATTTTCCCGGCAGATTTAGCGGGAAAATTTTACCCTCGTGACATCGCACGTGACATGAATGAATGTGACGTCGCATAGACCTCAGCAAAAAAATTTAGCCGCTAAATTTAGCGGGGAAATAGGTGTCACGTCACCTACACACCAATTCAGTTTTGCTGCTAAATTTAGCGGGGAAATTTTCGCTAAATTTAGTCGAAAAATGATAATAAATTTCCCACTAAATTCAGCGGAAATATTTCTACGTTAAATTTCGCAGGGAAATTTGTACTAATTTTAGCGGGAGAAATTTTTGCTAAATTTAGTGACAAATTTAGCTAAAATTTCCCACTAAATGGGAAGGGAGGGGCAGGAGGGGCACACCCTTCCCTCCTCAAGAGCCGCGCTCTAATAGACTCTTCGTGAAATTCAGTCTGGCCACTTTGATCACTATCATCATCTGAAAAATGACATATGTGCCATACTAGAGCCACCAAATCAGCTGCGCTTAGAGTAAAGGCACTCCTTTCCTCGACACTGCTGTGGGCGCCGCCATTTTGGGGCTTGTGCAGAGCAGAAGCAACAGAAGCACAGACAATGCCAACGTCCGTGTCAGCACGTTCTTTGCGTGTAGATGCAAGCATGAAAGTATGCTTGGCATCTACTATAATAACCAAGTGTGAGAAATAGTGGCTTCCTAGAGAAGAAGTATATGAACTATGTGAATAATCGCTTTTTTTTTTTTACCGATAATCACCGATTTTAGCCTCGTCGTTCCACCGAAATACACCGGTGTTTTGAAAATAAATAAACACCGAAAAACATCCGCCGATTTTTCTCACAAATAAACACTGGAAAGTACACACCCTAGTTATAACCATAGAGTTATTATAATGTACGCTAGAGGTTCAACTGGCGCTAGTGTCTATGCGACTTCCGGGAGGCAAATTGAAGCAGACAGCAACCAGTCTACTTTTACGGTGCTCCTGTGCATTCCTATGGGAAAACGCACGTGAATTTTGTCTATTCGCCGTAAAATAACACGAATAACTTTTGTTATTTCGGTTGTACCGGATAGTATGTACCTTTATTGATATTGTGAACGTGTAATTCATTGATTTACAACATTTTTCTTTACCACTGAACGACACCGGCTGTTGAACAGAGGTTTGAGCCTGAAATAGAGCTTCGCTCTATTTCAGGCTCAAACCTCTGTTCAACAGCCGGTGTGTAAAAACAAGCGACGATTCTAAGCAAAATAACAATCGAAAGGAATGTAGAGTGCGTTTAAGGTTCAATAGCATTCCGGTGGCGCTTATATATTGCAAATATGTCCGTTCTGTCACTATATGAAGACTCCGTCGTGCATCTTTACAGTCTGCTAAAAAAAATAAAGTATGTGGGCTACGAGAGGTGTGTCTTTTAATTATTTCCTATGTCGGGCAGTTTTAATCGGGCACCTGTTCTCTGGCTTCTCCCCATTCGGAAAGATCTGGAGCCTGCGGGTGATGATTTGAACCCAGAACATGCATCTTTGCACATATTCATGATCAGAACGAAGTACTTATTTATTACAAATCTGAGTATAGTACGTGACTCAATTTATTTGATCGTCTGCATGCACAAAGAGTTACTTATCCAGTGTTACCGTGTAGTTCTTGCCGTCTCTCTTGGTTTTCCACATGTCCTTCGTTCGTTTGGCACGTATGTCCCTCATGTTGAAAAGTGCCGACGCCGTGTTCGCGCTAACAGTGTCCGACAGTGCACATAAATACACGTACGAAGCGGTTTTAGCATCGTTTTTCGTGCCACGAATTTCAAATGAAAACGCTGTAACTGACCAATTATTTCGTCTGCGTGACTGAGAAAAGTTCCAAGCTACCTAGTACGTACGAATTATTCGTGATATTTGCTCTTATAATCGAGCGCAGAGAGAAAATGCACTCGCTTTTTCCCATAGCAATGCATTACCGGAAGTCAATTTCGGACTGGTTGCTGTCTGCTTCAATTTGCAGCAGCTCACTAGCGCCAGTTGAACCTCTAGCGTACATTATAATAACTCTATGGTTATAACCTCATTGGCCTCGCCCCCGGCCAAGGAAGATTGAAGGGTAGGAGAGGGCATGACGTCGGGAACGTAGCCTCCACAAGCCATGCTCCCTTGACGCCTAGCCTTTCTCATTTTCCCCCTTACTCTTTTCACTTACCATGCCAACGTGACCACATCACGTGACCGTAGCTAGCTTGAGTCTTGCCTATGGGGTACTAAAATACACCAGTCTAGCCTTCAATCTGATAAAACCTACCGGACGGAGCGCGCGCAAGCCTGCAAGGAGTCATTCTACAAGCAACCATCCACCTCACAAGTGACATGTCACGCGCACCAATCACCAGAGAGATCTGCGGTCACGCTGGGCACAAAATCGTTTAAACTTTTTATGACTAGGCTTCACCAATATTGCAACGTGCCCCCTCCTAGTACTTCTGACCTCCTTGCCTCCGGCCACGACGAGAGAAGAGAGGGAGGAGAGACTCCCCTTTCCGAGAATTCCTTTAGTGTGTCCCAGAAGTCGCTATTGTCCCTCTACAAGATTATAGAAGATGAACCCGTCACTCAAAATTCGTACAAAAGCAGCTGCTTCGGTCGCAGGAACGACTAGGCCATCCTTTCGACGTCAGCCTCGCCGTACCTTTGCTCGTCCCGACACGAACTACGTCACGATTACGTTGGATGTCACGTGCTCTCCACTGGCTGGTCTCCGCGCGCTTGCCAGAGGGGGCAGTTTATAACGAATACAGCCATTAAAAATACAAATGTGCAATCTGTCGCTTACAGATATTATGGATCATAATCAACCTATTTTTGAACACGACGGGTATATTTCAAGTTTCGTTAAACAAAACGAATTTTTTTTTTTTTTTTCTTGACTATTTTTGGTACATTTGCACTTCGGAGCACAACCGCACAGCGAAAGTGGATTGGCGCAGAATGGTGCAATTGGCGCAGCGCTTCCACCCCTGGCAGCCCGTCTTATGCACAATTTATTCAGAGAGCTTAATTCCCTACCTGCATTAGTGGCACAGCCAAGGTATAGGCTTAGGGGATTTCAAACCGCCACTCCCTTCCAGAAAAACGTTTCAGGCATCGCCACTGGTCTGCATCACACCTATCAGTCTTACTAGTGCTTAACACTAGTTCGTTATTGGTTTAACTACTATTGTACAGTGTTCACAGAACACACAGCCTGTCTTTCCTCACGGGAGCGCTATCCTGGCGGTAGCCAAGCGACAGTTTTGTGATGTAGCACTCGACAAACACTCCCGGGTTACTTCAAGGAGCCGTTGTTTAGCTTCATCCAAAATGGCGCTGCAACGAGAAAACGTGCAGTCCCCGTGTCCCGTACAAGCTTAACTAGCACTAGACATGCAGATTCTTTTGTTTCGAGTTCCACACCTGCCCTGCAATGTCTCCATACCCTTGTGGGCAAGACAAACAGAAAGATCTTAGGTTCATGGCACGAGGTCGCTCGTGCCATGATAGAGGACCAAACAGCCTTCGAGAACGAGGCAGACATGCAGTTTCTAAGAAATGGTTCGGAGGCCCTCTGGGTTCAGCGAGGAACCTTCCGGCAAAAGCATAAACATTAAATTCACTGTAGCACCCCAGTAACACTTCCTACTGAAAAGTGATCGGATTCACACAGCGGAAGAGTTTATCCCAAGGGATTGGAGTGGCACATGAGGCAGAATTTCCGCTCTCCTACTTGTATTGCAATACTGGTGCAACGTTCCCCAACCGCGTTGCAGAGTACTTTTGTTATGGCTCCCCAGTCGAACGTTCAAATGTAGCTCCTTTGACAACTTCATGCTTTGGTCACTTGGTGCCATTGTGTGACGAAGATGTACAGTACAGCCGTTTATTTGCGACTGCGACACTGCAGTTGCAACACTCAGCAGTGAAAACACGAAACTTTTAAAAGAGACGAGGAAGCGTTTTGCTGAAGCCATCGATAATATTAAGTCATAAAATGAGTTTACAACAAACAAGAAAAATTTTTAAAAACTAAATTCCCACCGCGAAACGAATTTGTAGTTGGCGCCCGCAAAGAAGTGGCTGCTATTTATTGCATGGTCCTTCCGCTCTTTCAGGAGCTTCCTTTGGCCTCTAAAAGTACTTATTCATCTTCGTTTGGAGTGCAACAAAACAACAAAAATTTCAGATTAATAAGTAACTTTTAGAGCCCAAAGGAAGCTCCTAAAAGAGTGCAAGCACCACATGATAGACTTGTGCGCCAGTCAAAAATTGACGGCAGCGGCGCGCCAAAGCGTTCCCTTCCGGTGGCGGCGTGGAGAAATGCATTGAACCGGCGGCGCACCATGCTCAGCGTGCGGCTCCCACAGGTGCCAACTGCAAACTCGTTGGCGCCGTAAATATAGCCCTAAAAATATTTTTTCTTTGTTGTAAATTTGTTTTATGACATTCTTTTTCCATATAGGCTGTTTAAATAAAATGCTTTTTCCTTCGCATGCGTCCTTTAAGATGATCTAAAATGAACAAAAACATTAAAAACCAAAAAACTCCAACAAAAATGCAGACTAGCTAGCCCAGACTGCCAGGGACCCCATCCCACTAATCAGTAATACGACTAGACAATTTAAAAGGTTCGAGCAGCCCAGGGTATCGTGAAGCTTCCAGGTCCAAAGCATTTACCCAGCGAAATCGAGAGAGCGTATACACGGGGCAAACAGGGAAACCATAACCACGGGTGCACAGTAGCAAGTCTGAAGTCTCTACAGTGTCACTGAAGGCCGAGACGACCGGCTCGCGAGTTGCCGAAACCAAAAGGCGTCCCATGCGCGCCTTCTAAGTCACACCCAACACGTACACATTTCCTTTACACCAGTCAGATGGACACTCCCATCTTGTCGAGTTTCACGTGGTCTACTAACAAAGAACAAGTCACCCCGAGCGCCGAACCCGTCGCCCAAGCGTCGAACCCGTCGCCCCGAGCGTCGAACTCGTCGCCCCGAGTGCCAAACCCGTGACCTCGAGCGACGCATCCCACAGTCGGCACGGCTCAGTCGCTGATTTCGGTGATGACAACCGAGGACACCTCGGGTCTTGGCGCCTGCGGTTGTGGTGGCGCATGGTCGTCTTCCTCGCTCACAACCGGTATTGGCTGCGATGTGGAGCCCATGCGCTCAAGCATTTTCTTCCAGGCCTCCGCCTGCTGGTACTCCGCAAACTTCCTCGCCATAAACGGCGTCGCCCCCTTGGACACGGCCTGCTGGTAGGCGGCCCTGTATGCCGCATTGTAGGCCTGCTGTGCACTGCTGCTCATTTGTTGCGCAGGCCTCCACTGTGATGTCCCCGGAGGCCTCCCTCGTCGCACTTCTTGGTAAGGCATTTGCTGCTGCTGCGGCATTCCCTGCCGCGGTGGCATCCCCTGCTGCGGCATCCCCTGCTGCGGCATGCCCTGCTGCGGCATTCCCTGCTGCGGCTGCACATGCCGAAAAAAGCCATGGTTGAAGACACTCTGCGTGCCTTAAAACGAGTGCGTCTGAGTGTTGCACGGCATGCTCCCGTGCAACTTTTCAGTTGTCTACGTTCCGGCTCTAACGGAGAAATAAGACTGAGAACTCTCAAGTACCAAGGTCTGGAGTTTGGTGAGCACTTGATTCAGTTGTTGCAGCGCCACACCAGCCTGCGTGAGCTGGTTCAGGATGTGCGGTGGCACCACCTGCTTGAGCCTCAGGTACTGCGTAAAAGACAGAGGCCTGGGTGTCATCATTTGAACAGCACTGCTCAAAAAACATCAACAGTCACTAGAAGACTTTTGTCTACATCTCTCGAGAGCACGTCAGACGGTAACTCCAGTTCTCGGGATCGGCGGGCATCATCACTATTGTTCGTTGGCACTGCCTTCGCAGTCGTTTGGTGCGTGCACGCAAGCTACGCACACTGCTGAACAATTTCCTTTCATTCTAGAAATAGCAAGCTCACAGCTCATCACATGATCTGCTCTAAACATGTAGAGAGAAACGCAGATTCATCGTGGCTAGCACTTGAGTCTTATTCTCTTCAAGCTGATGCCGAGTAGGGTTGTTTTGCTTGCCTAAAACCCAAAGTTTCACTGCATTGTTTCACTTTCTCTTTCTCACTGATGCTTCATAGCAAGAGATAAGTTCACATCCATATTTAAAGAAAATAGGATATTTATTACGATAACACAAATGTTAAAAATAAAATACAAACGACCATCTGAAGTGTGGTGACTGACAGCAGCAGCTGTTATGTTGTTGAAAGATGTACTTCAGGAGCTTTGCTTCTAGTAGATTATTTGTAGATGATGAGGTCTAGGAGATATGTGCTTCTATGGAATATTTTTGAGATGTGCTCTTAAGAGATATGCTTTTGGCAAGAAAATGACACTGAGATGTACTTTTGAGATGAGGAGAGAACGATAGCACGGCTGAGTGGGTGTTTGCATGCGGGCACTGCTGGATTTCACCGGAAAGGGGCACTAACAGCTCTTGCAGTAAGACTCAGTCCCGAGCAGAAATTTCCAAAAAATTAATTTCCCCAAGTGCATCCCAGCGTGTGACACTCACCTCTGCCCTCTTTTCAAACGCATCCATCTGCTGTTTCTTGAAGTACCCCTGATAGGTCAGCAAAGTCGTCTGCAAGTGCCTACTCAGTTCTGTCTCGGTCATCATTGGGTTCTGCAAAGAAAGCAGCCGACAAAATCAGCAAGCTGCAAAACGTCTCGAAATACAGGGTGCACACAATCATATACAATTTCCAACGAGCCATGACAGTAGGAAGCATGCAACTAAATCTATAAAGCCTTGTCTCATTAAAATAGACTACACCAAAATGTACACCCCGCTATGTAGACAAAATTTTCGGGGACAAACTGCTTAAAGGGATGCTGAACCGAAATCTGGATTCCCCAAAACACGCGGCAAAAGCGTGCAACGGGATGCTAAAAACACCAAAACATCACTCATACAGCGATATCTCGAACGGATGACCGTATTTTTTTAAAAAAAGAGGCGCATTTGGCAGGAGTGTTGATGTCATGTTTCTCCGAGAAGAAGAAACGGCCTCGTGTCTTCTCCGCCTCGCAGTCTTGAGGGAGCGAAGCGAAGAGAGGAGGCAACTAGGTATCTTGACGTCACGCGCCTCGTCGGCTTTGTTCGATCTCGACTTCTTTTTCCAAAAATACGGCCGTCCATTTGAGATATCGCCTTACTAGTAGTGTTGTAGGGATTGTAGCGTCCCGCCTACATCGCTAGCATTGCTTTTTTTGATTTCGGTTCACCATCTCTTTAAATACAGGCATTTTCGTCCCGCCATTGCAGACAACTTGCATTAGGGACAATGTTTCGGGGAAAATGGGGGTTGTGTTTATCAATGAGATATGACTATGTAAAGGTGCAGGCACGCAGTTAGGATATTTTTCCGGGAGAGAGAGAGAGAGAGAGAGAGAGAGAGAGGGGGGGGGGGCACCCATGACAAAATGTTGCATGAGGGGGAGGGGGAGAGGAGGTCCCAGCAAAATGGAAGATTTCAGGGGGTGGGGGCCCGGGCCCCATGACCCCCCCCTACTTCCTGGCTCCGTGCCTGTGAAAGTGTGTAGTTAGGCAAGTCGGTGCACGAGATCAAATGAAAGGGTACAAAAGAAAGACACAAGGACGAGGAAGACACACAAACACAGCGCCGACTGTCGACTCCTACGTCGAGAGTCAGCACTGTCCGTTTTCCACTTCCCCGTGTCCCTTTTTTTAATGCGAAAGCATGAACTATCCCATGGAGCGAAGCCGGCGGCATCTATAACCGCAAAAAATTCAAAAGAAATGCTCATTCTCCCATTGGCTGAGCAAAACTGCTTCTAGGTAGCCCTTGGTGGCTGCTTCACAAGAGTGCGCGCTTCGCCGCTTTCGCGGCAGGCATTGCTGGAGGAGGGGGGAGGGGCTCGGTATTTTATGCGAGTGTTTTTATTTTTGTTCTGTAATTTCCTCTGTAATTTTATTTTTGAAATATTTTGTTACCTTAGTGTTGTCGCACCTATTAACGGGAGTGAAAATTATATATATATATATATTTTTTTACGTTTAGTTGAAATTTATTATTTTGAAGCCACACTGATAGGTTGTCCAGATGGTTATTTGTCATAGATTCTAACGCCGCTTTAGAGGTTGAAGCAGAAGACACGTTAGCGTTGTCTGCGTACATGACAAGCTCAGGCAATCTCAAAATAATTGTGATATCATTCACATAAAAAAGAAATAAAAGGGGGCCCAAAATAGACCCTTGTGGAAGACCATACTTTACTTTGAGTGTATTAGAAAAATTGTTAATATAAATATACTGCACGCGATTTTCAAGGTAGCTTTTTATTAAACTCAAAGCAACCCCCTGTATGCCATACCTTTGAAGCTTAATTAGTGATGTGTCATGCTGGATTGTATCGAAGGCCTTTCTAAAATCTAGGAATAAGCCTAAGCTCTATAATTTATTTTCAATGTTGTTTATAATTTTATCCTTTACTTCTACAAGTGCCTGCTCTATGAATTTAGATTTCTAAAAGCCATATTGACATTTGTCTATTACATTGTGCCTGAAAAACAAAGTAACCCCTTCAAGTTTTCAAGAAAATTGGCAAAACCGAGATTGGTCTATAATTCTGTAGAAGGTGTTCCCCGCCACCCTTGCAAATCAGAGTAACTCTTGCAATTTTCAGTTCCTTAGGAAATATTCCAGTTTCTGGAGTATGATTGATTATATGCAAACCCATCCAATCTGCCTTGCTTGTTTTGCAAAATGGTGGACAATATTGAACAGTCAATGCCGGAATGTTGAATTCTTTGGTGATTTCGGACTTGAGCTGGCCAACCTTGCAGATCTAAGTGACTTTCGGTAAACACTCCCCATCTCCCATACGATGCCCGTGTGCATGTAGTACACCGCAGGTGCGCCCGCGCAGGTGCGCGTGTCGGGGGCTCCTGAAGGGATTATCTCCTCGGCGCTCCATCGCTTCCTTGACCCAATTCTGACAGGAGTCGTGAAGCGTGCCGCAGGCACCGTGAGTGGCATCGGAACGTTGACACTGCTCCCGCTGCTCCCTGTCCATGTCAGTGCATCGGTGTCGGTTAGCGGCGCTGTGCCAGCTCTACGCGCTTTGCCTTCTGTCACCTGTTTACTCAGTTTTCCCAGTTTGCTGTTTGCCTCAGTGGAGAGAGGGGGAGGGAACGCAAGGGTCTCCGTGCGTGTCCGTGTAGACTTGCATACTTTCGGCACCTGGGCCTTCGTAATAAGCGCGGTCGGCCGCCGATACATTTAGAATAATTCGGTTAAAAATACGTGCATTTCGGTCGGGACCACATTGAACTTCGATAAAAGCAATTTCGTTATAACGAGAGATTACCATACAACAAAAACAGAATATGATAAAAGGATTTTCACCGTATTCCCACACAACATTCTTTGTACAAAAGTAAGCAGACGGCTTATAGGATACCATCCAGACGCTTCTTTTCTTTTAGATTCATGCTTGATTTTATGATGCAAAATGAATGCGTGGATTGAGGGTCAGATGCTGTTCCGAATTTCGCGGATGCAGTACGGATGCTGACGGAAAGTCTGCAGGTGTGGATTAAATGGGGATGATCAAACTTGTCCGTGCAGGGCTCTACCTAGAAGCCTTCACACTACAGTATAGACCACTTACAACGTAACCGCTTATAGTGCAGGACCGGGTATAACGCGGCTTTTTTAAACCACCGGTTCGCCTCCCATAGAACTCCATGTAATTACATACCGCTTAAAATGCAGGCGCGCGAAGGGAAATACCGGTTATAGTGCGGTTTTCGGAACAGCCCGGTGACCGCGCCGACTGACCGACGCAGAGAGCACGCTTCCCTGTGCGACACTAGATAACAGCGCGAGCCGCAAGCGGCACTCGCGGGGCAAGGAGGTTGCTCGAAGAAGTGGGGAGAAGCGAAGAGAGAGGCTTCAGTCGCCATAGCTACGGAGGGACGTACGCATGTGTCGTTCACATGCGTGCGTCCCTCCGCTCTGTGCGTTGGAAACAACTGCAACGACAGACCCAACGCAGGTCGAGGAGAAGTGTTTGCACGCGTTGCATGCCGGTCGCGGGCCGGCCGGCCGGCTGCTTCTATCCGCAAACATGGAGTCGGTTTTGATCGTCGACGTAGACGGCGTGGTAGAAGCTAATCGTTCCACGTAAAAGCGCTATCCTTGACTGTGAATTTTCGTTGTGTGTCGCTATGATAACCCAGCACATACTAGAAGGGAAGATCCGCCTACTCGTGCGGCGATGTTGTGGCAGCACTCTCAAGACAACAGAAACGCCCGTGTCGTCGTGTTTGTTTACTTTGACTACAGTGGTGCTTTCTAAGCATTTGTGTTTTCGAACATCGCCCGGATATCTTATTTGGAGCATTTCAGCCTACGCTCAAGTTGAAAGTATTACTGGCGCGTACCATATAAAGGATGCGAATTTTCACGCGTTTTCATCACCGGAGAAAAGTGATTAGGGTTAGCAATCCTGAACGCTCGCAACGTCCGTCTGTAACCCGCGACGCCGTTAAAAGGCTGCGCCAGGCAAAAGTCGCTCATTTCTTTCAAAATGTGTGACACACTTGAGAGAGAAGTCTACTAGTCTGGTGAAATAAAGACTTTCCTCAAACTAGGCTTTATTTTTCATCTAACATAAAATGAATTCTTTTACAAAGGTAAGTTGTCTGATGGCATGCATTTTGGCCTGAAAAATTGATGCTTTGGTTATAGCGCGGTACCGCTTATGGTGCGGATTTTCGCGACTCCCACGACATACGTTATATGCTGTCTACACTGTATCTCACTAGTTGGGCACTACTGCAGAGGCTATGGGCGAGCGAGAGGAAAGCCTCTTTTGTACAAATTCTGAATGACAGGCTAATCTCCAAGGGAGAGCAAAGTGATGTGGGGTTCACAAGAGAGGGTCTGGGTAAGATCGGGATTCCCTTCTTTCCCTCCTTTTCAACTGCTCGGGTTACACTCTCGCACCTGTACCTTTGGCAGTGCTGCTCCCAACTAGTGAGATAGAGTAGAATAAATTTTTCAACTGATCTACTGCTCCATTACTTGGTCGCCCCCACATTCAACACTGACCTTCAATGTATTGTAAAATCACTCATGGTTCAATCTCAGAAGTACTTCCGACATTGCATAATTTATACTTTGCGGTATCTAACCATGTGCTAAACAATTCTTTAGTTGAGCAGATGTTTCCTTATTGTTCCTGAAAACAAAGGCAGGTGAGCTATAGATTTTTTTCAGGACTGACCTACCGATTGAGAGGCTAACCCAATATTTGCCATCAGGAAAAAAAAAAAAAAAAAACTGAAGAAGCTCGTGAATTTTTAATGGGTTCGATCAAACAATAAGGAGAAAAGCACCAAGTCCAGTGCTTCCCCTTTAGCATTATTACAACAGGTATGGGTGCCTCTTTGATGCATAACTATTATGCCAACCACGTTCTAGAGTGTGAATTACCGTTTACAAGATCTGTAGGCGTCTGTACTGCTTTACTGCATCAGTGCCCAGAGCAGGAGGGTTTCACCGACAGGGTGAGGATGGCGGGTAGGAGCTTCAGTTCCTTCCCAAACCTTTGACGATGCTTTGCTGCCTGGCGAGCTTCGAGCGCATGCACCCAGCCAAAGCATGGTGGAAAGTGCGTGCTTGAGGCTGGGCATTCCAAAGAAGCGCCATGCAATTCTAGCTCCGTCGGTGACTACATCAGTCTGGACAAAATGGGGATTCCTCGCGACTGAAATGTTTGAGGACCCCTGCTCTAAGTTCAGCCTATTTAGTGGCTCTCGGCCCAACACGGAAAACATCCAAGGCGAATCGTTCCGCAGCACTTGCCTTTGCCCGGATGTCGCCGATTAGTTTGTGCAGGTCAAGCGAGAAGTACTGCTGCTGGCCTGACGCATTGCTGTTTCGCAGCAGTTCCTCTAGAAGAGAAGACAAACGCCACATCAGCGCTGCCCTTCAGAGCCAAAACACCGAATCAGACACGTTGCGGGGGAACGCTGCTCCCAACAGGTTGTCTGCACCCAGCTTGGCAAGGGTAGGGTCTCGAGTACCAAAATAAGGCGGACAGCATTCCAACACAGACGGCCTTGCACTACGATAATGTTTACTTTATATTACTATATACTTAGTTCCACCTCGAGTCCCGATGCAGCCGACGCCACGAGCTGATGGCACCAAGTAAACGGCGTCAAAAGCGCAAGTCATTAGGCCTTCCACATACATGATTGGCACGGCGATTATAGAATGCATTCATGAACATGACGAATGCCACATTGCTGCGCTTTTGACGCTGTTCGATTAGCTACCAGTGTGATGGAACGCCACGAAAAGCATTATGAAATGTGCAAAACATACATCACTCAAGAACATGTAACTGTAAAGAAATAGTCATTGACCGAGAAGGAAAAACTAAATTCCAAACAGGAATTGAACCCAAGACCTAACGATTAGGAGCTTCGATACAGGCGCAATGCAAGCTGCCTTTGCCTCTACTCAGTTTGAATGTGCACACCTAAAGCCTGCGTCTGAAATGTGAGTGGACACAAAGGCGGCTGGCTTTCTTAGTCATTCCAAACGGATCTCTGGGCTCCGACATCCACACATGCTCTCATTTCCTACTCTCCCTCTGTTTCTATTCGTGTAACAAAAACAATACAAAAACCTAAAAAGTGTTTCTTTAGAAGCTTTGAAGAACGCAGCGGGAACATATTTTGTGTACATCAACATCAAGGAGGGACACTACCTGGGAACGTCAACTTTTGAACAGCTCGTTCAATCGGCGTAATATTTGCAGATGGCGTTTGTAGTCATATAGAAGAAGGGCATGCAAAGTTTCAGTTGTGTGAACCAATTTCTATACCCCCAGAACAAAGTGAAGCATAGCTTTGATTGGAATACTGCTCAATGAATATCAGTGAGGAATGATGTTGATAACCACATATTTTTCTAGTGGAATGCTTACTGGAATACCTTTTGCCGATTACTATAAAAAGAAATTTACAAAAAATAAGCATTTTTCAAGCTAAAAAAAGAAATTATGAAATTTTTTTTTTTACATTTATTATGTTTTCCAAATTAAAAATTTTTCATAATGAAGGAACATGAAAATGCAAAATCTAAGCTCACAGTAACCGGCTCCATAAAAGTTTGGCACATAAGTCGTAAATATTAAGTTTCTCGATACTTTCATACTGAACCGATAGGTTTATTAAGGTGGGATTTACTGCCAAAAAGCTGAACGGAGAAAAACGCGTTCAAAGTGCTCGAACCTCTACCTTTTCTTTAGCAGCATCGCAAAACTAAAAACAATTTAGAAAGAAAAAAAAAAGAGCTATGCTGTGTAAACAAGTGAAACTTTCTCTGAATACTCTCAACATGTTGGTGGATGTAAATATGGCATTTTTCAAAATCAAATTTTTGTGGAGAAAATATTTTTTTTTTTTGGGAAGTGTCCTTCTTTAACCTTGGGATTGCAATGAATTTTATCCTTGAGCCAATCCTTACAGTAATATCAGGAAAGCAGAAAAGACTGTGTTGTGGCACAGATGAGCGTGTCCACACCACAAGATGCTCGACATGGGTGGCACCAGGCCACGTATGACCTGTGACAAAGTTCGGTTAAAGGTATGGCCGTTTCATGCTTCGAAATATACACGCCGCTTCAATAAAGTCACGGAACACCCCGCGTTAGCTCGACTTACTCCAACTACTCGTTGGGAACGTCCGTGGAAGTCTACAAGTCGACGCTGCGTCGACACCGAGGAATTTGACACAATTAAATTGAGCGCATCCTCACCCGCGTGTTCGACGACGCAGCAAGGAGAACTAAAAAAAACACACCTTTCTCGCGCAGCTTAAAGCTTGTTCGCATTCTAGTGCAGTTGAGCGGGTTGCACTGGCTTACAACGAACACACTGGGGCCAGCCCTGAAACGCATCTCGATCGGCATTTACACTATGCATAATTTTTGCGCTACATGCGCGAAATAATTTCCACAATATTATGAGACCGTTTCTCGTAAGGTTTGATCCCATATATATATACTGCGAAGCCTAATGATAGCATATTGGAGGAGTTCCGGGACAACCTGATAGATGGCGCCAGCTTGCCAGTGCGAGCTCTCGTTGCAAGCGGCTACAACGCCGCCCATCACACTTGAGCACAAGTGTGTGAATCACTCTTCAGCAATAGCTCCGTTTCACTTTAGGCTTGATCGCAACTAACGCTATCATTCGACACAGCCAGCCAAGCAGCACCACAAGTGGATCGTGGATTGTGGGCTTGCCACCACCACCTCAACCGATCGTGCGGGAAAAAAAAAAAAAAAGTATGATCGGGGTGCATTTTTTGCGCGCGATCGGTTCGGTTGTCGGTAGCAAACACACAAAGGTGACGAGCGCCGCGGCGACGCGCTTTTGGCCTTGCTCGATCGGCTCCGTTGAAGCGTATGGCGTCGGCTGCGGTCACACTCAAAGTGAGATGGAGCACGGTACTTTGGCGCTCGATGCGAAGGAAGAGAGGGCAGGTCGAACCGACCTGCGTCGCTGGCGGCCCTGCGTCCTTCGTCCTTGAACTCCTCCCAGGCCAGTTTCCTTTCCTCCTCCGTCAGGTCCTCCTCCACCACATTCTGAAGCAGCGAGTCGTGCTCGTGGTACGACACTATCCAGTGCTGGTGTTTCATCAGCATCTCGGCCAGCAGGCGGTCCTGAAAAGGGCAAAAACGGCATCGGCTTTCTCTTTGCGAAATGTGTATGGGATGGCTGGCAACCAATCACGCAGAGCGAATGCAATTCTGCGCCGCTTCTATGCGCGCAATTGCTTTTGCCGGCGACAGCGTACCCACAAGGACAACGAGCGCTGTGGTGATGCACTTTGGCTCCACTGCATTCGCCTCATCAGACCGTAGTGTCGTCTGCGGTCAGGGTGTAGACGTTTTGTGTCGGCTGGGGACGTTGCGAGACGCGCGGTAGCAAAAAGCCCAGACCCGGTTTTAATACGGCGTCGCAGTTAGCGAAAGGCAATCAATGCGTGAAATGTCACGTTTGACTAATTGGGGTTTACTCGTGCAAAAGTAACCTAGGCCACAATCTGAGAATCTTCAAGTTCTATCTGGTCCCCCAAAGGAGCATCCTGCTTAAAAAAAAAATGTATAAATTGTAGGACAGACAGGTTTGAACACAAGTTTTCACCAAAGAGGTCTACATATTGAGCCTTTAAACAAGTTTCCGTACAAAGTTGCACCCCGCTCGAAAAAAAAAACTAAGGCAGTTCAGTCCATTCATCTAACATCCAAACGTCCCGCACGTGGAATGCATTAGTGGTGCATGCACAAGTGTGCCACTCGAGACTGACGTCACAGTCATGAGATGTGATGCCACATCCCACCACGGCTTGACACGCAACGTTACTAGATCCAATACCGCTGTTGATACCGCGATGTTACACGACAGCACGACTTCACATGACCCGACGTTCCACGACACTGCAACGAGACTCGACGCACGCCACGTGCGTCGCTTGACCCGTAGTGGTGTCCCACTACATTTAGCCGACGTCGTCACGGCCATTGGCACAGTACAGCTACGGTGACACAGCCCAAATCCGGACTTCGCTTGCATTAAAATACTTTCTGCACAAACAAACATCTGCTCAGAAACGATATGTACCTTGGGCACCATCGGGGTGGGCCTGTTGCTCTTGCTGTCTGGACTGAAGCTGTACAGTTCCATGAGATCGGCCGCATTGAAGTGGCGCTCGATCTGCTGCTCGTCCACTACCCGGCACGCCAGGGACTGCTTCGTCACCTGCCGATCGTAGATCTTCTCCTCCATCGTCCCCTGCAAAGCCGTCTGCTTTGTCAGCGACGCAGGTTCGTCTTCTAACACGGAGTGCATTTTATCTGTGTTCTTTTATAAAATAAAACGTCGTGCCGATGGGTTTTTTGACAGTTGAGTCTTGGATGAACCAAGACGCAACGAAGAGCTGCTTTCACCAATTCCCCTCCAAGGCCAGCACGGTGCTTCTCTCAAAATCAACTCCGTGGCCGGTCATCCAACGCACAAAGGGGAACGTGAATCATTCTTTAGGGTTCCCTGCCCAGCAGCTACGTCTCCTAACTGTGTGACGTCAGCAAAGCCCCATACATCCGTATGTGCATTTAAGCGACGCGTGTTCTTTACGTCACTCACCCGCAAACAAGAGACCAAACTCATTCTTGTGATTTTCTTCTAAATGATTAAGAAGTAATACAGAATAAATGTACAAGTGCTACCAAAAGAGTACATAAAAAGCCTTACAGTAAAGACTTACTCATCGTTAATGAAATTAGCAACTGGAAATATAAAGGCACCAAACGTACACATGCTACTTAGAAAAGACAAAATAAATGCCATGATAAAGAGCCACGTAACAATGAAACAAACGTGTCATGGTTTGTTGTCTGTGCGATTTCGCTTGTCAACTCATCCCAGTGGACTACGACCTGCAGAAGTGGGGAAAATTCATACAAAAAATATCTTTTGCCTTTCGTATATCGTTTTTGCATAGACGTGCACACTCTACGCACAATTGCCAGTCATGTTCCGTACTTGAAAATTTGGCCTTTCTGAACGGTCTTTTCTTTTTCAAGATCACCCGTTTTACACTTTGCAAAAACCAGGGACTGTTCTCACTTGGGGTGATAACCAACTTCGGGATAAAGTTTTCACGTATCAGTATTAGTTAATTTTACAGCGGAGCTGCTACGGGCTTGCTCCCCCAAGATCGTGTCCGTCAGCAAACAAACGATGACACAGAACTCGGGACAGCTACCACCATCTATGCGCGACGGTGGCAACCAGACAACTGGCTTGCCGGTTCTCTGGTTGCCGCCGTCGCTCATAGATGGCGGCAACCTTTCGAGCATTTCCACTCTGGCCTGCCGACTAGCGGCCGGCCATTATTTTATTCCCACGATAGTACATACAGGTTCACTGGTCTTCCTTCTTCACCAGAGTGTAAAGGGTGAAAGTCTTTTTTATAAATTGCCAATTGTCTTCAACTGGGCATGCGTGGCACTCGCTTACATATTGCGCCAGAAAATCCGACAAAGAATCTTTGATGGCACCGCTATTTGCCTTAGAATAATCATAAATGACCCTTCTAAAATCTACTCTCTTTCTCATAGTTTTACGGTTGCAAATTTCATCGATAATACATACAGTCATGTTCTTGGGGGGGGGGGGGGGGGGGGTTACAAACAAAATGCTGTACGGCATCACCTCGTGTAGGCTGATTGATGAGTTGTACAATTGAAAAAGAATTTAACAGCATAATAAAGCTTGAACACTCTTCTTCCCGTCAACAAGTGGTACACACACCAAGGTTAACCCAGTCAATTCCTCGGCAATTAAAATCACCAGCCAAAATAATCGCTGAACGTGGATACTTTGATTCAATATGTTCGAAGACAATGGTTAATTCATTCGCAAATTCATCGGTTGATGCAGGCGGGCAACAGCAAACATCGACCATAACATTTTGAAAAGAAACACCAGAAATAGACACCCGAAGGGTTTCAGGAGGCAAGTCCACGGGCAGCACAGTGCAGGTTATGCCCCTGAGGACCCCGTCTGGTCCCTCGGTCTTTACGAAATATGCTGAAATCTGTGCTTAGTAGTAATCCAGAGTTTGGAGTCGTATCGGAAAGCCATGTTTCGGTTTCAATGATTACTTCGAGTAAACAAGAAACGATAATGCCCGCTAGCTCATCCTGCTTAGATAGGATTCTGAAATTTGCTAAAAGAAAAGAAAGAGGGCAGTCTTGTCTCCCGGAGGCAACGGGTTTTGGCAGCTTTGGGATTGCTATTGCATCACTGTGGACGCACATGTGCCGTATCAGAGGCTCTAGGCTCTCTCGGGATAAGTAGTACTCTATCAGTTTCAGCATCGTACATGTACATCAGGTTGTTCACAGAAAGTTTATCATAAACCAAGTTTACTCTATCGCTTGTAGTGTCGCACCGACTTCCCGAAATCCCATATCTTCCAAATTAGCCTTACTGCGCATGAACGTCCGAGCAGACAAACTTGAGTACCGTACGGCTAGACCTCGGAAAGTTTGTAATGCATCCGAAGGACGCAACTTCCAGTTACGGCGTGCCGAGGAGGCTTCTCGTAGACCAAATACGGATAGGGCACGGGAGCAGGATTGAGAGTGGAAGCAAAAAATGACACGAAATATCCTCTAATCGTGCTCAAAGGGGGGGGGGGGGGAAGCGATGACCATGGCGAATTACACAAGTGCCGAGCCGCCGTCGCCGCAACACGTGTTACGCAATCTCTTTCGGTTCTTGCGGAGTCCCCCCTCTAAAAAAAAAAACAACAGCCGCTGCCCGTACCTGAGCAAGGAAGCGGTAGATGAAGACCGGCTTCTTCTGCCCAAAGCGGTAGACGCGGAAGATGGCCTGCACGTCGTGTGTGGGGTTCCACGAAGCGTCCATGAGCACCACCCGGTTCGCCCCCACCAGGTTGGTGCCCAGCGAGCCTGCCTTGGTCGAAATAAGGAACAGCCGTCCCCGTGGGTTCGACTCGTCGTTGAACATCTCGATCCAGCGCTTGCGCAGGTCCACGGACGTCGAGCCGTCCATGCGGAAGTAGTCGATGCCGGAGATCCACGTGTTGTGGCAGTCCTGCAACGGATCGCTTGGATCCTCCCCCGTGGCGTCAGGCTGCACCGCGGAGGCGCGTTCGTCGCACTGCTCCAACAGCTTCTCCACCATGTTGAGCGTCAGAAGGCTCTGGCTGAACAGCAGGCTGTGCACCGCACACGAGCAGATGTCAGTGAACAACAACGCAACGCCGACAAACCTCTAGACCATCGCACTATTAATCTCAGTTAACCCCAGGGGGGGTAAAGACGGGAGCAAACCGCGACAAATCACAATCACCAGTGGTCCTGAACGAAAGCAAGAGCGACAAGAGCAAAGAAAGAAAATAGACAATAAGCAAGGCGGGTTTGTATTGCCACCATGAGTCAAGTGGTTTGTGTGCTCACCAACTATAATTTTTCTGCAATGCACGACACCAACCTTTTTGTAAAAAATAAATATAAAAAAAATCACTACAGACGGACCTTGCGAGTGATGTTTTCCTGCTTTTTTGTGTATGTTTGAGCACAGCCTGCATACACAAAGTCGGTGGTCCCGTCGGGGCCACCGTGGGACCACCGCGATGCTGGCGTCTCTGCCCCGCCCTTCCAAACCGGCCGAAATGCATGGAACCATTCTGACGATTATAGTATAACACTACGGTTCACCGCTTGGCTGAAAGGGCGGCTGAATCCGCTAACAACGCTCCAGCCACCGCGGTACTAAAAATATTTGCTGCCAATCATTCGAAGTCGCAACCGAAATCCCAGTAAAAGCTTTACTGTCCTCCAAAAATGTTAAAGCAGCTTGCGACGCAGGAAGACGATATCATATCGCCCGAGTCTCCCGACACCGCATCTAGAGCTCACGAAGTTTCATTGTCGAATAGGAACGATCAGCAATCACGGTTGCTCTACACTGAGCAACGAAATGTCGGCACCCACAAGAAGGTCGGGGAATGGAGCGTCCTTACTCCGAAGCATAGCTCATCTTGCGGTCCCAATTGGACTCATTGTACATTGATTTTTTCCCTACGGCCACGCCCCTGCCCACAGCAATCTGCAGAAAGCAGACCACTAACTGGGCGAATTGGCGGTTCATGCTATTTAACGTCGTAGTGCACGAGAAAAAAAAACACTCACAGACACTGGCACACTACCGAACTCTTGGCAAGTCTCACAATGTACTACCGAGGAAAAGTGTACAAAGTCTGATGTGGTATGCTAAACCGAAAACAATGAAAAAATATAAAAGAAAAGTGAGCAACGTTGCGTTAAGCTGAAATGTTTTCTCTCAGAGACTCAATTTTAAGAGGAGGGGCTCGAGATACAGCTTTATGCTACGCTACAGTCTCTCCAATGCGAGCTTCTGCAGTGTACAGCTTTTGATGGACAGCACGCTTGCATTTGGGAAACTTCTTCAACTTCGGCAGGTATTCAGACTCACGGGCTTTTTTTGCACGCACAAGATTTCATGGTATGTCGGTAAAACAAGACACCTACACAGGACGTTACACTAACAAGGAACAATAAAGGACCAGGTGTTAGGAGAAAAGAGCTTTGCGAGTTTCTGAACACAAAAACAACCTAGGCATCGCTGAACACTCGGTCGTTGGGCGCTCAACATCTGATCCCAGCTAGCAGCTGGGAAGAGATGCCAAAGTTCAAGCACTTAGTTCTCTCATTAAACGTTGTAAGCAATTGACCAAACCTTTTGAATGAGAAAATGGCAGCCAACATATTTCGCAAATACCGTATTTACTCGCATAATGAAAGCACCCCTTTCCAGTGGGTACCAATATTTGGACTTTTCTATTTTTTCCTCGCGTAATCAATGCTCGTTCAATTTTCGGCTGCACCAGTCTGAAATTGCATCCAATTTAGCAAGCCACCAAGGCATTTTTTTTTTTGCCACCAAGCGGTCAGGCCAAGTCAAGTCAAGCCAAGCCAAGCCAAGCCGCTCTCATAATGGCCGCAAGCGTGTAGTACCGGTAGTTGCGGAAGTGATCAATCGTGAAATTGAGCGGCGCACACACTTGATGAAGCTTGGATCGAGGAATTACACTGCCGCGGACATTTTCGTCTATCGGATGCATTAATGTCAACAAACACGCCGTCGTCCGTGATCTGCTTTCGGACAGTGAAATCGTGAAAGTGGTCAGGTCTAATTTTACATACTCCGGGTAAATCCATTGATTCAATCTGTAACAGAACGGCGCAGCGAGGTGCATCCTACATTGTAGGTTGAGAGTGTCTAGTAACAGCGATCTTCATAAACGAAACTTGATCCATGAGGGCAGGCCCCGGGGGTCGGCAATTGGACTTGGTACGAGTTCTTATACCTGTGGTCGCGGTATATACCCGAGCGCGCCGCCGGATACTAGCAATATATATATATATATCACCTAAGAACTGTCGCATTGCTCTCCATGCTGAATGAACATCATAGAGCCACAATGTTCAGTGTTTGGTTTCACTTTGTTTTTCTTCGTTCTCTGTTGTGGTTTCTGTTTTGTTATTCCATGCCCCGGGTGGTTGGCTGACAGGCAGACTAGTGTACGGGCTCTCGCCTTTCTGTCTTTGCCTAGCAAGCCACTCAAGGTAAAATTACTCTTGCAAATAAAGATTATTATTATTATTATTATTAAAAAGGGCACCAGAAGCGTTCTAAAAAGGTTAGCCATTTTTGAAGCATGGTTACTGTGGCGCGCCCCCTACCAGCTGTGGGTGCACCTCAATCAGTGGAGACCTGCCACACTACCTCGCCGTGTCATAGTGGCACCTAATATGACATTTGCACGAAGTGTGTAAATGCAAAAATTTTACCCCACATAATGAACGCCCCCTCCCAAGTATGTGTCCATTTTTCGGGACAAAAAGTGCCTTAATTATGCGAGTAAATGCGATATGTGCGGATGAATGGCATCCACTACAGGCAACAGGCTCCATTTCCTTAATAAAAGTTTCTGTAAATCGTTTATAACTTTTCGATTGAACAACGGTAAGTTCCGAAACTTTGGCATCCGGTCCCAACTGCCGGCTCTACGTTTGGGCAGGCACTGAGCACTCGGCGACGCATAGTTTATTTTTGCGGCATGAAACGCGAGGTTCCTTTTACTCCCAGATACCCGACGAACCGGGCGCAGATCGTCAGCGGCCCGAAACACTCACAGTTTGTCCCCGATGGCGTCGCACTCTTGCAGGATGTTGTAGAGCAGGCTCATCTTGCCGCTGACCTCGAACTTCTCCATGTCCTCCTTCGTGACGTATTGGTCCCACCATTCCTTCGACTGGGGTGAAGGAGCCTTTTCTTCTTCTTCGCTGTGTTCACCGAGTGCCGCTGACAATGAAACCACACTACGGTCATCGACTGGATGAGAATGGCAGGGCGCCTCTTCCCAACGCCCAGGTTTTAACACACGCTCCTCGCGTTTTGCCCAGCACTACTGGAAGCAAAACTACCCTAGGCAGAAAAGACAGACACAGCCGAACCTCTAACTTTAAGAAAACACTCAATTTGTAAAACACAAGAAAAAAAAAAAAAAAAAAGAAAAAGCAGGTAAAAGCACTGTCAATGATGCACCTGCTGAGAAGCCAGGTCGGCTAACGAATCTCACCTCGGCTCCTCGTTTTCCAAGTTTTGACCACCTCGTCTCCACTTTCCTGGCCGCTGCCCTTCCTGCAACGGCGAGGGATGTTTCGGTCATAAGCAAAATCATCATTGAGAGCTCTGTACAGTAAACTTGCATCGATTCAACCTCGATCGACTTGACATCTCGTTTCGTTCTATCGCATTCTCGCACGGTCGAAGTGTGCTGCGAATCTAAAAGAATACCAAGCGCCATTTGCAAGTTATTTTAATTTTCGCGGATCTCTGCTCGCAACTTATGGCAATGTGAAAGAACTGCACTTTGTGAGCAAACTGCAGCGTGTCCCAAACTAGGAACTGAAGTTGGAGAGCTTGGTTGTCAAGATCGGTGCTGCCCCCACAGCGTTTAATGGCAACTAACGACCGCAAACCAATTTGACCGATAAGAGCGAGTTCAACGTTAATCGTTTTCCAACCCCCCTTTTTTTGTTTAATTAAATCTTTGGATAATTCAACCTAACTTCAAGGTCCTGTCAAGGTTCAATAGACCGATGCCACCAAGCGAACTGCGCAGGCGCGCGCATTCCGGAAGTGGTGCCGCCGCCATGCTACTTGTAGTCACCCCTTCCCGGCTACATACGGCTGCGCGTACGTACATCATCATAGATTATCATTTGGCACGCCCCGGTATCACCTTGATTCTCTTGCAAGTTTCTACTTCATAAGATTGTGTTGTTTGTGAGGCCTTACGTTCCTCAGCAAGTGCAGAAAAGCAGTTTCAGTCGTCTTATCGCTTTAGAATCGCCTTGTCGTCTGCATCATCGTCGTCTGCTTCTTCGTCTTCGTGAACGCGTGAGCCCACTGCCATTCACGCGGTAATCCCAGTGCGGCCGCGGGAAAAAAAAAACAAAAAAAAAACAAACAAACAACGGCGCTACTACTCGAGCATTCCGACTCCTCAGACGTCTCAATTACCTTGCAAACAAGTGAACATCTAGTGCAATAGCAAAGAACAACAAAATTCGATTGACCATCGGCTTGGTTTAGCACCACGGAACAGCATCAAATGTGATGAAAAACTGAGCTTGGTGGTGCTCAGTCTTGTGCATAACGTTTAATCAGCCATCAAGTAAGAGGAGCTTAATAGACTTTCTCGGTGAGCGATAGTTTTCTAAAAGTTGTTTCATTCTGGTTGACAGCCTGTGCGACAGAGTACAGATGAACAGCGGGAGAAGCCTGCACACAAAGAACTGATCTACAGAAAGGCCATGCCTGACGCGCCGTAATAATTGACATATATCAAAAAGAAGCAACCACGCCAGATACCTGAAAGCTTGGGGTGTAAATGATTTTTTGTGCAAAGTTTCTATTCAGTTTTATTTAGTTTGCGTAAGATCCGCACGCTAACAGTCGTCCGACGGGGGAAGCTTTTTTCTGCGGTCTCGACTGGGGCTAATGCAGAATGGATCAGTAATACCAGCCTAATAGACCACCACAAAATGAATGAGGTTCGTTTGTTACATTTTTGGCGGTAGGTACGTGTTGCACTTCTAAATTGCATTATGTAATCTTTTCACGTTTGTATGAAAAAAAAAATGAAGGCTGCTTCTGAAAAGGTTGTTTTATTTCAAGTGGTGCATATCGGGAATCGCTGCTCTTTTTTAGTGATTGTCCTAATCTTTTGAAGCAGAGTTGTGCTTGAAACATGTCGTCGCAATAACAGTTATAACCACCAAAATACACCGAGCAAGATGTGTATTAAAAACGGCCTCCACAAAGCAGTGCGGAGGTTATATTTGAGATAGACCAACGAATAGACCGCTACGGAGCAAATGGTCAGAGAGATTCCAGCTTACGGAACACTTCTGCAGGCTCCATGTCTCGTGCCCTGTAATCTTATACATTTTAGCTGACGTGCAATAGGTTGGATATAAATTATGAAGCAAATCGCGAAACAAATCGTAAAACGCTATTTTTCCTGCCGCTCTGTCGGGCTCTGTGGACCTTTCTTTGCCATGCTTTTTTCTTGCGGGAAGACATAATATCCGAGGCCTTTTTGCCTGGTGCTGTTATTATAGCTCCGTGGCATACACCATGTGAAGCCACCGATTGAAAACCATGAGTAAACACCTGGCTAAAAGTCTCGTGCTAACCCGAAAACTTCCAAACGCCGGGCGTACAATGCGCATCGACGCGGCCGGAAAACTGGGGAGAACTACAGGTACCAGGATGCACCGCGGCAGCGGTGGCGTCGCGCAACTCCTGGTGAGATCGGTCTATTAACCAAAGTTTATCGCACATTGTTATTTATTTGTACACTGTCACATACTGTAAACGACTTTATTTCTGTTGGCTTGCATTGAACAAATTTTGTAAAGTGTGAATTTCGGAAATATTTCGCAGGCACCGAATTCCGCAATTTGAAGTGACATGCTAGGTATTTGTTACTATGGGGCGATATAATTGCGGGACCCAATGTTTTTGCAAAAATTTTTCGAGCCGAAAAACTTGAGGATTTTAGGTCGTTGCAAAAGATTAAGTGGCAAGTTGACCTCGCTGGGCCCGTTTCCTCAAAGCCGGTTAACTCGAACTGCGGTAAGAAGTTAACCGCAATTCCCTACGAGGGCAATGTTTAGGTCATGTGACTGGCAGAGTAAGGACAACAAGGAAACATGACGGTGCCCCCACGAGCGAGCGTTGCTCGCTTAGGGACTATTATGTCGTAGCAGCTGCAATACCGGGCGCGTTAGTCAGAAATGAGCAATGCAGGAGGCTTTCGCTTTGCCTTACCACACTTAAGTTGTGAAAGCACGAGCAATGACCTCGCCACATTTTTCAGATAGCTTTTCGATTCTGGCTATTCCTAAACCTAAATGAATGCGGTAATTGTCGGTATGGCAACAGCTTTGGAATACTATAGTGGATTGCCTCGACTCAATCGGCCCGGTATTGATGGCAGAAGCCGACAGTGTCCCAGTAGACTTTTTGCTAAATTTCTTAAGCACCAAGGTGTCTGCTATGAGTGCACTAGTTACACACATTTGGAGGAAAATTTCAACAAGGGCATATGTCTTCACTTTAGGCAGGCAAACATTTAAAAATTTTCCAAATAAGGGTTAATTTAGTTTTACCTTGCCCAATGTCAAAACCCCGAGCAACAAAAAGGGTTTCTTAAGCTCAAATGTATACCTTGCTGCGTCGTAAAACCGTGCTAGTGCACGTTCTTGGGTCCCCCCCTTTTTCGGAACTCATCCACAAGAGCCACTTGTAATCGCTGCAACCAGTGGGCGACACCAGCTACCATCCCATAATAAAACACAGAGCTATCGCTCATCCAGCCCTCATCAAACTTGGGCACATACTTGTAGCTACCTAGCAGGAAGGGACGATTAACTTTTTACAGCGGTTAAAGTCGACTGCCTTAGAGCAAATAGGCCCTGGTGTCTAAATTAAGAAAATTAGAAATGCAGAAGACAAGACAAACATAGTTTTCTACGGTAGTTATCGCTATAGTTTATTGTCGCATCGTTCAGAGCCGCAAAAAGCTACATACCCTTTGCTGGTGGAAGGCTTGTCTTCGTCGAGGCAAACCACTTCTTTGTCGTCATCGCTTTTGCTGCTCGAACTCTCCGAACCGTCGTCGATGAAAGAGTCCATCGAATCGCTCGATTCATCCTGAGTGAGAGAACAGTGCCAAAAGATGTTCCTCTCCAACGTGCCCTCCAAATCAGCGGAAAGGCCTCCCAATGGTGCTTGGAACGCGTCTCTGAATGGTGCGTTTACGACGTCCTTCCTCCATTTCCGGTCTCAATCCTGGCGGCAGTGGCTGTGGCAGGTGCCTTTTCGTCTGCAGGTAGCTCTCAAGCTTGACAGTCTATGAAAGGTCTGGCAGCCGAGAGTCGGGTGGCGCGACGACGGCAGCACTCTCGCTCACTCGTAGTTATTGAACGAACTTCTACACCCAACTGCCAGGTATCGCGACACCCGACACCGTGACACACCGGGCTTTGTGACATTGTTCTGTTGCCCCTTCGGGATCACTTCTGATGTACGGGAGGGATAGGATATGCTAAGCCCATCATTCGGAAACACATTTCAGGCGCCACGGCCACCAGCCAGGCTGCATTTGAGAACTCGCGGTGGGTCACTCGAGACGCCGTGGGAAAGCGAAAGCACAAACCTGTAGCCTCGAGAGACAATACAAAGTATGAAGCTGGTGTACGAATAATGCTTTTTCCGGAGATATTAACGGCATTAGCGCACACGTATGAGGAAGAGAGAAGGGACAGAAAAGAGTGCTACTCACAACTGTATTTACAGAGATGAAGAAAAGAAAGAACATCGTCCAGCTCCCCATAAAGATGAAAAAGGAAGAAGAGGAAGCGGAAATATAAAACAGGAATATAAAACACAAAGTCGGGTGTTCCCTCGCGCGCACAGGCTTAATGCACTGGTTCTTTGATTAAACCCTAAAACCTTTTTTTGGCTGTGCCTTCGTTGTCGTGGTGCTGGGTGTGTTTGCCTCAGTCTTCGCTCGCGCCTGGTCACCCGTGTCAGGGGGGAGACGAACACATCATCCATGGTCGGCTGCCGCTGGGTCGTCGTGCCTGATGTCTCGCGGCACCCGTGACTCATGCGAGTTCTGCATTGTCCTTCTTAAAAAGTCTGTTTCCTTGCTCGTCAAGGCTACCGATGCAACACTAATGCATTTAGTAGCTGCGGATATGATGTAGAAGGCTTCTACCACTTCGCGGGTCATTTTATCCTTGTGCCTCTCTAGGGTTATGGTTTCCCCGAACAGCGGATTACAATTGCACTCCTTGCAATGTGTTGCAAGATGGCCTCCCACTGTGGCTCTCAAAGAATAATCATGCTCGCGAAGTCGGTCGTTAAGACACCTGCCTGTTTGCCCTACGTAGACCTTGCCGCAGGAGAGTGGAATCTTGTATACCACGCCTGAAGTGCACGGAACAAAAGGTTTAGCATGTTTTTTTGTGCACCTCTGTCTTGTGGCACCTTCGGCTTGCGAGTTGACTATGGAGCAAATTTTGCTCATTTTTTGCGGGGCTGAAAATACCACTCGGACCCCATACCGACCTGCCACGTTCTTTAAATTGTGTGACGTCTTGTGAAGGTACGGGATTACCACCGGTCTTGTCTTTCCTACATCTTGTTTGTTGGCTTGGAGGCCTTTTGCCCTTTTCAGCAAGGTGTTTGCTACATTAGCCAGTAGTGGTAACGGATAGCTGGCTTTTCTAAGTCTTTCAACCTGCATCGAGAAGCTGGCTTCCATTGTGTGGCAACACGATTTCTGGAGCGCGGATCCCAAACATGTCAGAGCAATGCCCCTCTTGACGATCTTAGAGTGAGCCGAACTGAAATCCAAAATTCGTTTCTTAGAGCGTGGAGAGTACGTCCAGCACACATGCGTATCACCTAAGTGAAGCGAAAGGTCTAAAAACTGGAGAACGTTTTCTTGAGGGACCTCATACGTGAACCTGAGGCCCCCTCCATACTCAGTGAAGGTCGCCAAAATATTGGTCACCTGTGTGTGCACATCGGTGTTATCTTGAAGAACAACCAGGAAGTCATCCACATAGCGGGCTACCTTGTTAACTCTTCGACTTCCAAGCTCCCTTTCAATGGCACAGTCTACTGCTCCCAGATAAATGTCACTGAGGACTGGGGCTACACAGGAGCCAATACAAACTCCTGACTTTTGTACATAGCACCCATCTCGCCACCCAACAATCATGGACGTTAGATAAAAATATAAAAGCTCTAAAAAGCTCTCCGTTGAAATTCCACATGAGCCCCTGAAGGAGAGCTCTCCATTGGCTTCAATACATGTCTTCACAGACTCCAATAATTGTGCATGTGGCAATGAGTAAAACAAGTTCTCCACATCTATACTGAAGGCCGTACCGATCTCATTGCTCTTTAACCGGAGAAATTCGACGATTTCCTCAGAATTCACTACTTTGAAGGGGTCCTGTATTTTTACTGTTCGGGGAAACCATAACCCTAGAGAGGCACAAGGATAAAATGACCCGCGAAGTGGTAGAAGCCTTCTACATCACATCCGCAGCTACTAAATGCATTAGTGTTGCATCGGTAGCCTTGACGAGCAAGGAAACAGACTTTTTAAGAAGGACAATGCAGAACTCGCATGAGTCACGGGTGCCGCGAGACATCAGGCACGACGACCCAGCGGCAGCCGACCATGGATGATGTGTTCGTCTCCCCCCTAACACGGGTGACCAGGCGCGAGCGAAGACTGAGGCAAACACACCCAGCACCACGACAACGAAGGCACAGCCAAAAAAAGGTTTTAGGGTTTAATCAAAGAACCAGTGCATTAAGCCTGTGCGCGCGAGGGAACACCCGACTTTGTGTTTTATATTCCTGTTTTATATTTCTGCTTCCTCTTCTTCCTTTTTCATCTTTATGGGGAGCTGGACGATGTTCTTTCTTTTCTTCATCTCTGTAAATACAGTTGTGAGTAGCGCTCTTTTCTGTCCCTTCTCTCTTCCTCATACGTGTGCGCTAATGCCGTTAATATGTCTAACTACCAACTAGCCCAGTTATCAACCCTTTTACAGTTTACTTTTTCCGGAGATCAACATTCGAGCAAACTTGAAAGCCCCGACTCGCGTGAAAATGAGATAGGACAGCATGTTGACAGTGGCGACTTGCCACCAGTAAAATTAGCTTTGATTGTCACCAAGCTTCGTACCTATAAAAAAAAAAAAAAAAAAATACATGCACGTTTCTAAGTATTGGCGACCGACATTATCCTTTCAATCACTGTGTCTTCATATGTACACGCAATCGTATTAGCCTTCTTGTTCGCACTAGAAGCCATAAATCACACCTTGCACTGCTGCAGCTTATATTCGAGACATTATGGGGCGCCATCTAGCACTAGGGGCTCGAAGCATGGATAAAATCACGCATTCAAGATGGATGCCTCCATCTTTTATGGAAGCTCCGGTAAGTGCCTGTTCAAATTTAGCTTCTGACTGAGTATCATCGTTCCCGTAGACATAAGAGTGCCATGTTTTAATAGAAAAACATATTCTCTTCCATAAAATACTAAACACGTGCTTGGCACTAGTCATTAAGTGAATACCAAAACACGTCCATGAGCGTGCACAAGCGTACACAATGTGCCATGAGCGGCACCCATGGGAGCGGTGCCGCTCATGGCGCTAGGATTGCTGTCCACTTGTACCTGCTTGTGGGAGGGCAACAAAGGACAGATTTCAGACGACGCACTTCCATGGAGCTTGTCAACCAATATTCTTACATACCTCACTATTGCGATTAATACCTCATTACAGTTGAACCTCGATCTAACGAAGTCACCAGGACCCGCTAATTATTTTGTTAAATCGGGAACTTTGTAAAATCGAGGAAGGGATAGCTTGCGCATAGGCTGCGCGGGAAATCCGTATTTGTTTGTTAAATCGGAAAATTTGTAAAATCCGGTTTTGTTAAATCGAGGTTCAACTGTATTATATGTTGCCCGCTGGACTCTAACAAGTGCAGTTGCTCACAGCTGTCAAAAAACAGCTTAGACAGTAGCGTTCTAAGGCTGAACGCTGCGGAAACAGTTGAGAAACGTCTAACACACACTTCAGAGGACAATCTGTACAAAAGAGTGTCAAATATTGATGGGAAGGAGCGAAATTCTAAACGTGCCCTCAACAGGAATCAAACCCACGACCCCATGATTGTGAGCTCTACATTCTACCACTGCACCAATTAGTGAGAAGTCGCAAAGCAGCTGGCTTCGTTTCTACCACGGTGATCTCTACTAACTGACCGAACGCAAAGCCGGACAACGACGTTCGCATTCGAACGGTTCACTGGACGAAACAGGAAATCCAGGACGTGCCCACCATTACATAAGCAACAACAAAATTTTGAATTAAATAACACTCCACAACTAGGATTCAATGTTTCCGGACAAATTAAAAAAAAAACCGAGAAACACTCTCCGCGTAAATCTTCCTTCAATTCGGATTTATCCGAAAAACAAAATCTTTCGAGATCACGGTGACAAATAACGATAAAAAAAAAGACTGTTTTACAACTAAGCTTTATAAGAGCATGGGGTCAGTGGTCCCGAGGAGACACCACTTCAGTTTCCATTGATATCTAGAACTACTGACAATAGGAGTTCGCCTCTTAGCACGTCGAGGTCCCTTCATGAAAACGGGTCATGGTGCCCAGACTTTATTTATTTATGTTTTTTAATTCTTTAAATATAAAAACCCTGTAAAACAAGCTGCAAATTTAAAAGAATTGGGAATCTAGACCAAATGAGCTCCGATAAACCCCAAATTTTCAGCGAAAAATAAACGTAGAAAGAGCGCCCTCTGAATTTTACGAAAAATTAGCTTTTGAAACATAGATCCCTTTTTTAACCATTTTGTTCTTAGCCAGAGACTAAGGCAGGAAAAGAGAAACAAGAACAAAATGGTTAACATCCACCAGCTCGCCTGCACACTCACTACATTATCATAGATCATATCATAGAAGGGCACTACTGACTTTTATCCGACGGATCAAGATAAATCGAGCATTTTGTCAAGAATGTTGGTCTGACCTTGAGGAGCTCCTTGGCCGTGGCGCGCTCGGCGCTCATGACGAGCAGCATGGGGTGGGTCCAGATGTTGCGCAGCATGTTGAAGTCCCAGAACAGGGACATGCCCTGGGTGGGCTTCCTGTTGCGGCCCCCCCTGGCCAGGTGGTCCAGGAAGTGGCGGTACAGCTGCACTTGCACCTCAGACAGCCGCACGCTGATCACGTACTCGCACTTGGGCGGCAGGAAGGGCTTCAGGGCGTTGTAGTCGCAGCGCTGCGCATGATTGAACCCAATTTGGGGGTTTTACATGCCGAACCATGCCCAAGCAAAGGTATGGGAATTCGTTCGAACCACCTGGGGATCTTTTGACGTGCAACCGAAATATTGCATACGTCTTCTCTGCAATAAGCCTCCGTTGGACTGCGGGCACCTCGGCCAGAATTCAAACCCGCCACCTGGGGATCTGTGGGCCGGCGCTTTGCTTTGGAGCCACCCAGGCATTTCCCTTCTTCTAAATGCAATCTCTGAACAAACCTTATGCACTTTCACATCTGTTGCTGTTTGCAACCAATGAAGCAGCATCTATTGTATAGTAGCTACTTGTATTATACATACAGGGAGTGTTGCGCTGAACGAATCCGATGGTCACCAGAGAAAAGGGGAAGAAGGAACTTTCCTCTTACCAGGACCCTCTTTTGTGTCTCCCAGAGTTGCCGAGACCCCCCATTACTATCCTCCTCCCAGAAGATTATAGAATATTAACCCGTCGCTCAAACTTCCTGCAAAAGCAGCTTTCCTCTCTCTCTTTCATGGTGGTCAAAAGTATGCGATGCGATGTCAGTGCAAGTCATGTATACGATATTATAAGTTAGCACCTGAATAATGCTACGACGAAAGTCGGTTGGTCATGGAAGGCTTGTCCGCAAAGTGCAATTGCTTTTAGACGTAATGAAAGACTTTGTGGAGATTGCGAAACATTTAGAAGAGAAATTTCCTCGGCAAATATGGCGGATTCCCAAGCACGTCCAGAAACCTCTCCAACATTGGCTGTAGCTGTAAAAGGGAAGTGACCTGGACGCAACCATTCAGCAGGCGATGCAAGATGTGCACCCGCTTCTTCATCAGCCTCACGTCCAGGGCCGTTGAGTCGGCACACTGGCCGTTGGCGATCGGGTTCACAAAGCGGTTGGTGAACTCCTTCTTGGTTCCCAGCAGGTTGGGCTTCACAAACTGCACCATGCAGTGGTCTGCAGGAAACAAAACTTTATATCAATATCTGGGAGTTCATCTAGCTACCAATCTTTTCTAGAATGATACCATAGAGTACATTTTTAACAGAGCTAACCAATCTTTAGGATTTTTACGGAGGCATTTGTATATGGCAAACCCAGAAACTAAACTACCTAAGTTGGAGTATGCACCTATAGTTAGGAACCCGCACCAGAAACATTTTATTGACAGGCTAGAATCTCTAAAAAAACAGGGCAACTCAGTTCATACTAAAAAGTTATACACCTGTAAGCGTAACTCCACTTAAAACGTCGATAGGATTATTATTGCTCCAGCAGGAAACATGTATCTTGTTATGCTATCCTACTTCCATAAAATCTATCACGCATCAATTGAATTTCACAAAAATAATGTCATCCCACTCCAGCGGCGTAGGCAGAGGGGGGGTTTGGGGGGTTGAAACCCCTCCCGAAATGCTTGTTGAGGAAAGAACCCGAGCGCGTCCGTTTCGTTGGTGGCCGTTTTATTCTCTCGTGCCCCGATCCTGCCGTTCGTGGTCTCGTGTTTTCCTGTCGTCTCTTTCCTCTTCTGGTAGTTGAATTCCCGTAATCTACAACAACTTCCCGCGCCGGCCGAAGAAATGAGAGACAAGACAATACACGAGGGGTCAGTGACAGTACTGTGAAAACAAAATCCCAAAAAAAGGGCGGGGTCAAAAAAAGCCGTTAACACACAAGCAGAAAGAAAAGAAACGTTTTCGCAAGCCAATTAAATAGAGAGTAGAGGACGAACTCCGAGCTCCGTCTGGAAGCGGCACGGTCTGCGGGAACAAGTCCAGGTCCGACAGCACCAGAGCGCGCGAGCTCACGTTGGGAGACGAGGCGCTCCGCCGACACACGGGCGCCACGCAGTCGCCGTCGCAGTCCAGGTCGATCAGGGTGCCCTCGCAAGAGCGTTCCTCATCCTGCTCCTCGGGTATGGGTGTCGTGTCGTCTGCGCCCATCTGCAACCTGGGCGAGAGTGCCTGGTTGTTGGCGTAGACGGGACCCAGGTGGTGGTAGTCCCTCCGCCCCAGGGAGTGCCTCGGGGCCGGAACGGGTGTCGGGGGCGGCGGTGGTGGCAGGGATGGCGGCGGGGGCTGCCCGGGGGGCCAGCCGCCCCCGCAACGATGAGACGGGGCCTGTCCCATGGCCGAGCAGCAGAACTCCCTTGCCGAGCCGCAGCCCAGGCCCTGAGGCAGCGTTTGTTCCATCTCGGGCACACGATTTGGTCCCGAACTCTTGCGACGCACTGTCTTCCGTTCCCCCTCGGAGTGTCCCGAGAAGAGGTAGGTGATGGAGCCCGCAGCAGATCGTCGAAGCTGGACGCCTTGTAAAGCCTGCTGGCCGCGTTCTGGTTGAAGGGTGACAGATACTCCCAGAGTAGGTCCCTTGAACCACCCAGCCAAAAATGGTTTCAACGGCGGTTAAGGTTCGACTCATGCGTTGGATCCTTCCCTTGACCACTCGCCAGTAGACATCTGAGCCTATTAGGACGCTTATGTTATTGTCCACTCTTGTGTCAGAATCTGGAGGAATGTCTGCGGCCTGAAATCCGTTTGAATGAAGTTGCGTCAGCAGATGATCATCAAGTTGCTGGTGCGATAACGTGCACAGCTCGGGAATTTCCAGTGCTTCAAATGTCACCTTCTGATTGCTACGATGGCCCTGAAGGGTCACAGCCACGCGTCGACAGGAGTGTTTGGTAGCTGTATTGCCAAATGTGTAGATGGTTAGATCTTCTCGGCCTACAACTTCGCAGCCGAGTTCTTCAGAAACATCCCGTCTGATGAACGTGCGCTGGCTGCCAGTATCTAGCAAGAGTCTTACGAGAACATTTCTTGGTGTCCCTGACGCCCACGCTCTAGCTGTTTGGAGGAGGACAGGAGAAGAACAGGAGTTGCTAGCTGGCGCGCTAACAATGGATGTGGCGTGTTCAGGGGGCTCTCCAGGTTGCGGAGTGTACGATGGGACTGGCAGGGGACGTGACAGTTCACAAAGGATGGTCAAGTGATGACCCCCACATGTGGAACACGACAAGCTTCTGCCTGAACGGCAAACACGAGCGATGTGATTTCGCTTCCCACATTTAAAGCAACAGCGCGCTCGTGCAAGCTTGGTTCGCTTATCTTGTGTTGAAAGTGGGGCCTGGCAGTTTTGGAGTTCGTGCTCCGGGGAACCACAGAAGGGGCAAGCAGTTGATCGGTAGCCTTCCGATTCCGTCGATAGCGCGAGAGTTGAAGGGTGATTTGCCGAAACTGATTCTTAAGGTGTCGTTGGCGATAGCCCTCGTCGAAAGCGGTAACTTGCTCGATCTATTTGGCCATCTTCTCGTATTTCGACTTGTATCCTCAAAAACTTCATGATAATATTAACTTGGTCTTCTGGAGCCAGGTCTGGTGTACTCGTTGAAGATGGTGGTGTGGATTCTCTCAGCTTCTGACGGTAAAGGATAGCCAGGTCAGCGGGAAGGCAGCGCATGAGAACTCGATGGAGAACGACTGCGTAGCTGCTAGGTGGAACCTCCAACCCTTCAAGAGACGTTGTGCGGAAACGTATTGCGTCGTGAAGCTGACGAAGTTTTGCCACGTCGCTGGAGGTGTTAATCACAGGTAAGTTCAAAAGCTGATCAATGTGATCGTCGATTAGAATGTCACGTCGTCCAAACCGATCCTGAAGTGTTCGTACTGCGAGTTCGTAGTTTTGGTCGGAGAGTCGAATTCCCTCGACGGCGCGTTTAGCGTGGTCTGTTAGATACGTCATGAGATATTTGAATTTTTCTATTGGTGGGAGATCAGGGTTTGCGTGGATGGTAACATTAAAATGGTCCCAAAATCCCTGCCAATCGCGGAGGTTACCGGCAAACATGGGGACTTGCAGTTTTGGAAGGGCGACGGTCCGGTGGCTCCTTACTATTGTTGCGGTTGATGGAGGGTTGACGGGAGGTGCCTCCGGGAGCCGAGGTTGAGGGTTGGTGGCGAAAGTGTCTAGGGTGTAGTGGAGACGCGTGAGAGAGGTGCTGATGCGTAGCCGGTATTCTTCTGCACCCTCCACTTCGTCCTCCAAAGCGTCGTCCGTGATGGCCGCGAGGATGTCGCTGTCGAGGTCTTTGAGTGCGGCTTGCTTTTGCGTGAGGTACTCAAGTGGGATTCGCAGTTGGACTTCAGTGGAATCCGGGTTCTCCAGGAGAGCGTCGATTTGGGCGAGAGTGCGAGAGACGGCGGAGCGGACAACGCCACGGGTTCTGCGGAGGCGGTCCATGGCTTCTCAAGGGGTTTCGGCACCAAATTATGTTGAGGAAAGAACCCGAGCGCGTCCGTTTCGTTGGTGGCCGTTTTATTCTCTCGTGCCCCGATCCTGCCGTTCGTGGTCTCGTGTTTTCCTGTCGTCTCTTTCCTCTTCTGGTAGTTGAATTCCCGTAATCTACAACAATGCTTAAGCTACCTAACCCCCCCCCCCCCTCCCCCAACGGGGCCTGCTCGGTTTTGCACGAGGCACGGAGCAACGGAGGAGCACGGACCATCTCCAACTTATAGGATTTCGGAAAACTTTTTTGTGGGGTAGAGAAAGCTCAAATTAATAAAATATGGAATATTGCTTAATTCCTGTTTATTCGATGGAATGCGGAACTTGATCTCAAATATATAGAGAATGAATATTTCAAAACGTTTGTGCAGTGAAAGATGGCAATTTCAAGGCAAAGAATAACAAACTTTCCTCACTGAAATACACAGTTCAATCAAACCAGTGTGAAAATAATAAAACAAACACAAGGTGATAATATAAAGCAATGTCAGTGATGTAAGGAATACTAAATTAATTGTAAAAAAAAACAATCACACTGTAAGCAACGGGTGGCGCTGCGCTCACGCACACCTTTTGTGACCAGAATTACGTGCTTTCGACTAGAAATTACCGCAAATAAAAAGGTAACTGTGACTAGTTATATTAGAATGCAATTTGCAGGTTCTCTTTATCATCTTATTTATGCCAAGGGCCTACACATTAAAATGAAGCCGCCTGCGTTCACGGGAAAAAAAATATTCCGGACGTCCTCCGCTTGAAATTTAATGTCGCGGTGAACATTCAAAAACGCTACAATTCGTTTCAGCTTAGGTCCAGACGTAACCGATGCTACAAGTGCCAGCTCCGGGCTTTCAGCGCCCCTGCCAAGCACGCACGCTCATGCAGTGCAAGCACTGCTCAGGGCACATGCTCGCGCCCGTAGCATCGGCTGCGTCGCTCACTCGAAGTGGACGCTCTCAGGTATGTTTTCAACCGTCGCAGTGAAGAGAACGAGCGCTCAGCTTTCGCCGTTGTGAAAGGCAGAGCCACTATAGGATGTTGAGGAGACGATGGACGTTCTGAAATAGTGCCTCCGGACAAAGGGCGACCGCCTGTATACCGCAGACGTGACGGGCGCTTCACGTTCCTCCCTCTTGCATTGGACGCCTAAAAGTTCCCTATTTTTGGTGAAGTTTTCCTGACTTTGCGAAAATCGTCGCTCACGGATGCGATGAAGTCCGTCTTGCTTTCTATGTCAAGGTGGCAGCAATTCCTTATTACTATTAGCTTAATCTCTTCGTTGCACAGAACATCAGAAATTTGAAGAGACAAGCCTTCATATTCTCACTTCGCACAGGCAAAAGGCTAGTCAAGTTCCTTTCCACGTTCGGCGTGTAGTTTCTGTGTGGTGCGTCATGTCATTTCTTCGAGTGAGGGAACGACGAGTTCGGACTGATGACGTCTCCTTACCCCGAAGATATGCTGCTGCTGCCTTTGGACCACGCTGCAAGATAAAACGGTCTAGCGAAGATAACACTCTTTTTCCTTCAGCATCTGGTACTGTAGCACGAATTGGTTAAACCTTTAATAGATAATAGATTTTGGTTTTGTGATTGTTCAGATTCAGAATTACCTTCGCCCTAAATATGGACCCCTGGTGTTTGTGCGTGGTCGGTTGCTCCAATTTTTCAGTGTCAAAAAAAAAAATTGTTTTTTGCTGTTTAATTTTTTATTTATTTTTTTGTGAAAGTAGAGCTATCCTTGTGTTTTGTCTGGCCTTCACACGTTGGTATTGCAGTGCTACTTCGAAAAGCGGAGGGAGTTGTGTGTTGTGAGGGAGCTTTTAAAGTTGGTGGGCCGCAATCACGACAACAGTAGAACAGTGAGCCACCCCGCCGGTATTCCTGTAAATGAAGCCTGCTCCGTTTTGAAAAAATGACAATGCAGCGTTGCGCCGTTTAATCTTAACAGCGCCTCCCTAATTTTTGCCCGAGCGTCCGTGTCGGTGAGTTCACCCTCCGTCATTGAGGGGGGAGGGGGGATGCCGTTGAACCCCTCCCGAAATAAAATCCTGGCTACGCCACTGTCCCACTCGTATTTTTCCTCGTCATGATCGCGCTAATGAAGCCCATATTCCCTTCGCCAGCATTAACTTGTATAAATTCTCCCCGCTACTACAGGCTACGTCCGACTGGAACGGCTGTCAGGTGAAATTGCTCCCACCAGAAACCACGACGGTTTTGTAGCATTATTGCGTGGACCATTGCCGTGACAAACGCTTTGTGTTTATGTTTTGGTTCTTAAGCAGCCCCTGTATTTTTTTTTTTGTTTGAGTGTATGCGTGACTGAAATGCCTGTGTATGCGACCATGAGCCATGCTATTCTTCGTTAAGTTCTGTTTAGCATGATTCTGTGTCCCTTTTTATATTTGTCTTTTTAGGTGTGAAGCTCCTTAGGGTCTAGCCTTGTATGGCGTCTGTGCTCACATCAACCGCACTGCCTCCGGGATCGGCCCACTTTTAAAAAAAAACATACGCCTGCACCGGGGTTCGAACTAAGGACCGCTTGCTTACGAGGCAGACGTCTTAAACACTACGCTACACTCCAACGTTGCATGTAGCCGCTCAGGGCGCTGCGGCCAAATGCGTATATAATCGCGTTAAACTTTGCATGCATTGGCTTAACGTTCATAGACGAGAGGGTGCTGCGGTCAAATGCTCAACTGCGTATATAACCACGATCCATACCACACATTCTCTTTATGACATGGACCGTTGACTTAAGCGGTGGAGAAGCGTTCCCACGGCTTCTAGCGGATCCAAGCTGATCCGCCAGAAGAACGACTGGTTCTGCATTTCACCGACCATAAAGCAGTAATAATGAAGTCGAAACGCAACCCGGAACTCAGCACTACTTAGGAGCAATAAAAGAAAAAACAGTATTACCTATGAACAATAAAATCAGCATCATCAGCACCACCAGAGCTTTACCCCGATCAACATCATTCACCACGTGGAGATGTGTCCATTTTTACAACATGTAAACGTTACACGTTGTAACGTTTACATGTACAACTATGTAAATGCTACACGTATCCTCCCTCTTCGTAATGCCTTTCTGGGACCTTTAGAGGTATTTAAATAAATAAACAAATAGAAGAGCAAAGTTTTAAAGCAAAGCAGAAGACATGTTAGGCCGGATTGGAGCTGAACTAGCTGAGCCATGCTTATGATTTTAACTAGCTGAACATATTTAGATATCTACCGCAAAATACTTCAGAAGCACCCACCTCGTTCAAGTGTCCACTATTAACATTCCTTGAACTTGGGAATTCTGCACATTATACATTAAGCGCCCAATTTAACCGGACAAGTGCCCATGTCTAGATTAACCCTGTTTTCAGTAAAACTGGGGTAGGCACTCCCCCGGTGTTTTACGGTATATATACCCAGCTGGTTCAATTCATAACCAGGTTAGGCGTGCTTGTGTTGCCATAAAGCGTCGAAGTAATTAAATCATTTAGCTTTGCTTTATACAACGCACAACGCCCGCATTTCTGCTTCTTAGCATTCATCAAAGTCGTGTCAGCAGTCTGGGCCCGCCGGTACAGAAGATGGTGAACCGCAATGCCCCGTCATCTTGAGCTGGCCGAGAAGCAAGAGACCGAAAAAAAAATAGACCTTATGATCCGGTAATGCCAATTTTAGCAAATGGCGGTAAAAGCAGGCGGTACCGGCTACAAGGCAAGGCCTCGGCCATATCCGCCCCAGGCGGAAAACACGCCGAAGCCGGACGAAAGTCGTTGCAAAGCGGCAGACGCGGGCAACTTGGTGGTTCGTGTGCTAGCGTCGCGCTTGTTGCGAGACGCTGCAAGAGCAGAAGCGAGCTAGGCGGGGCTGCATGGATGCTGTTGACATTGCGGGAAGGTCTTCCAGGTGGCACTGACTGAACCCTCCCCCCAAATTTTACAGAAAACTCACACTCTTGCAGGTTGTTCTGGAGGGGAGTACCGGTGAGGACGATCCGCCGGCCCGTCCGGAGGGAGTTCATGGCGATTGACAGGCCAGTCTTGTCACTCTTCAGGATGTGCCCTTCGTCGCACGCCACGATGTCTGGACCTAAAAGGACGCATCGCGGCAAACCATAAGAACGTCGCCGACATTAAAAAAAAAAAAAAAAAAGAAAAACAATACGGCTGTGTTCCACAATTTACTCAATCCGACATTGGCGTAAAGGTTTCGTGCCGTGGCGTTCCAAAACTTACTTGCGCTTACTCTATGACGTCAGAACTCGCGTTCACGAAGCGGGTTGTTTACTTCGGAGTAATTATTCACGCTAACCTCTTCGACTAGGCGTAATGTCGGATCAAATCGAGTAAATACGTCACGTGATCTGTTTGTCGTCTGCTTTCTGAAAGAATGAAGTGCTTTTTTTTTTTTTTTTTTTTGTGTGGTTATTGCAATTTGCTGTTTTCAATGCAGAAATTGATTGCACCAGGAAGGTATACTTGTTGTTATTATCAGAGTGCGAGCGTAAATAGGAGCTTCTCCGCATCTTCGTCCTTGGCGTTAAAATGAACTCCGTATTCTGATGTTAAAGGATGAAAATGTTAATACACAGAAGATGAAGTGGAAGTTTTTTGTTTGTTTGTTTTTTTCTCCCCAGAGTGTGTGCAATGAGAGGGTAACACTTGCAAAGCAGTGAAGGCATGGAAGATTTTATGTATATGACCAGCCGAACACCCCACAACATCTCCCTCCCCAAGAAATTGCCTACAGCGGTTTTGAAGTTCTCCCTGTGATTTTGTAATCATATTCGTGTCAAAGCAAATGTAAGTTACATATCACTGTTAACAAAGCCCCATGTGCTCTACCGCTATGCTGTGTGGAAGCAATTTCCACAAAAACATGATCGGCACAAATTACGATGCGTGGAACATATTCTTTTAGGGCACCTGGACTAGACTTACAGCGATCGCAGTGATTAATAAAAACAATATTTTTGATATCTAACTGAAAGGGGTAAGCAATTTTGAACTCAATATACAGGCCAAAAGGAAGGTCAGCAAAAGGAGCTGGTGGAGCCACCCCAGCGTCACCGCTGCTATGTTTTCTTCTTGCCGTAGCCCAAGACGAAGCCAATCCGCGTAGTGTCCAGGTGATTATCCCGGCCGTTCCAAAACCAAGTCGCAGATCGTTTACTCGATGTCAGGTGGTTTTACCCGCTGCCATAGGAGACAGATTACTCGGGTAAGGCTTGAGACGTAGCCTACACGACTGGGAACCCCTGGAGCATCGTTTCGATAAACTCAGTTGGCTGGAACGCTAGCCCAATCTTTTTGTCACTTCGAATACAGTGCAATCCACTTATAACGTTAACGAGAAAACCCAAAATTTTAATTGTTATAACCGATTATCATTGTATCTGGACTAGAAACTGATCGTTTCTAGTCTTCAAACACTAGAAACTGATTGTTATAAGCAATATATTGTTATATGTGGTATAGTTATAGGTGGATTGCACTGTATGCCCTGCACTTGTTTGCAAGCGCAACCTAAACAAGAACTCCCGAAAAAGTTGCATTTAAAAAAAAGCGGAGACGTCTTTAAATGGAATATATTCCCCGACTTGTTCAGGTTTTCTATGATCGTTTTGCTTAAATCAACTGACCATTACAAAAAAAAAAAAAAAGAAACCACAGAGGCAGCAGTGTTTAGAGCTGTTCCTGTTTAGCTCTGTAAATCGGATGGCAATTCACGTTACCCACAGACGCCTCGGACAACTGCCACCGAGCACGAAGGCCATTCTTGCCACTGGACGTCGCACCCTTCCACTTCGCTGCGTGTTTCTGCGCCGTCCAATTTGGTGGTTCTCTCATACTTGAACAATTTTCCTACAATTTCCCCGACATTTTCACACATGTTGAAATTCCCCTACAATTTCAGGTTTTCCGGGTTGGCAGGCACCCTGGACGTTGCATTGAGGTAGACAAGGCCGTTCACATGGTTCAATCGTTCTCGGCAATATTGGCTTACCTGGATCGAGCAGCGCCTTCCTCAGCCGCTCCTTGAGCCTCTTGCTGACCCCCTTGGCCTTCTCGTTGGTCAGCCGACGGAACATGTCGTAGCCCATGATCAAGGCGCCTCCCTTCTTCTGCCAGTACTCCAGGATCTCCACCCGCGAGTGGTTGTCCTTGACAGACGACATTTCGTGCACCTGCCACGAAAATAAAAGGGGTTTTGTGACTAACTAAAGCCTTACTTACATAACTATAGGACTGCACCGGGATGGAGCCTAGATGTCAGCGACACTGTGACATCGTCCCAAAGCTGCTCTAAATGTGTCGCACTTATACGTCCCCTGTGACGACACACGACGTCAACATCAGGGGATACCCAACGTCACGTCACGCGACACCGATGGTTTTAATATTCACAAGACCCTCGCAATGTGCCCTTCAATAAGCCCCTTACACTACCCGGAAAAAGAAGCGCAAAGAGGCCCTATAAATGCTACGTGCAGGGTGAACTCTGCTGCATTCTACGATTACTAGACTGCAAAGGGAACGCTCGTGAGATCTTTTATTCTGCCAGGCATGTCTTCGAGCCACTATCGACCCTAGCCGTCGCCGAAAATTAAACGCAGCTCACGGTGAGGTCGAGTCCCTTGTCTTCGAGCCAGCGCTCAAACTCGTGAGCCCAGTTGAGGATGGTGTTGTAAGGGCACACGATGAGGGCAGTCCGCAGGATCTTGCCGCAATCCTTGTGGCTCAATACCGTGTGCAGGAACGAGATCACCTGCGGCAACGCCGGCACCCGAGCTCCACATAAACACGAGTTTCACAATGGCGGCAGGCTTACAAGAACAGCTAGCCCAGGTGAAAATCACTCCACTTCCAGCTGGATTATGGAACTGGAAATGAGGCATTTCAGCTGGAATCCAACTGGACCCAGCTGGAATCCAACTGGACCCAGCTGGAATCCAACTGGACCCAGCTGGAATCCAACTGGACCCAGCTGGAATCCAACTGGACCCAGCTGGAATCCAACTGGACCCAGCTGGAATCCAACTGGACCCAGCTGGAATCCAACTGCACCCAGCTGGAATCCAACTGCACCCAGCTGGAATCAAACTGCACCCAGCTGGAATTCAATTGGTCCCAGCTGGAATCTAGCTGGACTGCCTCATTTCCAGTTCCATAATCCAGCTGGAAGTGGACCGATCTTCGCCTGGGAAGTCTAGCCTACTGTGCACACCCACACATCATGAAAAGAGTGTCCCGCGAGAAATAATAACTAAAGGTTGCCAACAACAGCCGTTACGAGGACTTCCCAGCTGCGTTCACAACATCGACGCTGTGCGAGACAGAAAACAGCTTCGTATGCGCTCACGCGTTCACCATGCGACGTCGGGCAAAGTGAGTGCACTCGGCTCTGGCTGCCTCGTCTTCAAAGGTAGACAGCGGCCCACTCGCAACGATACCAGACGTAACAACATACTGCTTGTAACAGTTAGTTTTTAGACTAGAAACGCTATTTCTAGTCCAGATAGAATAATAATAGGTTATAATCATTACATTTTCGGTTGTTCTCATTATCATAAGTTGTTGATTAAGGGCTTTACGGCACAAAGCATTGTTATAAGTGGATTGCACTTTACTATCACACACAAAGTAACCCGCCACTCGTAACGGTACCCGTCTCAATTAAGTGTTGGGCAGGGACGTCGACCCGTACGAGGCGTGATCAGAAAGTTTGGCAACTAGCATATAACGAAAACTACCAGGGTTTTGAAAAATATTTATTTTTCAACATAATCCCCCCCTCACACTAATGCACTAGAGGCCAGATCAGGACTGTAGGTTGGGTGGTCAAGCTCTTCGAAAGCACTCTCGAATGACAGCCTGGGCAGTGCGAGACCTGTGAACGGGGGTGTTGTCATGCGGGAGGAGAACGTTTTTCACCCATCCGCGTCGTTTTTGCACGACAGTCTCACCAGTTTGCGGAGAACGTTGGCATAGTATTCGCCTGTTAAGCGCCGTTCACACTCTTGCGACCGAGTGAGACCGAGAGAGCCCAAACCGGTTTTTAAGCCTTTTGCGACTTCTTAGGACCGAATGCACTACAGCGGAGCTGGTCCTAAGAGATCGCAAGAGGCCTAAAACCGGTCTGGTCTTACTCGGTCGCAAGAGTGTGAACGAACCTTTATTGTCCTGCTGTTTTCCAGGTAACCAGTCAGTAGGATCCCTTTTGCATCCCAAGAAACTGTCGCCATCACTTTCCTCCCCGAGTGTTGCGTCTTGAATCTTTTCGGAGGGGGGGACCCCGAATGCCTCCACTGCATAGACTGTTGTTTCGATTCGGGGTACCCAGAGAAAACTATGTCTCATCCCCAGGATCAAGGGGGGCGAGAAAATCTTCTGGGTCGCTTTCGTAGATCAGCTCCCTTGACAAATGCAAGTGGTGCTGTCAATCCTGCATAGAGAGGTTCTGTGGCACCCATCGTGCCGACACCTTCCACATACCTAAAACGTTATGGATGACTGTGAAAGCACTGCCATATGAAATGCTCAATTCTGTAGCAACTTCAGACACCTTAATTTGGCGATTCTTCATGATGAGGCTCTCAGCTCGGGCTGAATCATCCAAATCGGTCAAAGTGCTGGGTCACCCTGACCTTGGGTAGTCTTGCACGTCCACACGACCGCATTTAAGCTCGTTGAACCAACCAGTTACTAAAGCATATGAAGGGCATTCATCGCCATACACATTCACCATTCTACTGTGAATTTCCTTGGCGGAACTCCCTTCTTTGCAGGAAAACTTTATCACGCTCCGGTACTCAAGCTTGAAACCGGGGGAGGACGCCATGTTTAACTGACTGGTGGAGATCTAAAGCAGAACCGTAAGTCTTCATATTACGAACATGTTTGGCTAGAGAGATGAGCTATACCAACGGTTATAGACGCATCACTGTCAGACTTTTTGTTATAGCAGTTGCAAAACTTTCTGATCACCCCTCATATGTGCAGTGTTCCCTTTCCACATACATGAGTGACCACAAGGCTGCATTGTCAGTGATCGACCGTATGAAGAGTGGATACGCATAAAAGTGGATGAAACTATGCACTGCAACAGCCATCGCTGTTACTTCTTCGCAAGCTGCAGCAAAAAACTGCAACTTTTTTTCCAAGAAATCTTGCAATCTCTAAATACTTTTTTTATACTACACTGAGCCACAAGTAAATAACTTCATAGCAGTCAGAGGTGCAGCAAGGTAACATACCTAGGTGTCTGAAAAGAATCATTTGCTATCAAAAAACAGCAGACGCTACAGGAGTACCTTGGGTATCTGTGCCGAGTACAACTGGGAATTTACTATTGTGGTCCAGACGGCAGCCTGCATGCGTGGACGTACCTGGAAGGTCTTTCCCAGCCCCATGCAGTGGGCAAGAATGCAGCCAGAACCCTTCTTGGGGTCCTTCTTCAGCATCTCCAGGGATTCGATGGTGCAATCGTACATGAACTTGACACCTGCCACAGACGGCCACAATACGAAACATAAAAATTCCCACCTCAGTGCACCAGGGTTAGTTAGCACGTCGACATTGAAAGCAACCAAACAATCAGGTCAGAGCATCCGATCAGCCGGCTGTTACTCCGTTGCGGTCCGCATCTGCTGTGTTCGTGTCTTGCTTACATTTCTAGATGACGCTGTCTTGTATTCTTTCATAACTGGAGTTAAGGAAGCTCTCCTAGCACCCTTTCTTTCAAAACTCCCTTTACTCCCCCTTTGCACACTGCCCTTTTCCTTCACTGCACGCCATGCCATGAAGAAAAAACACCGTTCGACCTGCTGGACAAGAGCAGGCACCTTAACCCTTTAAGTGCCTTCGACGAGCTGAGCTCGTTGGCCGCTTTCTGCGCAAAAATGCCATGGACGAGCTCAGCTTGTACAGTGGTTTTCCGGTAGCTTTCAATACCACAGACGGGTTAGGCTCGTCCGAGTAGTTTGCAGCGCTGATCATAAGTGGCAGCACTCGTTTTAGTTGGCGCCTTCTTTTTTCGCTGCCACCGATTTTTGTGTAATATACTTTTGAAATTTCATTTGTGATACTAGAGGACTAAACTCCTTAATAAAAACATATGGCACTTTCAGGTTGCTTTTTTTTTTTTTTTTTTTTAAGTGGCACTTAAAAAATTAATGGGTAACTGCAAAAAAAAAAATATTTTTGTTGTAGTATTTTTTTACCACTTGACGGCTTGCGCTGATGAGGCCTCAAAACCGAAACTACTACCCAACCTTGTCACAATACTTTCGCAAGATGTCACTGTAAAATTTTCAGTAAACACACAAAAATGATATCGATAAAATTATTTCATAGAATATCCCCTTATTTAGTAATAACCGTGTCAACATGCATTTAGAAGAAAAACCTTAGAGCTTTTGTTGCCCGAAAAAAACTGAAGTCTGGCAACAATGTATTTCTGCCGAACCTTTCGAAAAGTTTGGCAAAACTTTGGCTTTGTTGAAACCCGAGATTCGGCGCCGAAATTTGGATTCGGCAGAAGTTTGGCCCGTCGCCAATACATATGTGGGCTTCCAACATGTTTGCACACAGCTTTTGTACGACTGATGTGACAGGATACAAGGAACGCCTTAGAAAGTCTCTGCAGACCGTCTCTTGCACGATGCACGTGTACTGCGACTGCCGCTCTGAAGCGAACTGCCGGCACCCCCCCTGCGCCAGTTGTCCGAACGCTTACCGTCGACCTGGTGAGGCTTCATGCATTTGACCAACTTCTGATTCACCGTCACCAGCGGCTCCTTGGTCTTGAGGTCCATCTCTAGCACCAGTTCCTCCAGGGTCGTGTTGCCACACTCCGGAGCGCCGCCTCGGATCTCATTGAACTGCGATGAATCACTCTGCTGTCGGATTCTTATTCCAAAAAAACTGAAGAGGCATTCTCCTTACGTACGAGACTGAACCATTAAAATGCCTCCTAAATCTCTCGCGTCCAGCTTGTTTGAGTTGCTAAAAAGTTCCTTACTAAACTGGACGACTCCCTTAATGTTCAACGCTCGCGGGAGATTCCCGGCAACCGTGGCTTTTTCTTGCTAGTAAAACGTGGGGCAAGTCTTACAAATAAGGTCCTTTAAAGATGAAAATGCAAACTTAATTCAGAAATCCAACTTGAGGAATCATGCTAGGGCTGAGAACAAACTATCGAAATAATTCCTGCGTGTCTATCACCAAAGTCTAGATTGGGCCTACCTCAACTCTTCAAGTGGCTCTTTGAATTGTACGAGTTACCTTTTGTTTTTAATTAAAGGCGCGCACTGCAGGCCAAGACTGCATCGTTCAGACTAATGTTCATTTGTTAGACCAGATCACACCGGCGTGCGTAAGTAGCGATACCGCCACTTACGCCCGCAGCCGACATTGCTGCACTTTCGTTTCGCGTTTTCGTTGCGTTGATCTCACGGATTTACTCCCACGTCGCGGCCCGAAATATTTTAATGAGCGAGAAAACCATCAAGCTCGCTGGAGTCACTGACAGGGTGAGAACGACGGGGATGAGCTTCAGTAGACCAGACTTCCTACCGTTGACAATGTTTTTACGTCTCATGCACCAAAGCAAGGAGGAAGGTATGGAGCATGGTGCAAGGCACGGAGCGTGTGCTGCAGGCCGGGTGCTCAAAAGACACGTCCTGCCGTTCTCTTTGGACTATAGCGCGACTGCATGCCAGAATCCCCGAGAAAGGCAAGTTACCAGCTTCTGGCGCTCCTGGACCCTCTTCTTGCGTTCCTCCTCCGCCTTAGCCGCCGCCCTCGTCTCGTCACCGACTGGCCGGAGCTTTCGGAGGTTCTTGCGGCTCTTGTTGCCCGCCTCCTGGCTCTGGATTGCAAACATTGGCGTGCGGAGAGGCTCGACACTGGTCGCACAAACCGACTGTCGAAAAATTGCAGCGACCCTACCAGCTGTGTTTGTCAATTCCATCGTCACTCTGACAGGAAAGTACTGCTGTGCCTCTAAACATGCAGCGGCACCGCTAGTGACCGCGTCGTGTTTTAAAGGGACCTTTTTTCTGTTTTGAACAGTATAGATGATATGCTGAATGGTGAGACGCAAGCATAGTGAGAGGTGGCTCTAATGAGAAACTATTCCTGCTGTGTAATTTAAAACATAACATCCCTTTAACCTAAAGAGGTAAGGGGACTAGAAGGGAGAGGAAGGGAGGAGAGAACAATGGGGAGAGGAAGTGTAAGAAGTGTCACGTGACACGAGATGTTAGGTATTGTGAAGTTGGGTCATGCAATGTCGGTCGCTTTGCTAAGTTTAGCGAGAAAACTAACCCGATGCATAGGTCACACGATGTCAGCTTACGTGATGTCGATTCACCAGCTACGTTTAACGGAAAATGCACGAACGGAGAAATTTCACGGACTACGGAGTTTGATTAAAAGGCATCTCCTGCTTTGAGACAATTCCTGCACAGGAGTCGTATCAAAGTCGAACAAAGCAAACAATAGCTCTGGACCGGCCCTTAAGGACAAGTAAGTCCATTCCTTCTTCCCACCTTGTTCTATCATAAGGAACAAAGGGAGCTCACCGAGTTGATAATCTCAACGCTGTCGTCACTTTTCTCCTTGTCGTCTTCCGAGGAGGCGGCCACCTTGATGCGACGGCGCTTCTTCTTGTTTGCCTTGCCGGAATCCGGCGACGCAGACGCGTTTCTGCGACCGCGCTTGCCCTTCTTGGACGGCTTGAAGTCCGAGTCGTCTGAATCTCCGCTCGATCCTCTCGAAGAAGACGCCTGCTTCTTTTTCTTCTTGCGACGCGGCTGGATGTCCGAGTCGTCCGATTCGCTTGAGCTGCTCGAGCCGAGACTGCTGCTGGAGGTGACCTCGGGTTTCTTAGAGTCGGCGTGTTTGTCTTCGTCTTCGCTCGACGCCTCTACCCGCTTGCTTTTGGGTTTCCTGCACGGAAGATGCAGCGAACGAGTCTTCCACGCTGCCTTATTTACAAGACCATACAGGCTTAAAAGCTGAAATCTTACGCGGTACAGACTACAGATTGTTTCAGAATAGAGCTGTAGGCCGGTTGCCATTTTTAACATTTGCCGCGTGGCTCGCTCAACTTCCAAAGCCACAAATGGATGTGCTAAGCTGTAGATTTGTAGGGATGTGTTCTTTCCAGGTCGTTCGCTATGGCAAGAGAAGTCATTTACTGTACCGTATTTCGTGAACTGTAGTCCGCAGACTATACGTGTTTAAAGTTGAACTTTATGCGTTCGGGACTACAGACCATTCCAGAAAACAGGGGTTGCCCAGCCAGTTTTGAGATTGGAGGTAATTTTGGAGCAGAAAAAAACCTCGTCCTGGAGCTCCTTTGTAACAAGAAAATCACACTTTGAAGCAGCACATACATAAGCTTGGAGCAATTCGGTGAAGTTCCTTTTTAATGATACCGGCATGCATTCATGTGATCAGTACCTAAAGTTAGCAGTTTCACAGCCCTTTCAGGCTGTGAAGCTGTGCTATAAACTTAGTTATATTTGTGCTGTTTCCATTAGTACTATTGAACAAAAGTCAGCAGGAATCATGTAAGCATGTTTACTATCAAAATTAATTAGTCGGTGTAGAGTACCAATTTAAACTTCTAGAAAACAAGTGAGGGAAATTGGCACTACAGTTTTCTCACGCGACACAAAAATCCGCAATTTTAGGGCCTCATAACTTCTAAAGACAAAATGCGTTGCAACAAAAATTTGATTTACAATGACACTTCCTGACAGCCTATCACTGTGTAAACATTCAATGTCTGATTTGCTTCGTTTTTCCTCAGTCGTGATCACAATCAAGCTGCTTGAAAATCCAATTTAGTGAACAGGATATCAACACAAATATTCTAGTTCCCTAATGCACAGATGCTTTAACGAGTAGGACAATGATTCATAATAAAGCAGTCCCAAATGAGCATACTAATGAACTAAGAATTATGTGCGAGCTATGTGCGAGCAGATTCTACAAAATAGTGTCATTTCTCGACATGCGCACGCAGGAAAAAATTACTTTTACTCGTTATTCTTCAATATTGCGTCTTGAAATGCCACTGAAATGACTGAACTACACTGCTTTAGGACCTTCCAAAAAATTTGTCCAAAACAATGCCGCAGAGTGGGAAACCTGGATGGATTGTGATGGCAGAATCCCATTGAATTTCCACAGTTGCCAGATGAAATCTCCTCCAAAAATGAATTTGTTTGCAGATAAATGCTTTGGCTCATTAATGGACGAAGAGTGCGTTGGTGCGGGTCAGATTGAAGAAAAAATAAACAAGCAAGACGAAGACAACACATCTTTCAACTAACGACAGATATATAAAAAGTCCAAAAGCGAGCAGCCGATTAATCGGTTGCTCGCTCTTGGGATTCCTATATGTCTGTTGCCAGTTGAAAGATTGTGTCGTCTTCGTCTTACCCGTTTATTCCTTTTCCAATCTCACCTGAAGCTTTGGCTCGGCTTGGTGCAATTTTTCCTTTTGGGGGCCGCAAGGCACAGGCAAGCAGGAATTTATCAAAATGGCGCATATGGCACAACTGGACCACCCCCGAGAAAAATGCCGCATGCCGGTGCTACTTTAAGCGCTTGCACGAGTGGCGCCTGTTTTGTTCAAATTCCAAAACCATGAATGCTTGTGCTGGGCCGTGGATTTGTAAGGATGCTTTTCTTTCTAGATCATTTGTTGTGGCAAGAAGCGACGCACCTGGCGAATGACAGAGTGTGGTAATGATGGTTTATGTATGATACAAGCTTGTTCGTGAGCTAATAAAGCAGGCATTTGCCAAGGTGTGTGAGCATTTCTCGCGTGCGGACTAGGCGCCTGTTGCGGATTGATCAAACCAATCTATCACAGGCAGCAAAAAAGCGCAGTCATGCACTGCGCATAACTGGCTTAGTTGGCGACTGCAAACGCACAAAGCCAACGAGAGATGCAGCTTTGGCGCCGCTTGATTGGCTCCATCCATCGCAGCACTGGCTGCACTCGGACTTGAAGTGAAACGATTTAGAAACATTATGCACCGTTTCGCGTGAGATAATGAGCGCAGGGAGGCTCACCTTTTCCGGCTCTGTGGCGGCGGCTCCTTCTCCGAGCTGTCGTCCTTGCCGCCGGGAACTGGCTTCTGCAGGAGCTTCTCATACTTGAGCAGCTTCTTGCTCTTCTTCGTGGCGACCCTGATTTCGTCGCTGTCTTCTTCATCGCCGTCAGGAACAGCCTCCTCCTTCTCAGAAGCAGCCTCCTCCTTCTCAGAAGCAGCCTCCTCCTCCTCAGGACCAGCCTCCTCCTCCTCAGGACCAGCCTTCTCTTCCTCGCAGTCAGGAATGACGCCCTCTTTTTCCTTTGGCACCGCCTTCTTCTTTGGCACCGCCTTTTTCTTCTTTGGTTCTGCCTCGCCGTCTTCTGCACAGAGACGCACCATCTCAGCTAATGCTTGGCTTCTCCAATTGGATTCATAGAAAGCCAGGGGGTTCCCCTATGTACCCTCAAGGGTTCTGCAGTATGCCTTTGAGGGTTCTGCAGTATGCCTTCGAGGGTTCTGCAGTATGCCTTCGAGGGTTCTGCAGTATGCCTTCGAGGGTTCTGCAGTATGCCTTCGAGGGTTCTGCAGTGCCCTCAAGGGTTTCCCAGTATGCCTTCCAAAGCATACTGGGGAACCCTTGAAGCACATTTTGTTTAACAATATGCTTCCATCAATTCTTGCTTGTAACCCTTTAGAGTTTTGGTAGATTATAAAACCTACTAAGAAAATATCTCTTGCGGATCAAGTGATCACATTATGCACAGTGAAGAATGTTGCTCTGTACTAAAGAATGTTCTTCAATCATTTTCAGATCCTTGTGTACACGCAGTGCCCTAATTACGTAACCGCGAGTTCCTTCCAATGGATCCTATTGTTATGAATTCCGTGGGAATGAATTTAACCTGCCAACTGAAGCTTTCCTCTTGTCGTGCCATTGATGAAATGAACTCAAAGTATATAAAGAACACTGAAGTCTATTCACCTGTCTTCTTATTGCACAAAAACAGTCTATTCAGCGCTCCACGGTGCTGTATCATTGTAAGGTGGATCCTCTTCAGAAGTCCGGCAATATACAATCTCCCCTTAATTATAGCCCCATTTTGTTAACGAGCATTGCCTGTAAAATCTTAGAACATGTCATCCATTCAAAGCTGGCCTCATTTCGAGTCTAATTTATATTTTAGCCCATTTCAGCACGGTTTTCAGAGACATGAATTATTCCTGTGAAACTGATCTGCTCTTCTTTACTCATCACGTAGCCTCGGTCCTTGACCATGAAAAATTTTCAACTGCATCTTCCTCAACTTCCAAAAGCGTTGGACAAGGTACCACATCAATTACTCCTCCTTAAAATCAGTACCTTAAATATTGACCCTACCGTCATCAAATGGATTGATTGCTCTTTGACTAACCATACCCAGTTTGTAACTGCTAATGATTGTACCTCATCTCCTTGTCCCGTAAAGTCTGGCATCTCTCAGGGTTCCATTTTAGGCCCTTTGCTTTTTTTTTTTTTTTTTGAGACTATATATTAATGATTTTCCCGCTGGCATTCAGTCTTCTATCAAATTATTTTCTGATGACTATGCTCTATCTGTGAAATAATTAACCAATGTGATCATTCTCTTCTACAATCTGACCTCGACAATATCTCTATATGGTGTAATAAATGGTCAGCGACTCTTAACATTAGCAAATGTAAGAGCATGAAAACTTCCTGCTTTTCAAATCTAGCACAATTTATACACGGTGTGTGGTTTGAGCAGGACAGACTTTGTGCTCCCTGGTCTTTGTCGGCATGATCGAGCAAGTAGAAGAATTATTTTCCAGTCACTTTACTAACTTATTAATGTATCAATGAACTTTTACTGTAGATGTGACAAGCTAAAAAACTAAGACAGGGCAACTGGTATTGGCTCTCGATAGAAACAAAAAATCGTGCAAACAAAGACGGCGTGCCACAAAGAAACTGAGACTTCCTCAGGTCTTCGTCAAAAGACAAACGCTTGCGTTACCCTCTTTGCTGTCATCGCTGCTGCCCAGAAGTGCCTCTTCCAAAAGGGCCCGTTGAGAGGCTTCGTTCGCATTTTCCACAAGCTAAAAAACAAGAAAGTCAATTACTTTTAAGGAGACACCAAACTGTTGTACAACACTCGGTGAAGGTGCTTTTAAAATTTGGGGGCGTGACAAAACGGGAGATTAGCACTTTATCAAACAATGAACATTGCATGCTCAATAGTCAAGTCAAAACGTGTTTTTATTTTCAAACAAGTTGCGAGCTCATAAGGTATTTATCAAGCCAGGTGTCCCAAAGATCTCGAAGAAAACAGTGGAAGGGACCCCTTGATCATAAAAGGTTAAGTTAGTGATCAAAAGTTAGCCTAGCAGTTAATGTCAATCAAAGAAACAACAGTGTAAGTAAAGAAAACAAAGCTACACAAAGTAAAAAAGCAATCGCGGTACATACATGATAAGAACAAAGATGTAAAACCAGTTGAAAAGCAAAAAAAAAATAACATTAAAATATCAAAGTGCAAAATAAGGGGAAAATTAACAAGCTATGCAGAAACAAAACCTTTTGAGGAAAAATATATCGAGATTCACACACATACTACACAAAGGGAAGCAAAGGGTTGACAAATAGTACCTTGGACAAGGGAACTATTTTCGGCGCTGACTCCTCCCCCGTTTCCTCCTCTGAAGACAGTGAACTCAAATCTGAAGATAAAAGTAAATGGGCATGGTTAGGAAAGAGTTAACAAAGAACCTTCAAACAACAGCGAGGTAACAAGTCTCAATATGTGTGTACCAAACACGCATATAATGAAAACACCTCCGGGATCAAATTCAAACATGTCTACATGCAAGTGGCAAATTAGTATCAACCCAAAAATGATAATCTGAAAACTGTGATCCCTTAGATCTCATCACAAACACACCCAAACCAAATGTGGTTGATTTACGAAAGGAAACATGACGGTTTAGAAAATAAAACGGCTCAGTATACCCCCCAAGGATGAGATACACATGCTCTGCAACGAAGTATCAGAAACCTATTCTACAAATAATTGCTGAAATCGTTGCTCACATAGTCGTCAAAATGACACTTCATATTGCACCATTGCATTCCAAACATTGCGTGAACTTTTCTTTATTAAACTGCTTAGGAACTGCTACAATAATCTACAAATACCTTTCATAGACATCTGAAATCAGCTCGCTTAATTTTCTGATCTAACCGCATACTTTCCAGATGGGCCTACACTACCAACCGACGACTTTGGCTGTATTATTAATGCCTTTCAAATATATCTCTCTTACAGTAGACATAGGGATATAACACACTTGATATTTGCCATACAGAAGCTAATTTATCCCATCACATTTGTTTGGGTGCATTACCACCCGTCTGCACAACTGAAGTAGTTGTATAACAGATGCGTGCCACCTGCCTTGGTTACAAACTGAGACACAAACTTGGAAGTGCACAGGGTTCGCTCAGATGTTATCGCATTTAAAAAGGCCGTGCAACGACGCATATTTTTCACTTTACACAAGCTTACTGGCGCTAGTGGAACTGCGTGCTTGCACACAACACCATTGACCAAAAAGCCTTTGTCGTTGCATGATTTCAAGGATAAAAGCAGACATTTTCTTTCAATCTCTCCTTTGCAAAACTTGATGACGAAGTTGTGGGGATCGCGTTGTTGGAGTTGTCAACAATGCAGTCCCCAGGATTTTGTTATCAAGCTTCGAGATCCTTGCGGAGATATTTAAATGTGGCTCATGCAGTGGACAAGCACTGCGTAAGCATTTCACTTGGGCTCGTGACCAACCAATGCCTTGACATGCATTCAGGGAGTGGCTTGTGCCCAATCACAACGATAACGGGAAAAGCCAAACCTGAGAAGGTAAGGAACTTGGCACGTGTCCTGTGCTTTGGAAACCCCAGCACGCGTCTATGATAAACACGGCGATGTTACTGGTCCGAATCATTTCGGAGGAGCCAAAAGTGCATTTTGGAACAGCAAAAAGAACTTTTGAGGCATAGGCGCATATTTTCATTCACACCACACAAATACTGTGCTAAGATTCATCTGTTAGCACATTCAGCTACATGACAATGTGTCTTGGCCCTCCAACTTATGTAGAACTTTTTGATAGCATCAACTGCATGGCAGGTTTGATTACTTCAAACTTGGAACCAGCTGTTCACTTTCGCGTAGAAGCACTAGACACATATCAACAATATGCTGGTTGACGAAGGACAGTATGAGCTGCTACGAGTGGTTATTTTAGGTACAGTCAAAAGTACCATATTTTCCAGTGTATAAATTGCACACTGGTGGCATAGTCTGCTAGAAAACATTTGCGGTTAAAAGTTTTTGCTTAAATAGTCCACACCTGCTGCATAGTCTGCACTTATTGCGTAGCCCGAACGTAAAAATGATGATACGCAGCCCACCTCGAGAAATGCCTGCTGTATTAGCTTAAAAGAAGCTTGTACCATATATAAATCAACATTAATATACACCATTATTATTAAGATCCTTCACGTTTTGCCACAGTGAATGATCTAGAAAAAACAAACACCTGTACAGCCCGCTTCGGGTAAAATTGCTTCCATCCACTGGTGCAGCTGATTCGATTCCAATTTATCTTTTGACTGTGCCTATATAAAGATGATACAAGCGCATTGTTCGTAGCACGATCAGCTAACGGTATGACTAAATGCAATTCAAACTCCTGTCCACATATTGACACTTTGTATTATTTATACTTGTTGCCTCGAACCTATAGGGGTGAACTGGGTTCAAACTTTGTCAAACTTTTGTTCAGAAGTTCGAACTTTTGAACTCAGCAGGTTCAAAAATTGAAAGATTGTCAAATATCTTAAAGTATGAAGTTCAAATTTCATAGTGCAAGAAATCTGAAGTTTGAAAACAATTGAATTTCTCAGTTCCCAAAAATCCAAAAGTTTGAAAATTGTCGCATTTTTATGCTGCTCGTTTTTCAAAAATTTTTTTTTTGCAGCTGCCATTGCTTGGATAAAGAATATAACGCACATATTATGGGTTATAAATGTCAAAAAATAATTACAGGCTGTATTTACTGAATCTACAAAAATAGTTAACCTTTTAACTTTATGACCGTTGCCGCCGTACATGTACTGGAGTAGTCTTGATTACCCATTTGAAAGCGATCGCTTAAACGCAAAAGTGTGCGCACAGCGGGAGATGTTGCTTTTTGTTATGTCCTCGGTGATCCATAAACGTTATATTCACACTATGATCTGCTTTCCTGGGCTAGTAATAATTTTCAAATTAGATGCTCCACGAATGTAAAGCTCACTTTGCACACCAGCCACTCTGACGATAGTGCCGATGGGAGCACTGGCTCTTCCGATTCAAACTTCTGGCACATTTGGGAATTAAATTCAGAGACAAGTGCTCATCACCCGACAGAGAAGCTCTGTAAAATACCTCTGGCTAGGAATCTGCAGCCGCTGGATTGTCGCGGAAGCGGACGCGCCAACACGAAACCGAATGAAAGAAAGGTGACTACCTTTCACTTTCAATATTTCCTTTTGATGCTTCTAAACCTAAATGGCTTGTAAGCACTGTATGTGCTCCCACTAGTTAAGAAAAAATCTGTCAATTGACACTTTCTTTATACTAGTCTTTTGGGAACAAAACCTGACCACTGGGAATTGTGAAAAAAAAAAAAAACTTGACCCTCAAGGGTTAATGGGGGGCTGCACTTACCGCTGGCTTCGATGCCCTCAGCGTCGGCCTTCTTGGAGTTCTTAGCCACTGCCTTCGCCTCCCCTGGCTTTCTGGGCGTCCTGTCGCGCTTACGAGCTGGCTGCGGAAACCTGAGCAGTCCCGAAATGTCGTCTCCACTCTTCCTCCTTTTTTGCTCCGTCAATGTGTCCAAAGAAATATCGAGCTTCCGTAGCACGACGACCGGCTCCAGACTCAGCTTGGGGTCGTCAAGTCCCAGATCCTTCACATTTACTGGCGTTGGGGTAGAGGAGCGAGAGAGTGCCGGAGTCGGCGGATCCGCATCAGCTTCCTGCGCCTTCTTCTTGGGACTCCACTTTGTCCGCCGCTTCGTAGGAGTCTTCTTCTGGTTCCGCCGCGACCTCAGCGCCAGCGGCAGGTCGTCCTCACTGTCCTCGTCGCTGGAACCGTCCTCAGAGTACCGCAGGCTGCGTATTAGGGCCTGACGAGCCTTCTGGTTCTTGCTGAGCGGAGAACGCTTCTTGCGCTGCTCGTCATTCGTCTGTGCCGTCAACGGCTCGTTTTCTTCCGACGAGCTCTTGTTGCTTTCAGTCGGCAGGTCGCAAAAGTTGTCGCCCTTTGATGACGAAGCGCTGCTGTCCTTGTCAAGGTCACAAAGGTCCTGCGTCTTGGAACCGCCCACCTGCGAAGCCGATTCATCCACGGCGGCAGGATTCCAACTGGTGGATGCTTCGTCGTGGCTCGGACTGAGCTCGGCGACGACGGGAGTCGCCCGTGACCCAGACTCATCGGGTAAATCCTGCTCGACCAGGTCGGCTAGAAGCGACTGCGACTCCACCAGAGAGTCCTCGCAGTCTGCTCCGGCAACAGGCGGAAACTCGTCTCCGAGACTCAGCGCTTCGGGGAGGTCCAGCACTATTGTCGGAGTTTCGTCTGCTCCGGAAGGCTCCCCGCACTCTGTGTCCTTGCCGTCTCCGTCCTTTACCTTCAAAACATTCTTCGTCTTGTCCTTTCCTGCCTGTAAGTCTTCCTTCACTTCTTCCTCTCGGGCCTCCGCAGTGACGTCCAAAGTCTCGTCCACGATTTCAGACGCGTCAACTGCGGGTTCGGACACATCCTCGCCTCCTTGCCCGTCCTCTTCCATCTTGCCCTTCCCCTTGTCCTCCATCTTCTTGGAAGTCCTCTTCTTGTCCTTTCCTGCCTGTAAGTCTTCCTTCACTTCTTCCTTTCGGGCCTCCACAGTGACGTCCAAAGTCTCGTCCACGATTTCAGATGCGTCAACTGCGGGTTCGGACACATCCTCGCCTCCTTGCCCATCCTCTTCCATCTTGCCCTTTCCCTTGTCCTCCACCTTCTTGGAAGTCCTCTTCTTGTCCTTTCCTGCCTGTAAGTCTTCCTTCACTTCTTCCTTTCGGGCTTCCACAGTGACGTCCAAAGTCTCGTCCACGATTTCAGACGCGTCAACTGCGGGTTCGGACACATCCTCGCCTCCTTGCCCATCCTCTTCCATCTTACCCTTCCCCTTCTCCTCCACCTTCTTGGAAGTCCTCTTCTTGTCTGCTGTCGTCGTACGGTCTGTGCGCTGCAGTTGTTTCTTCCGCCGCTGGGAACGATCCACGCCTTCCGTTATCCTGGCCAGCTTCAGGGCATTGGCGTGCATCAGCTCGGCCGTCTTCACGAGGTCTTCGGGGCCAACGCCCTTCCCCTGTTTTGCTTTGTTGAACTCATCCAGTGTCCGCTGAATCTGCGACGTCATCTCCGCGATCATCTTCAGCTGCACCTCCTCGCTAACCTTGCCGCTGGGCGAGTCGGCCGAGGGAACCAGTTGGTTTGACGGCCGCTGTTGCTGCTTCTTGCTGAACTCTCGTATCATGTCGGCGTAGTTGACGAGGCCCTGGATCGGTGATGCGTCGCAGACGTAGCAGTTCCAGACGTCCAGGGACGTGATGCGGCCCAGTTCCTTACGGGAGAGGTTGCGTCGGATGCACGACTTGCAGAAGCTGCGGCTGCACGAGTCGCACACCACAAGGCTCCCACCCTCAGCACACCACCGGCAGTACTCGTCGGCACCGCTAGAGTCCTTCTGGAAGATGCCGTCTCCATACCTCTTGTAGCAGTTCTAGGAAATGCGAGTTTGCCACGGCAGCTGTCAGCACTGAACGCGTCAATCCCCGAATACCAAAGAGCTTGTCCAATAATCTGCTACAGAACACCTTGCAAATCTAATGAGAATGCATTTTTTTTTTCTATACTGACTTTTATCAGTCTTTCATCAAAATTCACAATAAGAGAGCAAGATGCTACGAAATAGGTGATGTACAGCGCTTAATTAAACTACTAAATGGATCATCGAAGCACGTGGCCTCACTAGAGTAATTGCATATGCTCCATGTTCCGTAACTTTGTATGTAGCCTTTGTAACATGCTGGAGACTGAGTCGCAGGGGTGTAGTGTGTTACTTTGGTTTGAGATGGATGGCTGGCTTTCGTTAGGAGTCCCCTTCGTAGTGGCCGCCCGGCGGGGCTGCGTGGCCGTGAACAGTTGGGGAACAGGGGAGTACCGGGAATTGGATATTGTGGACACAAGAGGTATCTAATGACTTCCACGTGCGTCTGCGGGGGTCGATTACTGGAATGTCTAGAGTCGGCAGCGGAGGGCTGCTTTGGTTTAGTGGCGCCAATTTGACTTGCGATTCGACTATGCTTGTCGAATCGCAGTCCTTCGGAGATGACAGTGCGTGTCTGGGGGAGAGAGTGAAAGAGAGGAAGACATGAGGGTAGCTATGCTGAGAGCGTGGGAGTTAAGAAGGGAAGTCGACTAAGAGACTTGAGAGGAGATGCATCGAGAGTGATGCAGGAGGATTGGGACGGAGTGAGAGCTGAGAAAGAGATCAGCATGAGTTGAGATTGAAGTACTATTGAGAGCGATGTGGAGGAATCGAGTGGCGAAAGTGCAGAGGTGTCACTTATAGAGTAAAACGGCAGAGGCCCTAGAGTTTTGAGAACGAGTGAACTTTGAATTATGTTGCAATTTTTGTGTATATACCTGTATATAAAACCAAGTTATTCAGTCCTAAAAGTCCACGATCCCAACATCACTTAAAGGGGCCCTCCAACAGTATTTGAGAGTCGACTTTTTTTTGCGGTTTCTACACGCTAGTGGTCCCGGAAACCCAGTGGACAACGGAAGAGTTTGAAAATATTAGCGCATCATATTTTAATTTGACAACTCGGAAACACCTCCTCCGACGGTGGCGCCGCGAGGTGCCGAATGCGCGCGCAAAACGGCGCTCCCTTTCACTCTACGTCACATTCTCTGGGTTTCGTGAATGGCGAGAGCCGTCCCAGGAATTTTGAAGCGAAATAAAGTATATCACACGTTAACCGTCATTATTTCTCGAACAAATCATTTTTACAGAGCTAATAAAGTTGCAAATTAAAGTTCAAAAAGAGCGAAAACAACGCCTTGTCGTTACGTCGCGGACGCCGCTGGGAGGCGCATGCGCGCCTCCCAGCGGCGTCCGCGACGTACCATCGCGAGCAGACAACAAGTGGTCCGTGCAGACAACGCGCATCGTATTTTCACTTGTGCGCCCCCGGTCCCGGTCAACTAAAAGCAGTAAGAGGAGCGAGGGGAACCCTTATTTTCTTTTAGTGCTGTGACAGACTTTTCACTGTTCGAGTGAAGTGCGGCGACAGGACCCAGCTTATATCGTGCCCAATGGGAACGCTTCCCAGTTTGTACCTCCTAGTCGCCGAGGCGGCTCCGGTGGCAGAGTTGCGGGAGACGAGTCTTCCGCGGCTGTCGAAGCGGATTGAGGCAGAGACGCGGCGCTTGCGTGGAGTGTCCACGTACGGCGCGACGCCCAGATCTGCCCTCAAAATCCGATAAGCCCGGTAAATTCATCGATGATGGCAACCCGATCCCAAAGCTACGATGGTTGCAACTAGGCCTAATGGCCGACGAGCCGACGGGCTATCAACCAAACTCGCGTCCAATTGGCCAACCGCTTTGCTCCAATCGCTAAACAGTTTCATTTTACGTCATGAAGCACAATGTTTTGCTTATTAAAAGTTGTTTTTTGCAAAATTTTATTTGCTACTAACTCGCAAAATATTGCGAATTTCTGTAATATTTTTTCTCCTGGGTGTTTCTGCTTTGATGGAGCTCCGTTTCAGCGCGAACTTCATACCTGTCAAAAAACTGTTGGTGGGCCCCTTTAAACCCAAAAGAAGAGACCCTTGGCTGGCAATCGGCGAAAGTGACGCGAGCACAAACCTTGAAGACAACGAGCGACTTCACGCTACGTGGCAATGAGACGATAAACTTTACACTCCGTTTCTGGAACATATACAATTACTCTAGCTTAGAGTAAATATATGGCTCTGAAATTTAGATACTCCAGACATTGCTATAGGAACTGTATGCTGTAAATGACTCAATTTTCACAAGGACATCATTCTCGCAAATTTCACGACCCGGTTAATATCTTGAACAATATATCCCGCGAATATTCTTTCCTATGGGAACAAATACATGGCATTCCACCATGAGCCTCAAAATTTTGTGCCCACCAAAGATTTCCCCCATAAACCACACTTCATCAAATTCACAAAATATTGAGCTCTTCTTGACAATAAAGCCTTTTACAGTATGCGCGAGGCCACGCGTTCTGCCAGTCCATTTCATTTCATTCAGCACGGTATGATAAAAAGCTACAGATGCAGATTATCTCTTACAAAAGATATCCAGCCATCAATTCTTGCATGTTGTAAAACATATTATATTACTTTCCAAGCCTTAAAGTCATCTTTTGGTACGCCATTATTGCACTTTCTAGACGACATTGTGATTTCTCAAAGATGACGCTTCCTATAGCCACCTTCCTGCTTGACTAGCGTGTTGCCTTAGTTAAAAGGGATGCCTCTTACCCTGCACAAAATGACCTTCAAGTGCTTGTGGATTAGAACCTTCTTAGGGTCGAAATGATTGACCTGTTCTCCACAGGCAGTGCACATCACTCGCAGGGTGGTGATGAGGTCGTCTGCACATACAGAGTCATCCCACTTTAAGGCATGCCGACACACTAAGCACATTGTGGTGAACAGTCACTACAATCAATGTAAATGTCTGACAAAAAACAATGATGAGTAGAACTAAAGAGTTTTGTGGAAATTAGGCAAGATACCCAATAAGAAGTTGATGCACCTCTTTTGACATACTTCTTGGTTGCGGCATCATAGCATAACTTGTTAGAGGGGCCATGAAACGATTCTTGAACTCTTTCCTTCTTCGCTTTCTCCCTGAACTCTCAAATCGTACAGCATACCCTACAGTTCAAGAAGAGAAAAAAGAGGAACTCCCCTCTTGCTTGGACGCTCGTCTGTGTGCCCGGACATCGCCATTCTCCCCCTAGAAGATTAGCCCGTCGCTCAAAATTCGGACGAAAGTTGCTTTTCTTACCCCGCTCACCCCTAAGCTGACAGTGCTGTCCAGTTTGAGTTCGGCAGTGGTGCAGGACGAACAAATGTCTAACCACAACTACCTCAGTTTGCAGAATTTCTGGGCCATCAAAACCAAGTGCTGCGCCAGTTTCGAGTCCTCCCTTGCTGACTCCCCATTTCACCGCCACGTGTTGCCATCAAGATCGGAGACCGCAGCACCACCAACGACCCCGACAAGCCCTAAGGCATACAGTGCCGGCCGATTTTCTATCAGTTCGGCGGTGGTGCAGGACAAACACACATCTAACCACAACTATTTCCGTTTGCAGGTGAGAATTTGAGGAAAGTCTTAAAAAGTTTCTAAAAACCTTTTTTTCTGAATGCACTGCTGCCAAACAGCAAATTTTGTGAAGTGTGTAAACTGTTCTTGAACCGTCCAGTTTGTGTCTCCGCATCTCAAAAGGAGTAAAGATCCAAAAGATTTCACCAAAGCTCTTGAAGACTTGACGGGAAATAAGAACCAAAACAAGAGGACTAAAGGAAAGCGTAAACTACCGCAGCAATTCATGCGATTACCTGAAAAAGGTCGCTGACGACATTAAGGAACTACGGAGGGAAGTACAAATACTGACAAAAAAAATGAAAGCCGCTTACAACTCCCTGTAACGCCGAATTAGAGCGCAGCTCTTAAGGAGGAGGAGGGAAGGGCACTGGGGGGGGGGGGGTTCAACTAACCAGGGGGGTCACGTGACCTTGGGGGTCACGTGACCCCCAAATATTGATGATGTCATCACTGACGACGTCATCAGTGACGATGACGATGCGGATACCGATGACGTCATTAGTGACGTCACTGATGACTTCACCAGTGATGATGACGATGACGATGCGAATGTCGGCTACGTCATCAGTGACGTCACTGATGACGTAATCAGTGATGATGACGATGACGATGCGGATGCCGGTGACGGCATCAGTGACGTCACTGATGACGTCATCAGTGATGATGTCGATGACGATGCGGATGTCGGTAACGTCATCAGTGATGATTACGATGACGATGCGGATGCCGGTGACGTCATCAGTGATGATGACGATGACGATGTGGATGCCGGTGACGACATCAGTGATGATGACGATGACGATGCGGATGCCAGTGACGTCATCAGTGATGATGACGATGACGATGCGGATGCCGGTGACGTCATCAGTGATGATGACGATGAAGATGTTGATGCCGGTGACGTCAGTGATGATGACGATGACGATGCGGATGCCGGTGACGTCATCAGTGATGATGACGGTGACGATGCGGGTGCCGGTGACGTCATCAGTGATGATGACGATGACGATGCGGATGCCAGTGACGACATCAGTGACGTCACTGATGACGTCATTAGTGATGATGACGATGCGGATGTCGGTAACGTCATCAGTGATGATGACGATGACGATGCCGGTGACGTCATCAGTGATGATGACGATGCGGATGCCGGTGACGTCATCAGTGATGATGACGATGACGATGCGGATGCCAGTGACGACATCAGTGACGTCACTGATGACGTCATCAGTGATGATGACGATGACGATGCGGATGTCGGTAACGTCATCAGTGATGATGACAATGACGATGCGGATGCCGGTGACGTCATCAGTGATGATGACGATGACGATGTGGATGCCGGTGACGTCATCGGTGACGACGACGTCATCGGGGGTCACGCGACATCGGCGGGGGTCACGTGACCTCGGGGGGGTCACGTGTCCCCCCACGAGGTCATGTGACCCCGGTGGGGGGCTCGCGCGGTGCATTATGGGAAATTTCCCATGATGCACCGCGCGGTTACGCCGACGCCGCTCAAGCCGGAAACGGGCCCCTAAGAGCTGCGCTCCAAAAATGAAAGCCATTCACAATTCCCTGTAACGCCGGTTAGAGCGCAGCTCTTGAGAAGGAGGATGGAAGCGTACTGAGGGATAGGTGAATCCTTGAGGTCACGTGACCTCAAGGGGGGGGGGGGGGGGTCACATGACCTAGGGGGAGGGGGGCATGCGACCTGGGGGGGTCACGCAACCTGGAAGTGGGGTCACGTGACCTGGGGGGTCACGTGGCCTGGGGGGGTCACGTGGCCTGGGGGGGGGTCACGTGGCCTTGGGGGGGGTCACGTGGCCTTGGGGGGGGTCAGTGGCCTTAGGGGGTCACTTGGCCTTAGGGGGGTCACGTGGCCTTAGGGGGGTCACGTGGCCTTAGGGGGGTCACGTGGCCTCAGGGGGTCGTGACCATGGGACCTCGCGGTTACGCCGACACCGCTCAAGCCAGAAACGGGCCCCTAAGACCTGCACTCTAAGAACAAAAATTTAGAAACTGAGAACTGCAAAGTAACTAGCAGGTTGGAAGAAATTGAACAATATCAAAGGGCAAATAACCTTGAAATCAAAGGAGCACCAGAAGTAGGTGATCCCATCCTCATTGTATAAAGCAGATTGGAGAGATTCTAGGCGAGCCTATAACCGAGGCGGACATTGACATCTGTCACAGGGTGCCTACACAAAAGCCAGCAGAAAAAAACATGGTATGCCTTGTACAATGAAGCAAGAGAAACTTGCTGATGCAAAAATGTAAAAAGAAGCGCATGACGGCTTCAGACTTCTATGCTGCTGGTGCGGCATCCCCCGTGTATGTGACTGACCACCTGACTCGACAAACGGAACCTGGGAGCAGCGATTGCTCGAAAATGTGTAGTAGGATGGAAATCTGTTTGGTTATCGGGAGGAAGGGTATACACACGAAAAAATGAAACCTCACCCGTTATCAGGATTGCTCACATCTACGACATAGAAAAAATGACAAGGTAATCTCTGTCTTTCTGTAGATCTTATTTCAAATACAAATTATATCTTTAATGGATGGAACGTATCCGATGGAATGTAGATATTTTGACGACTCATCCTTTAATCTCACTTTCTGTAACTTTGAGAGTAGTTTTTCTGCAATCCACGTTTACACCAGGAGTAGCAGTAACAACCGCGACGACCTGGAAATCTTTTTTTGTATCCTTGAGCATGCGCTTTGACACGTTACTTTTCTGATACTAGGATTCCCGAACATGCTGAACCACCTTTTTTTAATGATTATAAATGCGCCAGTTTAGGCAGAGAAAGTAAAAGAGGAGGGGTGTTGCCTTCTATTTAAGACACAATATTTCTTGGTATATTGTTGAAAATTTCTTTGTGATCACAGCTGACACTGAGTGCCTTGTTTTAGATGCTGAAACTTGTTTATAGACCCACTGGTAATAAGGAAGATTTTTAAAAATTTTTTTGGAAGACCTCCAAATTATTTTTAATTATGGGTGATACAAACATTGACCTACTTGAATGTTATAGTTATGTAATAGAGATGAATAGTCTCTTATCTGCTTGGGGATGTTCTAATGCTGCGACACTGCCCACGTCAGTGACTTTAAAAACTTCTAGTTCAGTGGTTCTCAACCATCGATGTTTCGCGGACCCCTTGTGGATCGGCAGAGATGGAGGACCCAGTTCGTGACGAGGGGAAGGGAAAGGTATAGGTTAATTATGACAATGATTCATTGAATGGATATAACTAAGGGCTAGTTTGAAGTAGACTTTTCTAATTGACATACAGACGAGAAAACTCATCCAAAAATTGGAACATTTCATCTCAATCTAAAAAGAAAAACACCTTTTATTGCCAGGCTTGACTGATGAGGCAGGGCTTCGCGGACCCCTAGAATGCCTTCGCGGACCCCACAAGGTCCGCGGACCCCCATTTGAGAACCACTGTTCTGGTTCAATAAATATGTGCATAACTAATCTCAATGCTAGGGAAGCCACATCTGGCGTATTTACACAAGATATAAGCGACCACATGCCAGTTTTCTGTCCACCATCTTTCTTTTGTGGCTAAAATACATCGAAAGGCGATAGTTACTCCCACCGACGCATAAATGAAGAATCACTGGAAATTTTGTGTCCTGCTTGAGCAAACTGGATGAACGTCCTTTTGGAATGTGACCCTAACCTTGCATATGCACTTTTTTAAAACAAATTTAAGCTTTGCTATGACGTTGCTTTCCCGCTTATTCAAGTAAATAAATGTCAAAATAATATATGAAAACCTTCGATCACAAATGATTTATATTGACATATTAAGAAAAAAGATAGGATGTACCATAATTTTATTAAATGAAGGAACCAAAATCTTCTCATCGAATTTAAAAATCTTCTCATTGAATTGCCGATGTCGTCAGGCGGCCTGACGGACGTTTCCGACGCCATCAACGGCGGACATTTATGAACCAGACGTGATGCACTCTCTTCATAAATGGACAGCGTACAATTATTTTATTCTATCAATAAAACATGAAAAATGAAGATGAAATGAGAACAAAGCAAATGTTCTATTTCTTCTGCTTAGCACTTGTTGGTTGTTACTGCGTCTCTTCTCTTCTCTGCAACTTTAACCCATGCTGCTGTCATCTTCCATGGTGCGCTTAGCTCCCAACGATTGAGCGAAGGTTGTTATCCATTACGGGGAGTGCCAGAGGACGGAAAAGGTACACCCGACGTTTTCGAGCAGAGCTTTGACGGCATCCTCCGGGCTCCTCTACAATTCTACACTGGGTAAGGCATCTCAACGAGGAGGAAAACATCCAAAACAAGCCGACAAAAAGCCGTGTCATCACCGAAGCCAACGCAGAAAAATGCGGTACTCTGCCTCCAGTCGACGCAGAGAGCACTGCTGACATCTGGCGACTGTTGTGCCAATCGGATGTCTTTTATTAGCACATGGCCACTTTAAGTAGGAATTTCAAGTTTTTCATTTCCAACTTTTTACTCGGCCAAGGTTGTGCAGAGAAATTTTTATACTTTTAATACACGTTTGCCGGCCACCTCTACAAAATTTTAGCACAATATGTCTAGAAACCGATTTATGCCATCTGTTCAAACAGCCACGGATCCTTTTGACTCACCCTGTAGAAACTACTAAAAAACTCGGTATTCAAAAACTGTAAACAAATAAGTTACAGCTCCAAATTATTCTGAATAAACAAAGGTCGAATAAGGCCATTCAAAAGAGGGGTGCGAGGTCACGATTAACGCAAAAGTAAAACGGCAGCAAAAAAAACGGAGGACCAGAAGACGAAGTGCACAAAGTACTGACCTTCGGCTGACTTATTGGAAGAAAACACAAATTGGACAGGCATCATAGAGCATCAAGAAAACATCAAAAAGGATATCAAGTCTTCTTGTGCTCCATTTTTTTGGCACTGTTTTACTTTTTTGTTAAGCATGTACCACCAACTTGCCCAGCTTTCCACCATATTGCAAGGTCACTCCATTGCCATTGTGTAGTACCATGCCTCGATCGGTAAAATATTTTTAAAAAAAAGAGCGATGCTATATGCACTACGTAGTGCACTTTGGACGGAAATTGCTATATGCACTACGCTGAGAGCTCATGCCGCTCGGGCCACCCTTTTTCGAACTGCGCGTGTATCACTGGGGAGCTCGTTAACCCAGCCCCCCGCCTGCGTTCACGCCGCTTCGCGGCGACAGTATGCGGCTGCTAATTAGAAAAGTTAAGCAGTACACGCCGCTTCACGGCGTCCAGCCAATTGGTCCAGCCGGCAACCCAAGCCCCGCTGTCCCCGATCTGCGAAGTCTGCAAAGTTTCGTCGACAACATTCGGTGTTTCTTTTTTTTTTTTTTTTTTAGTGGTCATCGCAAAAAAGAAATATAAATATCGCCAAATGCCTCGTCAAAACAACGTTCAAGAAAAAAAGAAAAAGAAAAAAAAAAGTTAGAATCACCGCGATTCGAACCTGCGTCCACTTGCGTACAAAGCGGACACGCTAACCCCTACGCTATGCCACCGGTTGGAAAACTCGTTGCGATCATTCATTTTATACGAGACAAACGTAGTGCATATAGCAATTTCCGGCCTAGCTGCACTCTGGAGTGCATATAGCATTACTCTTTAAAAAATTGCCCTAGTTTGGAGGCATACAGACTTTTTTTTACCATACATCTGCATGTCTTTGATAAATAAATATTCTTCACAGAGCATGCTACAGTGTTACTGAGACCAAAGCTTGCGTCCAGCCCGCGAGAGAAAAAGAAATCCGTCACTCAAAGGGTTAATTGTCACTTGGCTAGTTGGTAAAACGACTCGCAAGTACCTTGAAAAAAAGGTTGGTGCCCCCCCCCCCGCTCCGCCCCCTTTGTGACTCCACTGGTGGAAGGTATTTTGCGTCGCTGCGCGGCATAATTCACCACAGAACTTACTGGTTATTTGAGAGCGTGGCACAGCTCTCTGCTCTGGACCCAGCCAAACCAAGATTTTGTCTGGCTTCTTGCTCGTTGAAGCTTCAGAATCAGAATCTGTAAAGCATAAACACATTCCAATTTCTTAGGTACACGATAAATTCAACTGAAGCGCATCTGCAAGAGCTTGTAAATCGGCCAAAGGGCAAATTTTGCCGAAATGCGGCTCCTCGCCGTCGCTGGCACTCACCTGATGAATCGCGGGAGTTTTGTCCAGGTGCAGTCTCCTTCCCCGCCATCCCGTCGGCTTGTGTCAGCGTTTCAAAGCCGATTCGCAATTCCTGTAAAAATATATATGTATACATACATTTTTTTAATAAAAAGAAACAAAAAGCGACTTTTGCTACTCGAATAGGAAAGCGAAAACGACCACCTCGCGCACACTGCTTTCTTCGAAATTGATCCCAGTTTACGGGGAGCAGGTTGACAGACCTTTTGTATCGTGAATACGCTCGAAAAACACCCGTAAATTGTCCAGTGACCTTTAGGCACTCGTGACTCATTGACAAAGGAAAAAAAAGAAAGGGCGGCAAAGGTTTTGGTGGGAGGCCCCGGGCCAAGAGATTGATTCCGAAAGTAAACACACACCTGAACAGGTAAGCACCGGAGCTTATATGTGTTCGCTCACTTCTGTCGACATTTGACGAGACCGAGACGAAAACGTAACATAGCATTCAAGGCTTCCGTAAAGATATGATTAATATGGAGCCTGCTACAACTTGGACAAGCCGGCTGTCACATTCCATTCAAACTCCGAAACGGCATGTGCCTTCACGTCTACACACCCAGCACGGTGATCACGTTTTGAGGCTAGTTGGCGACTCTAACCCATCACAATATTGTACCATATATACACAGTTCAAATGTCGAAGCGCGACGAAGTCTGTAATTACTGACAATCAGCACAGTAACTCAAGATTCGAGCTTAAACTGGAACTTCGCGCCTTTCCGCATCGCATTTTGTAAGCTGGCAACGGCGAACGAAAGTGAAAGGAACACCTGATGGGGCATGAACATCCTCAGATTTTCACATGATCTCAGGACTTTTTATCCCCGGCTTTGAGTTTTGTCATTAACGCAGTAACATTAAAGTTTTTAATAATAATTTACTGTGCGCCAGGCAGGTTTCTAGATAAATGTTTACTTATAAAACGAAGCTAAACTTTGCAACTCATTGTAAAACCCGATACGACACTCACGCGCCTGTGGAAACAGTTTCGGTTTCGAAAGTAGCTTGGTGTTTACAGCATCCTGACAAGCGCAAGACACGCGTTCGTGCGCTCCAAGCATCGTTCAGAGCTACATGCTTATGCTTATAGCTCCGGCTAAGTTATATACACTTCCAATTTTTACAAAGGCACAGCCCAGCTGGTGTCAAACAGCAGACAATCTTTTCAACTCAAAGAGGCGCGAGCTTTGTGGCTACACCGCAAATGTGAAGGCATCTCCCTCGCCTCGTATCGCCGTCTGTCTTCGTCAACAACAGAGTGGCTCTGCGCGGCGTGTCAGCTCCCACCCTCTAATAAGGTCATCAGCCCCTCCAAGCAACGGCCCGACCATTCCCAGAAAAATCAATGCGACGACGGCCTTCCCTGTTCGCCTGACGATGATTCTGTGGGTGGTAGCACCGGTAGCACCCCCGCAACCTCCGGTGCGATTACCGTGTGGTTCTCAAACGTACGTTCCCTAGAGAACTACTCGAATTCCAAGCCCTGACGTCTTTCCTCCCGAACACGATCTTTGCCGTTTGCGAAACATGGTTATACCTCTGTTTTTGATGGGAAATTAATCGACCCCCTACAATTCACTCTTTTTCGGCAAGACCGACCCTCAACCGGGGGTGGCGTCCCACTAGCAATACCAAAACAACTCCCGTGCCGACGCCTATATCACCTGACCCCACCGGGCCTTGAAGCCATTTTTGTCGAAGTCTTGCAAGCGTGGCATATGCTACTTCTGGGATGTGTTTATTGTCCACCTTCGCTCCGGGAACACTCTTACGCCCTTCTGCAAGACAGGATGTATCAGATTGAACACAGAAAGTTCTCTGCATTGTTCATCTTTGGGGATTTCAATAGCCACATCAGTTGGTCCGATCCTGGTACTCCCATCCCATCCGATCCACTAGACGACCTGTTACTTGAGGTATTCGAAACAGCTGGTCTAACTCAACTCTGCGACACCCTGTCCTACATCTCCCGGAATGGCTCCACTTATTTCCTCGACCTTGTCCTGACCAACAACCCCACCTTGTCCCATCGCTGCTCAGTCATCCCCAGCCTCTCGGGCTGCGACCATCAGGCCCTCATCACCACTATCCAGTGTTCAGCACCCAAGCGAATCCTTCAAGCCAAGAAATTAATTCCATCAGTTTGCACGAACCGATTTCTCTCATCTTAATCATGCAGCTAATCCATCTTGCTCCCTGGTCGATGGTGTTTGACAACCCTTTCACTGATGATGCCTACGACCTCTGGCTCAACATCATATATCAGCCATCCAGCGCGAATGCGTTCCTGTCCGGGCTAGTCGGAAGCGAGCTAACCTCCTGTGGATGACAAAGGAAATAGAAGCTCTGATCAGGCGCAAGCGCCGCCTATTCAAGAAAGCACAGAAAAGCCAAAATCCTGCTCATCTTGCCCAAGCCCACGAGGCTCGCAGGGATGTCAAGCGTCTAATCCACATCTCCCACAACAACTACGTGCAACAATTAGCAGCAAAAGCTGCCAGTCAACCCAAACTTTTCTGGACCTACTTTCACCGCCAGCAGAAAATGTCCCAAGCCCCCGTCTTACACCATGTACACCCTACTCCAAACCCAACGACACAGCCGAACTCTTCTCCCACCAATTTTTTCTGGCTCCCCCACTAACTGACCCTGCCACACCAGACCCCTCCCCCGCACACCCCGAGATTCCGCCCCCCCAAACAGTCCCAGAAACCGTGCTGTCGTCCATAGACATCCTACCAAACGAAACGTACGAAGCCAGCTGTCCCGCCTCAACCCCTCACAACGCCCCGGGCCAGATGGCATTCATCCTGCTTTCCTCAAAGCCTGCGCTGGTCGCATCTCCCCGTTCTTACTCGTCTCTTCAATGATTTCCTCACAAATTGTTCAGTGCCTAGTTCTTGGAAAGTTGCGTAACACCCCTGTACAAAGGACATGAAGCCCCCAAGTCTGAAATCACTTCCTACCGGCCAATCTCCACTACCTCTATAGTGTGCCGGACAATGGAACGGGTAATCAATAAACATCTTCTTGTCCACCTCGAACAGTCGAACCTCCTCAGCCCACATCAGTATGGTTTTCGCCCTGGCAGGAGTTGTGAGACGGCCCTTGCATCTGTCACCAGTATGCTTAGTGCCAGCCTCGACAGCCGACTCCCTTGCAAAGTTGTGCGACTGGACTTCAGAAAGGTGTTCGACTCCATTAACCACAACCTGCTCCTACCTAACCTCAAACAGATGGGAATATCTGGCTCCCTGTATGCCTGGCTGCAGGACTTTCTCTCGGGACGCAGCCAGCATGTGTTCTACCAGAACACCCGATCTTCCACGACACCTGTACGCCAGGGAGTACCCCAAGGCAGCGTACTCGGTCCCACCCTGTTCAACATTTTCATCAACGACGTCACATCTTCCCTCTTTTCCACCCCACTTTTATACGCCGATGACCCCACCCTTATCCACCCAGCTTCAGCCCCCTCAGATTACACACGCCTACAAGCCGACCTAGATCGCATTCTTCTCTGGTCAAAAGATAATAAACTTCCCCTAAACTTAACCAAACGCGCTACCATGCACATCACTGCCTCGTGCCAACCCTCAACCCCTCCAACACTTTTCCTGGGCCGAGTAGAGATCACAAGAAACACGCACATCCGCCTCCTAGGTGTCGTCCTCGACCAGCATCTCGATTTCCGTCACCACGTCCAGAACGTCATGTCCAGGGCAAGACGACTCCTTGGCTTTGTCATCCGGTCAACAAGAGGAGCCAGTCCCGATGTGCCCAGGTTGCTTTTCACAGCGCTGGTGTTGCCCATCCTGGAGTTCTGCTGCTCGGTCTGGGACCCGGCAACCAGGCAACTTGTTGCCTCCCTCGAATCAGTGCAACGCCGTGCTGCCTACCTTATTATGAGACGCCAACTTGGCCCCCGAACACCACCCTATCGAGAACTGAACTCTAGGGATCTCCTCCGTTCAGTTGGCTGGGACCTACTCCAACTTTGGCGTCAAGCAGCAACCACGCGGCTCCTAGCCACTTTTCTGCTACCAGACACCTCTATCGCTTTTGCCTCTTCCCTGCGGCGTACCCGCACCGGTGGTGTGCAGCCCCTATTGACCCGAAAGCTCCGTCATTCGCACTCCTTCGCACCCTGTGCCGTGCAACTTTGGAGGTCCCTCCCAGCGGCAATCACCAGTTCACCACCAGTTGACAGTGCCTCGCTACGAACATTTTCGAAGAGCGTCACAGTCCACCTGCAGAGCATCTAACCTGTTTCTCCCACGGAACTTACCCCTTTATCTATGTACCGGTTCTAGTTATTTATTGTTTTTCTTCTTTTTTTTCCTGCCATAGAGGCACTGTGGACCCCTTGGTATGAGCGTAATGCCTGCTCGCAGTTGCCTTACCCTCCCGGGTTAAACCAATAAACAAACAAACAAACAATGTCAGTTGCCAATGCGATTCTATCATCTTTACTAATAAAACATATTGAATGGACACATAATCAATTAGAAAAATGGTTTGTCCGGTTTCTTTGACTTTTTTTCGGGGCACTTGTGTCATCTGCTTTGTAGTTCTTTGTCGTTACCACGCCTGTTTGTGGTTCTCCTCGAGTTTTTGCCACCTGCGGAATGCGCGCCGCTTCAGTCGGAAAGATTGTCTGCTAATGACGCCGGCTCTCGACGCCGTATGCTCGTTCGTTGGCCGCAGTTGGCGCTGCGACCGCTTGCGCCATCTCGTCTCTTGTGCCAAACGACGCCCTATGGTACGAATACCGGTGGCTTCGCTGCGATTCTATAGAAGTTAAGACTTTTTTTTTACTTTTTCCTCAGGTAAGTTTGCTATTTGGAAATTGTATAGAAAAAATGCACCACCTGTGGACAACGCTGCACAAAATCGTAGCGTGATAGGTTAAGACAGTGTTTCTCAAATGGGGGTCCGCGATGGCATTCTAGGGGTCCACGAAGCCCTGCCTCGCCAGTCAAGCCCGGCAATTAAAGTTGTATTTTATCCGATTGAGAAGCGTTCCAATTTTCGAGCGAGTTTTTTCGTGTTCATGTCAATGAGAGAAGTCTATTTCACATCAGCCCTCAGTAATATCCGCTTAATAAATCATTATCATAGTTAACTTATACCTTTCCCTATTGCTCACCACGAACGGGGTCCTCTATCATCTCCGCCGATCAACAAGGGGTCCATGAAGCATCAGTGGTTGAGAACCACCGGGTAAAGAAATCAATTTTTGCACTCGCCTGGTGGTCCGGGTTTGGTTTGTGATCTTTTCAGAACGGGGTCAGGTCAGGCTGGGCTTGAGCCGAAATATTGGCTGGGCCAAGCTTGGTCCGTGCCTCAAAATTCCGGCCCGATAAAATCTTATGTCTGAAGTGCGCGCAAATTAGACACGGTGCAAAAAAGTGTGTGACGTCCGTTTTATTACGTTCAGGCAGTATAAAAAAACACAAAGACCGCAGGTTTATCTCGGTTTACTGACACTACATGAGGTATAAACGACGATCAGCACTGATATTATAGACTTGGTTTTGAAAGGAGATGACTGCCCTCGTGCAAGCAACTGTCACAACCCATTCACACGCCGGTCCCATCTCAAAATATACACGAGCGGTGCCTGTAAACACTGCTGCTATGCGGGAGAGAAACAGTCCTCCAAAACCGAACTGGCGAGAATCAATAAATAACCGAGTTAAACTACGGCAGTTTGGAATCATCGAGCCAAAGAAAAAAAGCAGCAAACACATTTTTTTACACACATACATGATGCTTCCTTTGCCATCTGGAAACAATTGCTTCGAAAAAAAGATCATCTAATGCCCCCATCTAAAAGCATCCGAAATGAAAAAGATACTATTGAAGACAATATTGGTTTCCTCTTCTTACTGAAAAAGAAAAAAAAAGCACGATTAGACGCATGACCCTGAGTGCAGCTTGTCTTGTTTTTAGATAGTGCCAAATCGTACTGAGGTGAGCCCTCAACGTTGCCCAACCTGTCTTATCGGGTTGTTCCACAACACTGTTCCAACACTGCTCCATCACGTTGTACCCTCCACTTAGCTTCAGCCCAACACAACCTCACTGGGTTTCCAATGCTTTCTTTTCGTTCCACTGTACCTTTCTTTCTTTACTAAGGGGACACACCCTTTAGGAGGGTCAACTTTTGAACCCTTGGCTTAAAATTGATGAAATTTGCAGGGTAGGCTGGTCGTCATGCTAGAGGGTGCATAACAAGATTTCAGGTATGTCGGTTAAGTGGGAAGGAAATTAAGGCAGCTTCTATCAGCGACACGCCTACATTGTTTAGTTAATCTATCGTCGGAAAACTATCACGATATTCAAGATTTTTATTTGTTAGATATGTAGCAGAATGCCTAGGAGGTGCGGCTATGGAAAGCTTTTTCTAAAAAATCATTTATTTCTATCAATTTTCTCTTCTGCAGAATTGGTCAACTTTTTGGTCTTCTGTGTCTTCGACAAAATGTCAACATTTTTTATAAAAGGCATCCTTAAAGTGACAAAAAAATTCCATAACCACATTCCTTATCAAATTTCAGCCAGGAAAAGTGAAGAACGAGCCTTCCCTGTATTGCCATTATCAAACGATAGATTGACTAAAATGGAATTTAAACCAAAAAGTGAAACGGAGAAAAATGCGTTCAAAGTGCTCCAAACCCTACCTTTTCTTTAGCTTCGGTGGACAGAAAATAATTAATAAAAAATTAACTATGCAGTGTAAATCAGTGCAAATTTCTGGGAATACTGTCGAGACGTCGGTGGATGTAAATATGTAATTATTCAAAATCACAGTTTTTTGCAGAATATTTTTTTTTTTCTGGGTAGGGTAGTGTCCCCCCAGTGAAGGAAAAGAAAGAGACGTGATCGTGCCCCATCCAGAAGGGAGAGAGAATTCTTTACTCAGCTAAGTTGACTTGCAACAGGAAGTTACGTTTGGTTTGCTACGGAGTGCTTAAAGCCATTAATACTTAAAAATGCCCCGAAGAAGTTCTTGACTGTAGCAGTATTCCAAGGATGTGATCACCCGATACAAAGGCGACCGTAATTCAGGGCAATCCAATTCAACAATCTAATGCCCCTTTTTTTTTATGTTTCAGCTACAATGAAAGCTCGGTCATACGACACATTTTGAAGGTAGTAGTGGCACGGTCCTTAGATTACATGGTCTGGAATCTTTTCGTCAAGCTACAGAAAAGTTTTCTCTAGGGACAAAGCGAAGCACCAGAGGCACAGACGTGGGTTTGGAAAAGGCCACCAAGGAGAGAGTCTGAGAATGCGTAAACTCTTTCATAGAATCTCATGGACCTGTCGAAAAGACAAACAATTGGAACTGTCATCTATAGCTCCGACCGTGTTACGCTACATCTTCTTTAAAAACATAAAACTTTTTGAAGATTTTTTTTTTCTTAATATTTTACTTTATTTTTGCTTTCTTTGCTTCTCCTACTTCCATCAGCACCTCCGGTGGTGACAAAATTTACTAAGGTAGAAACCACGGAAGTTTCGAGACCAGCAAGTAGTTTACCTAAGCATTGCGCGGGTATTATCGAGTAAATCAATCCTTTGAGTGTCTGTATTTTTTTTGTGCGAAAGCATTAACTATTTTATGGAGCGGAGCCGGCGGAGTCTGTGACCGCAAAAAACCGAGAAATGCCTATTCTCCTGTTGGCTGAGCAAAACAGCTTCTAGGTAGTCATTGGCGGAAACTTCGCGAGTGTGCGCGCTCAGCCGCCACTCTCGTAGCAGACATTGCCGACGGGAGAGGGGGGGGGGGGGGGGGGGGTGCTGCGGCCACTTTATGAGAGTTCGCGCTCGGCAACCTTGGCAGTAGCGAAACGTGGGCGTCCACGCCAGTTCACTGCAGACGAACTAAGGGAGCGGAAGAACGACATTCCTGCTTCCGCATTCACAACCCACAAGAAGTGCTTAGGTGTCCTCGTAATGTTTTTTTCCCCCGCACGCCAATGCAAATATTGGTCTTGTAACACTGCAGCATGTTCCGTGAAGAATATTTATTTGTAAGAGAGACATTACTTTATGGGCAAAAAGTTAATAGATGTCTGCATGCCTTTAACCCCCTTAAGTGCCACTTTTTTTTTTAAGTAACCTAAAAATGCCAATTTTTTTTTTTTATTGAAGATTTTTATTCTTTTAGTATTACAGATACAATTTCAATTTATTACCCAAAACTCAGCAGCGGCAAAAAAAAAAAAAAAAAAAAAAGGCACTAACTAAAGCGAGTACTGCCATCTATGATCAGCGCCGCAAACTACTCGGACGAGCCTAGCTCGTTTGTGAAATTGAGGGCAACTGAAAAAACCACTGGACGAGCTGAGCTCGTCCAAGGCACTTAAAGGGTTAACCTATGACATATTCCTCGTATCATACTTTTCGAAACACGGTACCTACTATCCAGTGGCAACTTAACCTCACACCCCAAGGTCACTCTTTTGTGTGGCCTTCTTGGGCCTCCATTTATACGGAAACGTAATTTCCTCCTTTTCACAGCTGTCAGATACCGGGTTCATTAGTAGTTTGTCGGTCTCAGCGTTTGCCATGGAGTGCGGATGGCATAGATTTGCCTTTCCGCAACAACGAAGGAGCACACCAAAACAGAAGTCGCCTAAACAGCAAAACATTACTTGCCACCAAAAAGAGACCACCACAAGATAAAACACCATTTTCATCACTCGCTCGTATATGCCACCAAATCATTAAAAAAAAAACTGACAGCCCAGTTGGGAGGGGCGGGGGGCACAAACCGAAACTGAAACCACACCGGAACGCGCTCAAGAGGGTTAAAATATTCCCCGTCCCATCCCCAAGCCCACCCGGGTCGTCCGCGAGCCGTCCGCTACTTGTGCACGGCGTCTGCCCGCATGTAGATGGTGCCCGGCGGGGGTCTGGAGGCCGCCAGGGACGGGTGCAGGGGCGGCGGGTAGCAGCGCACATGCTCCACGGGCAGCGCGTCCGCGTCGCTCGTCTTCAGGTACTTGTTGAGCACCGCAAAGATCTGCGAGTTGAGCACCTGGAAGCGCCGGATGCGGTCCACCATCCGCTTCAGGGGCTGTCGGGAAGAAGAAGAATGTCAAAAGAACGCCGGTGCTTTTGCCGACCTGCCACAACTATGGTGCCTGGAACGCTTCTCCGGCCGGTGAGTCTAACGCGTCTCCAAAAGCGGTCTTTCGGGTTCCGCACGACGACGTCCCAGAACCGTTGCGCCTGCCGCGGAAGCTTTGGCAACCGGGAGTAGGGACGCTGCGACGACAGTGACGCTTGCGCTTGCTCGCGCTCTCTGGCAGGACTTCTACTACTGACCGCCAGGAATGGCAGATACGACAGCACGACGCGCCAGATTTGTGTCGTCGCTTGTTCCCACTTCGGGGCCACTTTTGACGAATGGGCGGAATGGGACGCACCCGTCAGAGACGCAGCATACCAGAACTATGGGGTGTCCGAGAGCGCTATTCAGTCACAGAAAGAGAAAACATACAACTACCGTAGTATCCCTAGTCGTTGTCCACCCCACTTTTTGGGCCAATATCGATTTCCAAAAAAACACAGAGTCATCGCCTCCGCTACGAATACCCCAATGCGGACTTCGCGATCCGCGTACATTCATCCTACCAGAATGACGCGGCCGCGGACCTTATAGTTGAAGGACGTCCGTGACAAAGTAAAACGAAAAATGGAAAGACACTTCTCTCCACCTCCGCGAGCAACCCCAAAGTCGTAATGCATCCATGCGAAAAGAAAACGATGGAGATAACTCCAAATAAAACTTAGCTTTGCTTAAAAGAATTCCTCCGGACAAAAAAAAAAGGAAGCACCAAACAAGAAAGTTGCGCAAGAGCTTGTGATTGACAAGGCGCCCGACTTGGCCCGACACCAAAATATTTGCCAACGCGATCGACGTCTTTTCTGCTTTTCCAACATCGCTCTTCGTCACTTCTTTAAATCGCTCGCTCGCTCGCTCGCTCGCCCGTCGCGCAGATTTAAGGGCATATGGTACTCTCTTTGAGCAGCAGCATCAACCAAACAGTTTGTTTACATTTTTGTCCGTGTCCATAGGAATGACCCATTTTTATTTACTTTCATTCTTTTTTCCAGAGACCTACCATAAAATCTTGAGAGATGCCCCACCTCTGAAAGGTAACCCGACCACTAGTTTTTGGCACAATGTTCTATTTTCCCAAAAACATTCAATGACAGCCCATGTCTAGCAATTGCAGGGCCTTGTCCAATCGTGACTTAGCAGAAATTGCGTTACTTAGCCACGGCGGAAGATAAGCGAACGTTGCTGAATGAGGATGACAGTCGTCCTCGGTTGGTTGCCCCTCTATGCAAACAGCCACAAAATCTAAAACTAGCATTTTTTTCAACCTTTTTTTGATCGCACACTAAAACTTAGCCCACTCCCTATTTTTACCCAATTCGCATTCGATTTTCGGTGGGCTACCTATCATGATATTACAGTACACTCGCGAAATTCGAGAGCAAAAAAATGCACCACCTAAAGGCCCTTTTGTGAAAAGTTGTCTCGTCCATTGGCTTATTCCTGCTGGCCAGATTGTACTGTAGTGGCCTACACCTAAGCAAAAGAGTCTAGCGCATTACAGAAAATCGCATGGCAGCACACCCCTGGTTTGTGTTTTGAGATAAGCTGCACTCGTAAATTGAATACTGCACCGTGCTTGGAGCACAGCCGGAGCGGGAGGTGTAGGTCGGTCAAACGAGCACTCTGTCTTTCTTAAAGGCTGACCTACAAAATTAGCCCTCTGCCGGGTGGAAGACCGGTTCCCAGTTTCCTTCTCTCCTTCCCCCCGCGATCTTCTCTCTTACTCTCCCCGCGGAATTTGAGCTATTCCTTGCAGAAGGAGGGTCTCCCCAAATGGAAAGGAAGAATTGAGGAAGAGTTTCCCCCTTTGAGACAGCGCTTGCAAACTCCCCGTAGGAAGGGGCGGGGAGGGTGCACTCACGATGCCCTTGATGAGCTCGTCTTTGCCGTCCACGCGCTGCACTCGCAGGATGTGGTAGCAGAAGTCGAGGGCCTCGAAGCGCCGCTGCTGCCCCAGCAGCACTATCATGGTGCAGCCGGCCCAGTGCAGGCCTTCGCCAAACAGCTGCCTGCGTCGCGCAAACGTCCCAGGGGACCGAAATCAGCAGCTGCACCCTTCGGATGGGGACTACGAGACGACGGAACGCGGCAGCGGCGCGGCAGAGAAGGAAGAAAATGCCGCAAACCAGGCTATTGTAGGCGGGTACACGGGTAAGAAAGGATGTAGCTCACAAATACGGTTCGGTGTTTCCAGAGCATACAGATAAGCCCGAGAAATCCTTAAAAAGACACAAAGTAAAGCTGCTCCCAAATAAAAAAAAAACAAGCTTCGCATTTTTGCATTTTTTAACGGTGTTAAAAATTCGTGGCATTTAGAACACCCTCACTCACATTCGCACAACGAAAACGCAATCAAATCCACGCGTCGCACAGCACCAAATTAAACTGTTTCGTGAACTGGCGCTCGAACTGCCAGTCGTCCGCTACGTAATGAACTGCCTTCCCGTCGCACCGCGCCCACCACTCTCGTTTTGCAGCGGCGTCTCTCTTCACCTGCTGCACCGGACGTTCTTGCTCCCGCACTGCTCTGGTGCTACAGAAAGCCGCCTGGAAAAAGCGTTTCCTAATGCTCGTACCCTACAATACTGCGCATCCGCCCATTCCCCATTAAGTGCCCATCCCCAAATTTGTAAGATCTGAGAAAATATGCACAGTACATTTATATGTAGAATTGATGACAGGACAAGCACCCATCCCCCATTTTTTGTGATTACCTGTGAACTTTGAGTGGGCGCTTGCCCGGTATTTTACGGTAGTCGGTCTGCTGCCACCGAGCACACGCCGAGAAAAGTCCCCACTCCGAAAGCAGTCGCCGAGTGCACCCTCCGCATGCATTTGGCGACGGCACGCTCCGTGCCGCGTGCTCCGACACTGCACGCTCTATCCGGGCTACGTCCGCGAAATCAGATTTGGGGGATTTCCATGCCAAACCAACGACAAAGCATCTGGCACGCCCCGGCAGAGCACTGAGGATTAATTTGGACCACTCTGGGATCTTTTGTATGCAACCGAGGCTACCGCTACATCTGCAAACACAAAGGCACTAAGGTCGGGCTCAATAAACGCTACGTATTTAAAAACCATTTCCGCGGACTTATTTTGCGTTGACCTGGAACACAGCTCGCACCGAGCTGTCGACGGGGCCGCTTTTTTCGTTGGAAACCGCACCCTTTGTCTCTGCCCTTTTTCTTATCGGTACCATAGCACTTTCCGAGTATGGGGGTTACGTGCACATACCTTAAAGGTTGGGGGAATCCCACGCCCGCATCCAGTTTTTTTCTCGGCACAAACTCCGACAACGTTAGTTTTTCGTCCCACACAAAAAATGCAGAATCAGCAGGGGGAAAAAAAAATTGTGCCAATTGGAAGAGGAATCAACCCCAAAAGCACGAAACCCTACTTATAAATTAATGCACGTAAACATCGTCACCCTATGTTTCGGTTGCAGCTTCAAGGACGACTTCTTCGACAGAAGTGCACCGCAAGATTTTTGTGCGTATTTTCTGAACCAACACGGGAAAGAACATCCACCTCCGAATTCACGTACAACAAAATGCATGTTTGCGTTTCTTGAATCAAAATCGAGATGTGGCTCAATCTAAAACCTCGAGAGAGTTTGAGTAGCGACAGAAAGAAACCTAAAGCCACATTTTTTCCCCCACAGACCCACAATTCGAGCCTTCCCCGGACCATGAACAAAGCGTCGCAGCCCGGGAATTCTCAAACCGGGGTTTCTTCTATAGTCACTGAAAAGTTGAGAACAGCAGGGCGGTTCTTCGATTGTCCCACCCCAAATGCGAGCTTCCTGCCTTCGGCAACACTTTCAACGTCTCGCGAGCTCCGCGCGCGCGCGCAACCAAAGCACGGCCAACAAGCATGCGCTGGAGGCCGGAGGTTTGAAAGAGACGCTCTGCCCTTCTCGTCACTATGGGAGCGACTTAGTGACGACAATCAACAAAACGGATAAATATTTATCGAAGATCAGTGCAAACACAAAATGGGTTTTACAAGAAAATTGCGGCTGACGAGTGTCACGAACGAGCGACACGCTTGGAGCACAACGCAATCCAGGTTCCCCGCTAAACTCTGCGGGGAAATTGACGTTACATGTTTAGATCACGTGACGTCAATTTCCCTGCAGAGTTTAGCGGGGAACGTCACGTGATCTAAACACCGATCCAGTCTTCCTGCTAAATTTAGCGGGGGAAATTGATGTCACGTGATCCCATGTTACGTGTCCAATTAAAAATAATTTGGTTTCTCTGCTATATTTTACCAATACATAAAAAACAATAAAAATAAAAACCCCATTTAAAAAAAATACTGAGTGAGTGGGGTTTGTGCACTGGTCTTTGTTGGCATAATTAAGGTTATAATTTTTTTTCTTTTTACCTCCATATTTATTTAAATCTAAGCCGATCCAGAATCCAAGACACTTATTAACAAATACTAATATATTTTAAAAATTGTATCTTTTTTTTCTCTGTACAATTCTGATTCAATAGTGTTGCACTGTGTATTTAGCGAGGACATTTCTTCCGCGTCGGAGGGAAGAAGAGGGGGTGGGAACCCGCACGCACTCGACGGTGAACTCGTTCTCGCCGACGGGGATGCAGTAGACGAACTGCAGGGCACTCCAGAGCCGGTGGAACTCGGTGCACTCCTCCACGTTGAGCACCCCGTTGGAGGGCGGGGGCCCCACCCAGAGGGGGTCCTCCAGGTACGACTTGATGCGCGTCAGGATCACCTCAAACACCGACAGGCCACAGCACAGCCGCTCCTTGGTCAGCAGGTCCCCTTCCTTGGCTATGCCCGCTTGCTGCGAGACCCCCAAAGGACGCGCCGTCGGCAAAACGCTCCCTCTCTGCCGAGTCTGCACAGCTTGTTTTTGCCAGACACTGGAAACGACTCGAGTGTGGTTTGCGCACGTGCGACTGCTTACGATTGACTGCATTACGGCCTCTTGCGATCTCTTACGACGAGACAACGTCCTGGCACCACCAGTTTGGCCACTTGCAATTTACGTATATTTTCCACTTTTCTTTACACATCATTCTTTCTTGATTGGCTCAAAAACTTTGACAATGTTATAAACGACCATATCCCATAGATAGTATGCACTTTGTTTTACCTTGTAGAACCTTCGCACTAGTGAAATGCAGTCCCAGGGTCATCTTGCAGATGTTTGCAGATGGCGCCAGAGTGGCGGTGCGTTCTCACGTCTTAAGAGATCGCGAGAACTCGTTCGTAAGCAAACGGAAGTGCGTGAACCAGCCTTTAATTTTCGCAAACTTCGCAACTCGAAATTTATAGCAAAAAATAGGTAGCGCGAATATATTACCGTACGATAATCACCTACCTGGAGGAAAATAACGAGCACTCGTGAGGAATATATTCTAACAATGCTGCCCTCGGTAGAAGAGATGGAGGCAGCATCTCCAGTAGCTACGAGAACGAATAGGCATGTCCGATATCCCTCCCAGTCGCAAAGTTTCGTGCCTGCAATACATTCCCGAAAGCTATGCTTCACAAAATTCACGAAAAACCGAGCTCGCAAAAATGAAGTCGCTTACACGATTTAATCGCTCCGGACTATCAGGGTCGTCCGTGAACTTGCAAAGAGCTTACAAAAAGTCGATCGATCGGACAACATTGCAGATCACGAAAGAAAGCCGTCGCACTTCTTTTGTCGAGAGGATCGACTTGTACAGAGACTGTTCTGGCTTCCCACATTGCCCAGCTGCGACAGCACGAGTGTCGCGCGTGACCGCTTCTCATGTCACAGTCGCCGACAGGAAGGTCTTTCCGTCGTCCCGCCTCCAGCGATCTAGCTTCCACGACGCTTCGGCATCTGGCTAGCCCCAAGTGTGCACACGCAATTCTCACCCTGTCGGTCACAAGAGTACCATATTTTTTGAGCTATAGTCCACACCCAAAGTATGCAGATTTTTGTTGAAAAAAAAAGGAAGTTTTCCTTTAGATACCTACCACCTAGTCCATACGTCAAGCATGCTCACATGCGGAACACCCCAACGAATGCTCGCTTTATCAGCTCACAAAGAAGCTTGTATAGTACACAAATCATCCTCAACACACTCTGTCATTCAGAAAATCTGTCACGCCTCGTCATAATGAACAATCTTGAAAAAATTAAGTCCTCGCATAGTCTACCCAGCACAAAAGTTCAACTTTTAGATGCATGTCGTCCGGAAATTACGGTACGTTCACGGTAGAGAGCCTCGCCTGGCCACGGGTACTACGAGGCGGCCACCCCCTGGCTCGGAGGTGGCTGCACCCACCTTGGGCGTTCCCAGCCGCTCAATGTTCTGCACGACCTGGAGGGGGGCATACTTCGACTCCAGGCGCTTCAACTTCGTCTCGGGCTTCTCTCCGTCTGCAAAAGCCGTGCTTGTTGCTCGCTTGACAGGTAAAATCAGAAACGACTCGCACGTGACTATCTTTTGGAGACACGGCACTGTACGATGCGGTAACCACATCAAAACACCAGATAAAAATCGAGCGATCGGATGGGTTTGAGGCCTGAATGCCAGGCGATAAGTAGTCCGAAAGTTGGACACAGTGCAGATTTACGTGCATAAAAGCAAACAGACGCATTGCCACGAATACCAGAAAGCAGAACGAACAAGCTCCTGTCGCGGACAATGCCTTACGTTCTCGGGCCAACAACGATCTGTCCGAGATGGGCGAGTGTTCGGGCTCCTAAAGTCGAGGGTTTGTGGCACCCAAAATAGAAATGACACTGTTCTCCCCATGCATCTCGTTTCCTAAACGAGCCGATCGCCTGCAATTCCAAAGATATAGATGGGCCTTTTTCGCAAATAAACTCGCTGTAATCAAGTAAATGACCTCAAAAATGGCCATGCATAGATTCAGACATGGAAAACGCACTCAATCCTTCGCACACTTTTTCCAAACAAAGTGGAGACACTAAACTCACATTTCAACATTCTTCAATAAAGTCTCTTTAAATTACCTTAAAGTTTCTCCAAGTTTAGTGACACAGTTCTTTCTGTTCAGATAAACCAAGGTAGAAAATTACACTGCATATCTGTTAACTCTATGTTTTACTCTCGGAGAACTTGGAGCAGGTGGAACGAAAGTTTGCGCTGCAGGACCCAGGGTTCAGTAGGGAAAACTAACCTGTCGCTGTCTAAGCAAACGCATGACACAATTACTATGCGCTACCGTCAGCTCACAGCCGCTCGATTGAAAAAAAGTGGGAAAACCGACGGTTTCCCCGACCTTTGCAGTATGGCCTCGGAAGGATGTTCTGGAATGGTGCTGCATGCTGGAGGTCACAAACTTCTTCCTGGGACTGAAAACAAGATGGAATTCGATTACACAAAGCCCACTGCAACACGACCCTATGCACTAGTATGTGCACCATGAAGACTGGCTCACACAACGGCGTTCGCTTACAACCGAGTCCTCGTGATCTCTTAGGACGAGAGGGCACGCTGATACCGTCTATGGGGTAGCCGTGGAACTGCATTTCACCAGCCTTAACCAGGGTGTTTACCAATTGCTTCTCTCAAATTTCCCTACTTTTCGGGTTTTCCCCAACCGTTACGAAAGAAGAAAATGAAGAGGACGCGGTTTCAGCGGATTTTCGGGCTGCTCCCATTTAATCAGGTCAATCGGATGGCGGCCCAAGCTGCCAAGCGATACCTCGGTCAACTGTTATTTGGCGTGAAGGTCATCAGCGCCAACACGCTGTACTCTCCCACTTTGTTGCGTGTAACTGCCCCGCACACGTCGGTCATTTACTCCGACTAAAACAGTCTTGATGATTTCCCTCGCGATTTTCAGATTTTTCCGGAGGGTTTGAAATTCTCCGACAATTCCAGGTTGGTAAACACTGAGTTAACACCGCCTACAAAGCAGAAAGTATGCCAACTCACCAAGCTTTGCTCCACCAGCAGGCAGAAAAGAATGGCGTTTCCGACTTCGCGGAAGCTCTGGAACATCTCCGTCTTCACGTCCGGATACTGGACAATGTCGTTCAGCTGAGCGTGGTAGTAACCCAGGATTCCTGCAAGGAGGAATGTGTAATGTAGTTTTCTGCCGTACTATGTTCTCCTTTCCTTCGTCTTGGTTAATTTATTGCAGTTAGCTTCTATTTTAGCCAATAAGTAGCAACGAGCCACAATCCATCTTTGGTATGAACTGCCTGTTTAACTCTATTGGCCGCTAAGCAGATACCACATTATTCCCGTCTGCCACCGGTGTTCAGACCACAGGGTCAAATTTCAGTTTAAAGAAAGAAGTCCTTAGATATTTTTCATCTGGCACATAGTCAGCAAGTAAAAACTTAACATATCCAGCACACCTGGAAAAATGCTTGTTTTTTATTAGAACACAATGAAGCTGGCGTCATACCGAAATCACCACTAGAAGGGCTTCGTGCAAACACTGCAGAAAATGAATTCCTGACATTTATAACCTACAAAACATGGGTTAGTTTTTCTCTCCACACAATAATATAGTCGCAGAGTGAGGAAAAACGGGACGTATTTACCTCCTCAACTTGCATCCAGAACACGTGGCCCCATGATCCAGAGCCGATTATATGCCACAAACGTCTATCATAGCCCCGCGCTGAGGTTGGCCAAGCACGCACCGAGTTCCACAAATTGTTAACGTTCGGCTATTCCTGTCGTTGCAGCGATCGGGCAAGAGCCCCTACCTGAATGCTCACTGAGTGCTCGTGTATGCAGCATGAGCCGCATTTAAATATTCTTATCACGGGGATTGCAAAGCTCGATAATGAAACCCTGGGCACTGCATCCTTAACAATGCTAACAATGCAATCCCCACAACCCCGTCATCAAGCTTTGTGAAAGAGAGACTAAAAGAAAGTGTCAGCCATTATCCTCGAAAGTATGCAACGACAAAGAAGCTTCATGGACATTGGCATTGCGTGCGAGCATACTTCGGTTCCACTAGTGCCAGTAAGCTCGTGTAAAGTGAGAAACACTCCTACTCAATATTGTTCCACGAGCCCTGTAACATAGTGAGTCATCCACAAGACCCGTCACGTTTTTCACAATGAATGATCCCCAAGAAACATATCCGTGTACAGCTTGCACCTGTAGACTGCCCACACAGCAAAAAAATTGAATTTTTAAGCACGCAGAGCTTGCGGACCTCAGTCCAGAAAATACGGTATGCCGCGGAATGCGTGCCACCAAGCCGTCGATGGCGTTTCGGTCCCACGTACTCCCAGTCGAGGCAGGCGGCACGTTCACGGAACTCACCTGGAGATCCGTAGTCATACCGCGGCAACCGGCACAATTTGGGCATCACGTTGAGCAGCGTCTTGGTGTACTGCAGCAACGTTCCCTGGATCTGCAAAATGTGGAGCAGACTTTGTCGTGCCCCTTTGTTTCTCCCACATGAGCAATCAGCGAGTTCAAAAGTAGGACGCGTGTCCCAGATTAATCCCTAATCCGTACCCCTTAAGCGTAGAAAACAGTCCAACGCAGTGGCAGGATATTCTCCACTCGAAGCAACGCATCCTCGAGATTTCCTCGATTGACACCTCGCAAGTTACCGTCTCGACCCACTGGACGGGGTAGCCCGGGACGGGGAGAGAAAAAGGGGACACAGAACTCTGCCCCTACTTTTTCCCCCTGCTCCTGGGTCACCGTGTTTATCTCAAACCAGCTCGCCCGCACATACGGCGTTACATCTAGCAGACATTCCAGACACCCGACAGCAGTCACTGACAAGACGAGAACGGCAGGGCGGGTCTTTCGAACGCTCGGCCTTTGGCACGTGCTCGTTGCCTTTCGCCGTGCATTATCAAAGGTAAAAAGGTTGTGCTGGAGGCAGGACAACCGAAACTCCTCCCTGCCATTTTCATCCCGTCAGTGACCACAGACCAGTTTCGACGAAGACACGGATGGTCTAACTTTGATGCGAGACTTCCGGCGAGAGTGTCGCTTTATGAAGCGAAATTGACGAGGCGGGAGTAGTTCGGAGACGTACGAGGCTCTTGACGATCTTGAGCAGTTCCTCCATGACCACCGCAATGCCCTGGTAGCCCAAGAGGCGGCATATTGCCCGGAAGTGGGGTGCTCCCACGAATCCGCTGTACAGGCTGTAGATCTGGCTGTACGCCGAGTTGAGAGCCTGCAACGGGCGCGCGGGAAGGTGTGACTGTGACAGCCGCAAATCCCCGGAGAGGGATTTTAAAAAAAAATTATGGTCCTGCGGGAATTTACGGTACAATCACGGCGATGATTGTGACACCTTATCGAACCGTAATGTATCCTTATGTACCTTGCACCTCACGTCCTCGCCGATATCTGCTTGGAGAGTGACACATTCGTTTATTTTATACGCATGACGCCCTCTAGAGGACGCGGCGTGAGGCTCGGATGGCGTGACGAAGTCTCCCCAACTGGAGTCATCTAGCGAGTGCTGTGCGAGACTTCCATGGGCAGCTGTCCTCAAGACATGCGGTTTACTAGGTAGAGCGTTGAAGCAGCTGGCATGTCTGCACAGTTGTGGGAACACTTCACAATCCACGAACCCGGAATCAAATACTGAGAAAACCGCAGCTCAATTTCGACGGACGTCCTGCACTAGCATCGTTTTGAGGCGGGGGAAGCGCCCATAACAGCTTTTGCAGTAAAACAAGTGAGAAACTCTTCGATACTCTGTCGATTCGGTTAATTTAATCAAATCATGAACGACGGAATGCCAGATCTAATGTGCAAAGAAGGGGCGCTACCTTGGTTCCGTAGATGTAGTGCGGTTGGGCGCCGGGCATCTTCTCTCGTGTCACGGGTTGTGTCAGGGTGATGTCCTTCACCTTGACAAACCTGAAACGTGAACGAGCCAGCAGAGTGCACGTTCAAAAATGGCACAAGACCACTGGCAGCCTAATCACTGGCACAATCAAAAAGGAATGTATTGGCAACTGTCACCAGTACAAGTTCTTGCTTTCTGTAAAATGCTTCTCTTTAAGGTTGTGCAAATATTCTAATACCGTTAAATAATACGCTACTCAATATTCGATTTGAGACAAACTGCGATATCTATATTTTTGAAGTGTTGATTTCAACGAATTAGCCCCATCCAGTGCACTTCTCACTGAGAACGGGCGCACTGCGGAAAAGCAAAACCTGCAGAGCTCACTTCCGCGGGTGTTACTTCTCTGCAGTACACCAGTGTTCTGTGAGAAGCACGGGTGTAATAGCCGCAATCAAAATTTTGGGATGTACAAATATTCCAGTTGCGTGTTTAAGGGCACAGGGTAAGGTAAAATTGAAAAAAAATCGATTTTAGTTTTTTTCGCAATTTGAAAAGTTTAGTTCTTTCTGCACAATTTCCATTGTCCCAGTGTTTTTAGAAAGCTATATTTCGGGCTGAAAATCACTTCTTCCGAAAGCAAGTAGCAGGTGACCTCGCCTCCTTTTGGGATACACTCCCTGTTTATCGATGAATTCTCCAACAAAACAAAATCAACACATGACCTAAAAGCTTGTCCAGTAACAGATAATCTAAAAAAAATTATTTCGCAACTATTGCATAGCTTTTTTTCAACCAAGACAACCACGAGACGCTGTGCACGTTTTTCCCAGGTGTGTACCGTGTGTACATTCAAGCGTTTGTGTTTTCGTAACGACAAAATGGCGCCATTGGATGCTGTTCCTTTATTCAATGGTGGCAGCATTGCAGAAGCTAATGTTTTGAAGTTTTGTGGGTGGAACCCTGTGTGGAAAACCATCAAGTGGCTGAGGGAAGTTGACGTCACTCTAATATACTTTACGGACCGAGCGACATGGCAGGTCACAAAAGAGGCCCAGCAAGCAAGGCAATAAGCCTAAAGGCGAAGACATGACTTTAGCAATGCCTTTCAAGCTGGCGGCTAATGAAAAAATGACTCTGAGGCTGTTGGTGCCAATAGAAATTCGTTATTCACCAGTTTTTTTACTTTAAACTCAATTATCTCAAAACAGTGTTTTTTAGTACATAGGTACCATTTTTTCCTTAACCTGACATTATAGAGGGTTGATTTTTTATTTCTACCACATACATGGGTGTTCAAAAATACTGAACTAGAATTAAAAATGTGCACCTAGCAGTTTTTGAGTTACAAAGTTTTTAATAGATGAAATAAACTAAAATTTCAGTACTAAAATAAAAAAATATAAAAAAAAAACTTATTTTCGATTGGTTCAAATAATTCTAGTTCAGCGTATAAAACACAATATTTCGAACAAAATGATATATACATGACAGGAATACTCCTAATAGTCACCGAGAAAAATTTTCCTCAACATGGCCTCAAATGCATGGGGAGTATAGGACTTACCCTGTGCCCTTAAGAGAAATGCAGACATTCAAAGTGGGATGTTGCAAAAGCGTGGCTGGAGTATTTAAAAAGGAAAAGAAGCTTTGTGAATATGGGTATTTACACTAGAGTAAAATTTTCACAATTAAACTGGGGCTATTGTGCGAGAGTATTTGTTTTGCAAATATGTCCCAACGACCTGCATTCATTATTCATGATTGTCTATTTTACTTCTCTGAAATTCGAGATTTAAGAAAGAATATCTGCATATAATAATAAATCCTCTTAATTAAGTATAGCTGCGCATCTCTATAGATTTAATTTTATGTGAAATGCGTCATTTACTTGACATCCCAATATGGGCACTGGACTCTATTAGGCCACGGTCCATAAATATGGCTGGATTAAAATTGCCTTAGAAATGGACAAGTAAAAGCTTGGGAACAACCTTCATGCATTCAGCTGGGTTTTCATATTTTCATTTAAGCATGGAAAAGTGGTGAAAGGCTCGGAGAAACTACTAGATATTTGATTTGCAAATATTCGGTTAAAACCACTATTAGTTACGAATTTAAAATCCACTATTCGCACATGCCTCCATTTTTAAAAACAGCTGAAAGTTTAAACTCTGAAAAGCTCTTTTATCTGCTTTATACAGGGTGTTTAGTTTTAAATAGAACTAAATTCTTCTTTTAAAATGGCGGCGAGAATTACGTCGGTGCCGCCTTCCCTGTGTATTTGTCAGGCCCAGTGGACATCAGACGAGGGGAGAACTGTCACAATAAGTGGGGTTATTAGCTCAAATTTGCTGGCCTTTTTAATTACCTGCGTTACGGTTCACGTTGCCATCGCAGCATTGACGGAGTTTCCGATCAGACGAACGAGACACAAGGAAGGGGGTCGAGAGGGAGGCTGTGCAGAAAGCCCACCTGTTGGTGGCGGCATTGTAGCAGTAGTTTGGAAGGAAGTCGTAGTTGAGCTCCCAGAAGACGTGCAGGCAGACGCGGCCGTACGGGGCCAGCACGTTGTGGTTCGCCTCGCGCAGCATGGCGTCAAAGTCGTCCAGGGTCACAAACTTACTCAGCAGCTTGTGCGTCATGCGGTTCACGGACAGGAGGCCTTCCAGCTCCTGCACGTCGGGGTTCCAATGAACCACCGGTTGAAGGGTGGCTCCGGCGGTTTTCTAAGCCACCCCATTCAAACGGATTTTCACCACGCCCAGGCTTTCCGCTTCGCAGCAGGCCACTTATTGTCACTAAATTCACGATAGCCATTGAGAACGCGGCAGATGAAGAATATGTCAAAACCAATGTAAGAATATTCCCATATTCTACAGTGGGCCGATATCACGTGTTGTAAAACTGGCAACTCAAGTGGACTGTTGAAAAAAAAAAGATATTTTGAGCATTTTTTATTTTATGTTTTTCTGGCGCGGGTATCCTCGGCATTCATATCACACCATCAAACTTCTTGTAACCTGTCGGGAGCAAGCAGTACTGCCCCCCTAATACAGCACTTGACATCATGCTTTCAGTGTTGCCAGTAGAGCCGCTCGGCCTCTCGGACCAAATATATAAAAATTCAATAATTTTGTGCAAAGATATTATAGTGACTCGTCATTTAAGCTACTAGTTCAAATGTTGTCTATCAATGTGTTAAACTACTTCTGAATCAAATCAGTGACTAATAAAGCTTTGCAAGAGCTCCCCATTAATTGAGCAAACAACCAGGACCAAAACTTCTACTGCACACAGAAGCAATTGATTTTCTCAATTAAGTTAGTACTCCAAAAATCCACACCTAAATCTACAAGCGAGATTCAGCTGGGTGGACTAAAGGGAAAAACATTCATACCCATAATCAGCACAGTTCGCAGGTTCTAGTCTGCGCAGGTTAAGAAAAACAGGACAAGCCCCTCCCAAAGATCCCTTTCCACTATAGCAGAGCGAATGTTGGAGAGGAGGAAACCACCAATCACGACGAGCAGAGGGCTCTGCGAGAGGGGCCTGCCCTGCTATGCTAAATCTGCGACAGACTATAGTGGCATATTTACTAGAATATACGTTGCGTCCTATACCAAAAAATTCGCCGAGAATAATAAAAAAATATTTGAACAGGTGAACTCTGATTTTTAAGGCTGATTGGAAGGAAATTCAAACGAAGATTTATTTCACAGTGTCTTCGGTCACCCTAGCTCACGGGTGCGCAACATGCGGCCCGCGGGCACGACACTGCGAGATGTGCTCAAGACGGCAACCGGTGCGATGATGCTAGATATTGAAAACCTGACTGCCAGATACCGAAAATCCCCGCAGTTCCCAATCAACATTTTGTTTGGCCCGCGTCATTTTTGAGTTGTGCTCCCCTGCCCTAGCTAAACTCCCTCGCCTATCACACTCGCCTCATCATCTGAACTCTCTGATCGATCAAAAACGTGCCTCCGTGATGTGGCCTCGCACCGTGCTACTCAAGTCAAACTTCACCGCATCACACCAGTGCGTTAGGAGGGGCAGCTCAGTTAGCTCAATTGGCTAACCCTCAGTTAGAATTATGAGTCAAAAATGGTGCTAGAAGAAATATGTCAACCTACACTCAAATAAATGTTGTAGCCCATACCTGGTACTATACGTTGGAAGCAATAAACGCCCGTTCACACTCTTGCAACCGAGTACGACCAAGAGAGGCAAGACCTGTTGAAACCTCTTAAAATTTCTTAGGATGAGAGAACCCACTGGCACTATGGCACCATCTATGTGGTGACCGTGGAACTGCATTTCACAAGAGGAAAGGTTCTGCAGGATTTTTGAGGTCCAATGTGTCTAATACCTATAAGAGAGGCTCGTTTATAACATTGACAAAAGTTTTTCGAGCCAAGGAAGAAAGGATAATGCGCGAGAGAAATAGAAAATTTGCCGGATCGCCAAGTTTACACTGCTACCCAATAGATGACGCCAGTGCGTCCTCTCATAAGAGATATTAGGAGGTTCCAAGGCACCCGGTTCTAAGAGGTCGCAAGTGTGTGAACAGGCCTTAAAGGGTTGTACAAAAAAACATATCTCTTAGCTCCATAAGTGCATAGGACTCACGACAACTCCGGTGATGTCCTGCGCTTCGAAGCGGGCCACGGCCAGTTCGAGGCTGCGCTGGAGAGCAGCCCCCAACCGCTGAGCCACCAGCCGGTTCAGGTCGACCGAGCGCCCCAGCAGCTGAACGTGGCGCTGGCGAAGCAGCGTCTCGTAGCGGTTTGCCACCGGATACGCAAACACCGTGGCGTTGCCTGCACACTCCGCTCGGAAACGCTTGTCCAGCAGGATGCTGCGTGCACCGACAAATCCGCGTATTAAAACAAAGAAAAGTGGCTTTCTGTTCAGTACAACTTTTTCAATGCTTGACTATTGGGGTATTCGACAAAAGCTATCGCAAATGGTGACAGTTGCGATTAGTTTCTACTTCCCTGTGTATTCCTGCACTTCCTGCATGAACCATCTGCAAATTGCATGCATTGAATAAATACATTAGTGTTGTGCGAATATTCAAAATATTGAATACTAGTTTTGAATATTATGCTGTTCGATATTTGCTTAAACATGAACTGCAAATTCATGTTTTTCTAAGTGTTGATTGTGGTGGGATAGCCCCGTTAAGTGCACTTTTTATCGAGCACTGTTGCACTGCAGAGAAGCAACACCCATGGAAGCAACAGAATAACCCACTGCGATCAACACCTGGAAAAGTATGAATATTGCAATTTCGTACTTGAAAGAAAAGCACACTTTCACTTGGGAGAAAAACACACTGGTGTATTCAGAAAAGAAATGGAAACATTGTTAATGTTGATACATCTTCATTGCAGTAAAAATTTTTAATATCAAACTGTAGCTGTTACGCAAGAGTATACTATGTTAGGCAGAGATGCCCTGACAACCCATGTTCATCATTTATGAATTCTATTCCGACTGCTTGGCGGCAACAGAAAATTGGCTTGGTGGGCTTTGGATGCAATTCGAGACTTGCGGAGCCGAAAATTGAAAATGCATTCATTACGCGAGAGAAAAAAAAAGTCCAAATTTCGGTACCCGTTGTGGGGGGTCTGTTCATTATACAAGTGTATTCATTATGCGAGTAAATATGGTACATTAGCTGGAGACGCGTTCGAGGCGCCATACCAAGACGAGTCCAAAGAGCGGAAAGATGCCAGATGCCTTACCTGCCGGCCAGGTGCTTGTAGTAGGCGAAGATCTGGTCGCTCAGCTTGTAGGCAAACTGGTCGAAGCAGAGGTTCACTTCGGCCTCCACCTCGTCGTACAAGAACTGCTTTTTGAACTTGGTGAGGGCATAGAAGGCGCTGTCGTTGTACAAGTCCAGTGGATACAGCACACACCTGCGAAGGACGGCTGACTGGTTATGCTCTCCTGGTCGATGTTCCCAAGGATCCGCTGGAAGCCAACTGCTCGTCATCATTGTAAAGTCATGAACAATCAAACCCTCAACGACCGACGTCCGCTATCGATTTGCAGCCAAGCTACTATACGGTGAGCAAGTCAACCAAAACTCAACCCTTTACATACGAGAGATGGGAGGTACAAAAAAGAAAAAGGTTCCACCATGCACGACAGAAGGCACGAAAAGGTGAGATGGAGTGATAATGTGTGCAACAAAGCTCCGCCCCAGAAGACGCCATTCTTTTCTGGGGGTAGCAAATGACATCTTGGCCGCAAGTTCTTTCCTCTTGTAGCGCAACTTGCAGTTGCTAATAAACAAAAACTCCGTACCCATCGAGCTACCTATTTGATCTTCTCTTTCTCAAAGGCTAGTCCTCATTATTAAAGAACCAATGGATTTCAGGAAGTTGTACGAAAGGTAAGGCAGCCATTGCTACGACTAGCAGACGATGCCAAAGCTCGGTGCCCTGGCCAACTTGCTCGCTCTGGTTGGAAGATACAGTGGACAGACACAGACATTTTCGTATCTATGCACAATGTCTTTCAATCGGAGCTCGGCGCCATGACATCACTGTACCCCTGCACAAAAAGCAGACGAATTTGACTGCCGTGTGGAGCTTCAAAACAGTTAAAAAAACTCGATTGCAAGGGCTTAAATCAAGATGACTACATAATAATATGACGGGGAAGTCATCTACCTTCACGGTCCATAATATAATTGGAATGACAACATTTAGTGTTGAGAGCAGTACTTTAACCAGTTTTAACTGGTACCAGGTTAACAAACACTTAATGAACTCCAAGACAGGCACTCACTCCATCATGGAAGGGTTCTTGGTGGTCAGGATGTGGTCAGTCAGGATCCACGGAAGGGACATTTCAATCGGGAACTGTGCCAGCAAAAGAAAAGACAAAGAAACAAAAGTCATAGAAGCATGGTGACGAGAGTCATTCTGTGGAACTAGAGTGCACCGACAGAAATAACAAACAAGACAATCCGAAGCAATGCATTCTTCCGTCTTCTTTCCTCTCAAGTTATGATGAAAATCATTTTCGCTAAACATTGCACCGCATGACTTATCCCTCCAAATATAGGACGATGGTTATTAGTCTTTTCCTCGGCCATCTTGTTGTACAAAGCTGCATAATAATAAAATCAAGAACAACCACCTAAGGTTTGTGGAGACAATACGACGCGACCACAAGCACGACACAACTGGGCATTCAATGCAACGCTCCAACAGGGCGCCGTAGGGGAAAGCGCACGTTTACCTGAATCCGTTTTCCCATGGTCATTTCCAAGTAGAACTCTCGGTACCATAGCTGGGACAGGTCGCAGCACTCCTGCAGTGTCTCTGGAACATTGCAGGATTGTACACAGGACATAAGTCGCGCGCGGTACCAGACAAAAAAAACTTAGAAAAGCAGAGAGCAGGACAGAGCGCACATTGTAAAGCTAGTGCACCGCCGACTGTGTAATATCAGTACCGAGATACACGCGTGAACTGGCCTTTACTATATTACGGTAGTAAAGTAGCGACGCGGCGCTACTTTACAGTAGCATTACACTGCATGTGCAGACGAGCAAAGGCGGGGTCATGTGCATAGGAGCAGCGATGCAGCATCGACACGGTGCGACGCCAGCGCTGTCGCGTACATGCGAACGGGCCTTGACGGGGGGGAAAGCAACGGCCGGCCGGGCGCTTACGGCTGAAGTTGAGCAGGTAGTTCCAGTAGAAAGAGCCCTTGTGGAACCGGTCAATCTCCATCAGGGAGGGGCCGTCAATGTCCTTGCGCAGCGTGCGCTTGCCTCCGCTCTTGTCTGCAATCAGGGACTCCAGCATCGTGCGTACCATGTACAGCTGCGGGGAAAGCGGTGGAAAGACAGAATGCAAGGGCCGCACGGAATTCGGAGCGTTGCTATGGTGCCTAGGACGTGTCTCCGACCGGTGGGTTTGCCGCGGCCTCATTCCTGGTGCCTCCATTTAGTCCGATGACATGGCACTTGCGTCGTGGTATTGCCTAGAGCGATCCTGGCAGTGGTGCCGTGGCAGACACCCGTTTAGCTATTGGTTTGCCCTCCGGCTTGACACTACACCGATACTTAGGCGGCCACATTCATGTTGGAGCGGGACAGATTGCGTTACAAGTTAGAACTGCTCGCGACCGCTTACGACGAGAGCCCACGTTGGCGCCATCCATTGGGTACTCTCGGAACACACCTAAAATTTTACACACCATTCTTTCGCAGTTAGCTCTAAATATTTTTGACAATGTTATAAGCGATCGTCTCTCATAGGTGGTGCATAGATTTAAACTAGCAAATACTATAAAACCTCCGGCCAAGTTATACGCAGCTCCGGGGCTACGCGATAGATGGCACCAGTGAGGCAATGTGTTCCTTCGTTGCAAGAGGTTACGTGCTGCCTCGACGGTCTTTGTCGCGCTCAAATGCAAATTGGTGAACCAGCCTTTAAAGTGCCGCGACGACAGTGACACTTGCTCAACTCCCGCAACTAACTACCAGGATCACGCCATCCAACAGCACCAGCTCTGCAGACGAAATTTATCGCCACTTCGAGGCCCCTTCCAGTGCGTCAGCGCATTAGAAGGCTCGGCACACAAGTCGGAGACACATCCCAGACACCGTAGTGTTGTTAGGAAGGAGGAGGAGACCTGCGTGCTGGAAGGTCCGACGTTCCTCCGGGGCGCCGAGATGTCGAATCCGTTGTCCGGGTCCTTCTTGCCCCTCAACGCCGGATCTTCGTTGGGCTCTGTTCCGCGCTTCCAGTCAGCGCAGGTCTCGCGCACCGACATGATGATGCTGCCAAACCATTAGCGTTTATTTAGAAACCAACCGGGATTTGAGAAATGGGAGGGGATAAAGCGACCAATGAACGTGCTAAAGTGAAGGCTGGTGTTGAGTTTTGCAAAGAAGGCCCCTGGAGCAGCACCTCTCCTGAAGAAGCACATTCACATATATTAGCAAAGTTGAGTCAAAGTGACTATAGTAGGTTAAGCAAAGCGGGACAAGACCCTCCCACAAGGCTCCCTGCTCATCATGATTGGTGGGTTCCTCCTCTCCACTTGCATCCTTCCTAGCGTTTGCTCCGCTAAAGGGACGCTAATAGGTTGCTTATAAACTGGTAAAGATTCGGTTAGGTGCAGTTAGGGTAGTGAAGTACAGCAAATATGAGGCTCGACTTTATTAGATGCACTCTTATCGAAGACACAAAAATAACGGAACTGCATGCAGCTGTAGCTGTTCTGTGAATTCGAGAGTGCTAACATTGCACGAGCCAAGAATTATTTTCGAAAACGAAAGAATGAGCACAGCGCAACACAACTATGGTAAAAGTCGCCCAGACACAATGCAGGAAGCACAAAGCCCAAGCATAGACCAGAAATAAAAGAAGTGTAACCTCCGGGCATAAATAGGAGAATGGTGCGGCAGAGAGAGAAGATGCCGACCTGCGCACAAGGTCACGCTTGTTCTTGACGGCCTTGCGCAGCGGCTCCCGGAGGCTGTGCTGCACAAAGCTCTGCAGCTCACAGTAGACGTGGCGCCTCACCGCATCCGTGAACACTGTTTCCATGCGGCTCATGAGCACCTGCAGCCCTTTGACCATGGCGATCACCTCGATGAGGCCAAACTTCTCCTCCTCCGTGTAGTTATAGCGCGTCGCACGCTCGTACTCCTCGGCCTCCTGGGGAGTGAAGGGCAAAGAGCGCTCGTCAGCCACGCTCCCCACTTGCACGACACACAAACAGGCCATTGTGCCGACGTGCTTGTGAACTCGCAAAGTATGTCGGCGTGCCGATGTGCTTGTGAACTCGCAAGTATGTCGGCTCCCCACCGTATTTGTGAGTCTCGCAGCGACACGCGTTGACACAGGGTTCACAAGTATGTCGGCGTACGTCAACGCAGAAATTTTCTTGGTTTTCTCGTCTTCTTTTCTTTCTTTTCTGCGCATACTCTTTCGGACATTTTTGCTGGCATCCGGCCACGATTAAACTAGTTGAAATTAGCTAATCTCCATGTCTTTTCCCTTGTGTTTGTCACTCAATGCACATGTAAGTTTCCTCGGCAATTGACGTAGCTTTTGGCAAATGCGACGCTACGACTCTGGCGTCTGGAGCGCACCTCCAACCGGTGCATTTACCGCACTCTCAGAAGTGATCCCCCGATTTCCGCCAGACAACGTCATAAAAGTGCCACGCTGTTGCGTGTCACGGTCCTAGCAATGGCACAGCAGCAGAGACAGATGTGACGTTGCCTGTTCTGCTGCAGCCTACCATCAGGCAGTCAACGAAAAACAAAGTAGACACAACATGGGACGACGACGGCGGCAATTGCATTTGCTCGCATTTTTCACTAGCATTTCTACGACCAACCGCCAGGACCGCGACGTCTGACAACGCAACACGTTGGCTCGTGCGGTGCAATTCGTTGCCACTTCGGAGTACTTTCGATGCATGGGTGGGATATGCCAGAAACACACCAGTTTTAAAAAGCGTTCCAAGCATCGTACTACAGCCCCAGTTTACCAGAGACCGAAGCCACGCCTATTGTCCCCCGCCTGTCGTGGTGTGCTCGTTATTGCGGTCCCTCTCCAGAGATCCCCCTTAAATTGCAGTGACCGACTTCCATACTCTCTGGGGCAAGGCGGACGAGCGGGCTTTGCTGACGAAACAGTCGACGCAACTACACCTCCTACCCACCGCCGGGCACTCCTTGTTCTGGTGGGGGTCCGTCGGGTGCATCAGCTTCCACGAGTACAGCTCCGTCACGTGGGTGGTCCAGTCCGAGAGCAACTGGAGGCCCCTCAGCGCCAGGTCGTTCAACCCCCGGTTCTCGGCGTCCGTGCGGGGCGTCTCCTTCACCGTGGTGGTCACCTCGTTGCTGTGCCGGGCCAGCTCGCTGATGTAGCGCTCGTAGTCGTCCCGGATGCCCGGCAGGTGCTGCAGCAGGTCCGACTGGGGGCTCGGGCTGCTCGCGCTGGCCAGCGGCCAGCGACCGGCCTCGTAGTGCGGGCTGCTCTTGATGTAGTGGAACGGCGCTATCTGCATGTCCCCAAACAGGGGCACCATCTCCAGGGCCTGCGGAAAAGGCACGCGGGATGTTAGGAAGCGGCGACGGCGTCTAAAGATTTTCCACCGACCTTACCCCCCCCCGGCGAAGTTGGTTTCGACAGAATACGACATCACTACTTCGTATAACAGCTATAAGTATGCTCCCTGGAACGGGTTTCTGATTGGTGCATTTGGCTTCCTACTCTGGCCAAGTGTCGGAAGTTGTCCCAAAGTAAGGACTCAACGGTTTCGATGGGATACCACACCACTACTCCGTGGAGTTACAAGTAGTGTTATACGTAGAGCATGCAGCTATCAGTCAAACCACATATTCGGTTAAATCGGAATAAAGCGAATTCGGCTTTCAAAGCTGGTTATCCAGATTTTCATAAACAAGCAACTGGCTTGGCAAACCGGTCAACCGGATTATTCGGTTTTATATAATGTACATTATTAAGAAAGCTTTTATTTTATTTGTACTGATTTCTGTGCATACAGCATTGAGATCAAACTATACAGGGGGCGATTTTGTACCGGTTCCGATAAAAAATAATTTATACTTACATAAAGATTCAAATATCTGGATATTCATATAACTGAATAACGTAACCAGTTATTCGAATAATTGGTTATCCGGTTTTTAAATTCAAATATTTGCTAATTTGAATAATCCAATAACTGGTTATCTACGAAGAACATACGGGTGCTGATAAGAAAATGCAACTAGATAAGATGAGTGGTTCCAAAGAATGGCTGTTGAGTGGGGGTTCTGCAATGGACTAACGCCAAATAAAACTGTAGATAAAGATTCTCTTTCCACAAAGCTTAAGTTTTTTTTATTTGAGGTCAACTCTGATTCGGGCTTTTCCGGCTTTCCCCAATCTCGATAAAACTGGTTCGGGGGTTATTTCTAGGAGTTTATCCATACTTACCAAAAGCACGGATCCCTAGTTATAAGATACTGTCGCCCAAACTTTAACATATCCCTTCTTTCTTCGCACGTGGAAACCAAGAGGGACCTGTCTATACGGTGCCGTCTATTTTATACTAATTTAACAACAAAAAAAAATTTATCTAGGTGTGGGTAAGTCTGGCACTGTGTTCCACCATGCACATTAGGGTCCGTCCACTTACCTTGAAGATTTTGTCTATCTTTCCGATGTAGATGCGCTTCTTTTGATCTTGCTTGTTGATGTTGCACACCTCTCCGTCCATGAGAAACAGGCCAAACCCCATCACCTGCGCACGAGACGCGGAGCTCGCAATTTGTTCCATGCACTGAGAAATTTGACGGTTCAAACAAAATGGTGCTGGCCCAAAAAAAAACACAAAAAACCTAAACAATTCCTTGTTAACCCCGAGAAGGTGGAGTGGCACCACTTGACGGCTCCTCGTCGTGACGTAGTGGCGAGGATCACTTGACCGCTTCTCCGCTTTGCTCGTAATCGTTAGTAGCAAATAGGTTGAGGTCTATCGTTCACAATTCATATTTGATTCGCCAATTTGAACGAGAAATTAGGGTTGCTTTTGAACTAATTTTATCGTTGTACTTCTTGTCAAAATTAAACTCGAGCAGCGCGACAACAGTGGCGTCGCGGCCTACAGGAAAGGACCCAGCTTCAATTTATTAAATCGACCACAGCCAAGTCGGCCCTCATGGTGGCATTGGAGGCTCGTCAAGTGACCAAACAGGTAGATTCTGGAACACCATAATTTCCCAGACAAGTTCCGGAAGATCTAGGTCAAGGTTCGAACCATTCATACGAAAAGGGTCCACTTAAGAAAACAAAAAGTCGCATGAACATCTTCCATTCAGCGAGGCAGCTGGTCGAAGGCAGCGAGCAACGTTACTAGAACAACTCAGTTGGGAAAACTGCCATAGAGCCTGCTCTGAAAAGTGGCACCGATCCGTACTCGACAGCCAATCTAATGGCGATCGCAACGCCACCATTTCTCCCGCAGCAGCCATCCGAGCCTTAATCCCTATCCAGAAAAAGGTTTTGTATCTCTTTGTCGGTTAATGTAGACCTCCATGCCAAAGCCATGTTATAATATTGTAAACGTGCACAAGCGACTGCTCTTTCTTTTTTTTTTCTTTTGGCTAAGTGGAGCGTTCTTTCCCTGTCAAACAGCAAAACAAACAAGCAAACTCCACAAGGTAATTGGAGCAACAGGGGTGGTTTTGCCATCCGCCAGAGAGCACGCTTAACAAGCACCGAAACCCAAACGCGAGTCACACTCGTGATTGGGCTTTATGGGTTGTAAGCACACGTGACACTCATTATTACCGTATTTACTCGAGTAATATCTGCACTATTTATGAACAAGGCCCTTGCGTCTACTTTCCCACAGAGCACATATACAGCCAATCATTGTGCTGCGCATAAGAGAATAACCAGATCGAGAACACGATTCTCCATACAAATGCAACCTTCACAGATGGTATCTTTGCACGAAGACATTATCTCTGTCCTGTAAACAGCTAGAATCATGCTGTCGATCGCGGTGATGGTCAATCTATGTGCTCCGCCACAAAGCGAACCCTCAGGTTTTTTTCATAAACAGTGCGGCTATTACTAGAGCAAATACAGTAGTAGGCAAGGAGTTAAGCCTAAAGGCACAGACGACAGAGAAAAGAACCAAGGGAGACCTTGACAAGCATGTGCTTCTCGGCGGGCAGCATGTACATCTTGGTGTCGTACATCTGGACGCAGAGGTTGACGATGTCGGCCAGCAGGTCGTCGTAGCCTGGGATCTTCTCCAGGGTCTCCTTCAGGGTGTCCCGGATCTTGTTCTGGGTGGCCAGGAACATGGACAGGTTCTGCGACTCCTGCAGGGCCTGGGAGTCTGCCATCACCTTCAGGAACTGGGCCGCCCTGTTCGAAAATTCACAGGGTCTCGTATGTTATCCCTAAGATGACTTGAAGGCGAAAGCCCAAGTGCCCTTAATTCACTTAGTCATCTACTTAATTTGCTTTAATTCCTCGTAATTCACCTCAATTCCTCTTAATTAGCTTTGATTACTCTTACTCCTCTCAACTCCTTTTAATTCACTTTAATTTGCTCTTAATTTGCTTTATAGACCTCCTTAATTCCCATTGATTACCCTTACTCCTCTTTGATTACTCATAATTCCCCTTAATTCCTCTTAATTTGCTTTGATTCCTCTTAATTCGCTTTGTCATCCTTCTCAATTTCATTTCCTCTAATTCACCTGAGTGGTCACATAAACGTTTTAATATGTTTTGTGTCACCGACGTGCTTTCACTCAAGGATTTTAAAGATCGACTTAAAGATGAGACATACAATACTTTCGCCTTAATAATCGGAACCAAATACCATGTAAGCCAATACTGGCAACTCCCGCGGATCGCGGGCGAAAAGTGATCGCAGCGCCCCTGGCGAGCTCGGAGTCTTCGCCAGCAGACGAATTCCCCACAACGCAAGCAGTGAAGCTTGACACACATGCATAAATGCAAAGTGAGACATGGCATGCACACACCAGAGCAAAGCGGTGAACCTAGATGTATGTACACCGGTGCCAAGTGGCATAGCCTGCCGTATCACTTGCCACTTCTACATCTTAACGCAACAGCGTTAAGGAGCTCGTGTCGCAGAAAAACCGGCGTCGGTGGCATTGTGACGGGAAAATCCTGATTGGTCGATAGGGACATGACGTCACAGCCCCACGACCTCGAGCGGAAATTTAAAACAACCCACAACGCTCACGGGAAACATGACGTCTTGCGTGGAATGAGAGTGAATAAAAACATGGCATGTAATGCTAATTAAAGGTCGCCGCATGCCTCGAATGATTTCACTTTATAAAGTAATTCATTTGCCTTAAAGAAACATTTGAAGAATTTTGAACAGGATTCGAACCCACGACCCTTCGGTTGCAAGCCAGACGTGCTATTGACTAGGCCATGTCTGCCGCAATCCCTGCTCACTAACAGAAAGAGCTTGAGAAGCGAATGAGAAGGCGATGCGGACGGGGCCCAATAACGCTATCGCATTCCACTCTTAAAGGCGAAGCTTAAGCGTCCTTCAAGTTTTTGTTCCGAGACCTAGCAAGTACCCAAACCCCAGTCTTGCAAGATTGTCTCTAAATTTTGGGTGGACACCTGCTCAGCATTTTAAGGTACCTTCCCTCACGCTTGAGTGGTGTCTGTTTTAACCCTCCTTTCTTCTCCCAAGGTTCTATGACACTGGTGTAATCTGTATATCTGAGGGGTTAAGAGAATGCTTGCTTACAATAGCAGTCCACACGCTGACCTAACACAACGGGACAATGTATAACTCTGCGTGAGGGGACCAGTGGCCCCGTGTGTTAGCGCACTGCAGTTCAAAGCACTTGGAGCGAAAACTCATGCTGCAGTACAATTTTGGGTTCAATCCCCACCCCTGCCCGTATTGATCTGGATGAGCATTGTATCGACATGCAGGCATGTATCAATACTGTGTGACGCACAATAAAGACCCTAGGCTAGCAGTGGTGCTACACTGGCTCAACTTCTCTACAGCGTAAACCAAAGTTTCCATTACTCAAAGGCAGACCGACCTCACACTGTCTAAACACAACTAATTTTACCTTCTTTTTTTTTTTGTCAGAACTCCTCACGAATTATGACAGTGGGCCTTTCAATGACACTCCTCACCTGCGGTATGTGGCATAGTCGTTCTTGACGCTGGACTTCATGTTCTTGAGCTCGTCGAGCACGGCAAACATGTTGATGAACTTGCCGAGGGTTAAGAGGTAGGCCTCCGAGACAAAGTCCTTCCGCTTCTCCGTGTGGCACAGCCTCCTAACCTCGGCCGTGAAACGGTCGATGGCACGCCTCTGCAGGAGAACGGGCAACCAGCGTTGGACTCAACCCCTCTGCTGCTGCATCCTTCTTTTAACAACCCGAGCCTGGTTCACACATATCCGTTTGAGTGTGTTCGAGTGGATCGCGTCCCCAAGTAACTGCCTACGAGGGACCAAACAAGCACACTGGAGATATCTATCATGTAGCTCAGGGACTGCGCACAAATAGACTGAAGGTTCGACAGTATTTGCGAGATTGTATGTATGCGCTACATCTCACAAAGAGTTACTCAAACTAATATATTTGCTTTCTCAAATATTTTTCAGAATAATCATGATTTTTTTTTTTTTTTTTTTCACCCTGGTTGGCTAGTGAAAAAAGAAAATCTTTTAGGTTAAAATTTAGGATAACATATAATACAACAGACTATTAATTAATGTGGATATGTTTTAGTATGAACCATTTCACATGTCGGGAAGAGCAGACCACACAAACGAAATCAGACCCTACTCAGTAAAACATATAAAATAGCACAACAGGAACAAGGACAAGAAGTAAACAGGACAGGCGCTATTTTGTCCTTGTTCCTGTTGCGCTATTTTATGTTTTACTAAGATGAACCAACTAGCCCAACAACGTACCTTACTAGACCCTACTCATTTCACACTGATGTTTTCACTTTCTAATTTTTTTTTTCCAAGGAATGGAATAAGTTGCCAAAAGATGTGTTCTCGACTAATTTTCAAGATTGTGTTCGATACAATTGTTTGACATATGTATGAGGAACGAGTCTTTTAGTCTTCCTGTCGTACTGGATGGGAAATGTCTTTTGTACCACTGTTGTTTCTATAAATAGTGCTTCTTTTATACTACCTGGTTGTGTTTATACAAAACATTTTTGTTGTATTTCAGTTATGCTCGCCCCCTGCAATAACGCACAACAGCAATGCAAGTTTCTTTTGTAAATAAAAAAAAATCTAGAAGACATGGTCGCTTATATTATCATCACAATTACTTTATGCTCACAGTGAAAGAATGGTGCGTCAAAAATTTTGAAATAAATATTTTCAGGTTGAAAGTGTTCCAGGGCTACCTGATAGATTGCACCACTTGAAACGAGGCTCACCTGGAAGTACATGAAGTTGAGGAGCTTGTTGACTTCGGGTGCCAGCACCTCTACTGTCTTCTCGTAAATTTCTACGCGGTTTGGCTGCTCATTAGACTTGGGCTGCAAGGGTGTACACAAGAATGATGTTGTCTACGGGGCTAGCTTGGTTTAAAAACAATGTTGGAGGATCCAGACACACACAGATATATATCTAGATGCAAAGACAATGATGGTAATTTGCAATTTAAGTGCAGTTCTCAGCAGTATCACAGGAGTATGGTGCACCTCAAACTTAACGCCGCCACGAGATGGTCCGGTTTCTTCACTTTTTGAGCTATTGCTGAACCTAGCAGTCAAACTAGTCGGTAAAGATTTGCATCCTCGATAAGAACCCAACCAGGGGAAGGTATTCCAGCAGCTGCAGCGATCTATCTATCTTTGGGTAGCATGCAATAGATCAATATTTGCGAAACCGAGTGGCGGCATTAAGTTTGACAGGCACTGTACATCAAATAGATGTGGCTAAAATGGAAATGTTTCCTCTTTTAAATAAAAATTACAACACCACAGAAAGAAAACAGTATTGATGTAGGCATCTTGTGCATTTTATGCCATCAAAGATGTTTAGAATAAAATGCAACATAGAGCACACTGAAACGGCTATTTTGTAGGATGCAAATTTCTTCCAAAATCTCCACAAAAAAATCCAATAAATTCTAAGGGTGATATCGGTGCACAATATCGATTTCGGCATTCTACAACCATTATGTTTGCCAATATATAGAAATTCAAAGTGAAATTATAAGAAATTCTCTTTTACTCAGTTTTGCTTACCATATCTCCCAAAGCTGGACAATACACAAAACCGGAAATATATATAGGCCTTTTCTTAACAACACGCCAAGTATACACTTGACTTGTTTGGAGATTTGGTTACTCTGATGCAAATTCCCGTCTTAACTTTCTCAGCCAAATAAAAAGCATGAGGCAATTCGCTTGGGTTGCACATAGTCACAGCAGCTTACCTGGGGAATGGCTCGAGAGCAGCATCTCCATGTGTATAGCATAACTGCATGTTCCTGGCCTTGTTCGAGCATTTCATTCTGTAACAAATGTGGAGGACAACCATTGGGAGAGTTCTGCAGATCATGCACCAAGTTGTCCCCCGTAAGTAGAGCCCTGCGCGGATAACAATTTGATCATCCGCATCCGATCCGCATCCGCAGACTTCGTATCCGCATCCGCAATGTTCTTAAAATATTGTATCTGCATCCGATCCGCACCCGCAGTCTTTGTATCCGTATCCGGACCGCATCAGCAAAATTCGGTAATGTATCCGAACCGCATCAGCAAAATTCGGTAATGTATCCGACTCAATCCGCGCATTCATTTTACATAATAAAATCAAGCATTAATAAATCTAAAAAAAAAAATCTGGATGGTATCCTACTATATAAGCCTAAGCCGTCTGCTTACATTTCTACAAAGAATTCTTCATGTAAGAATACGGTGAAAGTAATTTGATCATATTCTGTTTGATTGTATTTATAAAACAAACGATCACCGTACCAGAGACACTTCGTATCGCTCGAAAGATGATCGCAGTTATTAGACCTTCTTGGGAGTCCGTGACACTGACGCTCTGTCCAGTATATGCGCTCAAAAGAAAGATAATTAAAATTTATATTCCTTTTTGCTTTGTAGAACCCACTTCAAGCAGACGCATATTTTATAAACATGAATATTGTCAAAGGACAGACTAATAACGTTGTGTCATCTTTTTTAGGCCAAACAGTAAAAATGTGGGAGGAAAGGTGCTCACTCGCAGCAGCAAAATACTTGTGTATATGTGGTAAGGCACAAGTACACCACTGGGAAAATATCACAGTATTCAATAATGCCAACACCTCCAATCGGTCAGAGTTTCAAACACAAACTCTCAACTGCATGCTCGGAACGACATACTTAAAAATAACTCAGTGCCAACTGTTGAGAGAAAGAAAACATACACACACGCAACATTTCACTTGTCAAGGCTGTTGTGTAGACGAAACAGAATATCGTCAACTCGGACGGATTCAGACTGGTTCGCCTCTCTTAAGATAATACTCGCTATTGAGAACTCTTTGTTCGTTGGTACACTTGATGCTAGGGTGGCATGCACGAACTGCACTACAAGAATGAGGTGCAGAAACTCGTGCTGGTACAAGTTCCACCACTCCAGAGAATTGAATTCAGTATCCACAATATATACTTGTAGGCGAAGAAGCCACTTACAGGCTCCTTCTAATTTCTTGTGGCTTGTACGTTTTAGTTTTCTTTGCCCCAAAGAATGTTTTCCGCTCTTTCCCTGCCAAAGAAGAACACGTTTTCAAGGACGACTGCTGCTCCTGTATTCTTTGCTTTTTCTAGGGACAGTATTTTTGGCGAGATAGAACATTTTAAAGCAATCTTTAGTGAGAAACAAATCTTTATTGGCATAAAGGACAATTTTCTCCCTGATTGGCACCTTTAATCTAAGAGAGTAGTTTGCCCCCACAATACATTCAATGATGCATTTCATAATATATCTTTCACTCATTCACTCTAGACTGTACGGTCGCACACGTTTATAGGCCGCCTAGGCAAAAACAGACCCGGACCCGCGGATATCCGATCCGCATCCACAGCCCCTGGCCTCCACATCCGATCCGCAATCCACCAAATCCGATTCATTTTTAACCGAATCCGCCAGTTTACTGCAGATAATCTGCGGATATGCAGGGCTCTACCCGTAAGCATCGAAGACACCAATTTCTAAAATTGAGAACCTAACTTGGCAGACTTTGCACTTTCCACTTGAGAAACGTCACCGGCAAACAAATGCTCTCAAACTCTACCATACGGCTCAAACGCAAAAATCTTGACTTGCCTGCATTTTACTTGTACACCCTAGCATCGAGCGCTAAACTTGGGGGACTAGGGATTGATTGCGTAGGCTTCGAGAAATGACAAAAGTGTGGGGAACCAACAGACAAGCGTTCGAGCCAATAGTGTCATGCACCGTAAAACGCTTGTTACAAACGGCACCTCCTAGATGCAGAACGAAAATGTCTGGCCTCCAGCATGCGCTAGTTGCCTTCCATTGTGCTTTGGCTGCGTGTGTGCATTTGAGGCTCACGAGAGAACAAAGCACCATCGAAGCTCCTACTTTCTCATCCTGACAGTGGCTGTAATAATAATCACCTTAATTTGTGAGAGAAAGACAGCCCTTAGCAGCTACAGGACTACGCAAAAAGAATATGAAACTCATAAGCGAGGGTGCCTGGTAGCCGGTGTTTGAAATGTAGCAGCCCGTGGTAACGGAAGGAAGTAAGCAGGACGATTAACAACAGAAAGGAGCAACAGGTAGACAGTTATTAGTAAGGCATGACGCCACCCGACTCCTGCGGCATTCTCGGGTGACTGGTCATCAGCAAAGAGCAGGGCTGGCTGTCCGGTGTCAGAAATACAAGGTTTCCACAATAAATCCTAGCGCCGTAAAACGAGCCGGAAAAATTGGTGCCAACATATTATAAGCTAAAACTTTCACCAAATGTGCACTTAGGTAGTGCATTTTACCCGATGAAATTTGAAGGCATAGCTCCATTTCTGCAAAAGTCGAGACCAACGAACTTGCCAGGCTCAACAGCAAACGGTTTTGCAGACGATCGAGTTAGTGAAGGTTGTAACGTGTGGTGCCATCTCCCAAAAGGCGCAATGAGCAGACGACGCACTACGCCTCGAAATTTCACCAGGTAAAATGCGCCAGCTAAATGTACAATTCATGCAAGTTTAAACTTTCTACATGCCGGCGCCAATCTTTCGGCTTCGTTTCAGGGCGCTAGGATCCATTCTAGACACCCTATATAACAGATTGTTGTAACAAAAGGAAGTGAGCAACGACATCAGCAACAGGAAGGAACAACAGGCAGCAAAATTATCTGCAAGGTACAAACCCCCTTGGTCCCGTGGCATTCTTGCACGGCTGGACTTCAAAGGGCAGGGAGAAAATGTATGCTTACCAGCTCGGCGTGCACGGTAGCCTCCTCGATGTACTTGGCAACCCCCGTGACGAAAGCGTTGCGGTCCTCGAAGTTGGTGTCGAAGTTGGCATGGTAGACAATGCTGCAGGGCAGGGCCTCGATGCACGGCTGCTGGTCCGGAAGAGGCAGCTCATCCAACACGTCGACGTTGGAGAGCGCGTCCGCAAGCGTCACCTCGGCAGCCATGGCCGGTGCTCTCGCGGCGCTGTCGCCAAAACGGGCGTCCCCGCTGCCTTCCCAGCTTTCGACGGCCTGCAACCTGCAAGTTTCAACCTTCATTTGTTCCTCTTTTACGCAGAATTCAATTCTTGCAAAAGCAGTCAGATTTCGGAGCGTCGCGAATTGCACTGTGCTGCCGAATAGTGAGCAGTTTTCCATACACATAGCTCTGAGGGACAAGAGAAAACTTAACAGCATGTAAAATATGGAGAATATTAAAAATAAGTATATATATATATATATATCTAGGGTGATTCAAGAAGAGGCCAGGCTCTTTAAATCGACCGAAAAATCGGTTTCTTAACCTATCGCACTACGACTTTGAGCAGCGTTGCCCACAGATGGTGCATTTTTTTTTGTAAAATTTGCAAACAGCGAACTTACCTGAGAAAAAAGTAAAGAAAGAAAAAGGCTTAGCTTACATGGAAACGCAGCGATGCCACCGGTCTTCAAACAACACGGCGCCGTTTCGCACGGGAGACAAGAGATGGTGCAATGAATGCCGCCAACGAACGAGCATACGGCGCCGAGAGCCGGCGTCTTTAGCAGACGGTCGTTTCGACTCCAAAGCGGCGCGCGTTCCGCAGGAGGTGACAGTTGCAGAAACAAAAACAGGCGCGGTAACAACCAATGGTAACAACAAAGAACTGCAGTTCCTTGTCTGCCAAAGACGCCGGCTCTCGGCGTCGTATGCTCGCAGTTGGCGTTGCGACCGCTTGCGCCATCTCTTGTCTCCCGTGCGAAACGGCGCCGTGTTGTTTGAAGACCGGTGGCTTCGCTGCGTTTCCATAGGAGCTAAGCCTTTTTCTTTCTTTACTTTTTCTTCAGGTAAGTTCACTCTTTTCAAATTTTACAAAAAAAAAAAGCACCATCTATGGGCAAGGCTGCACAAAGTCGTAGCGCGATAGGTTCAGAAACCGAATTTTGCGGTCGATTTAAAGAGCCTGGCCTCTCCTTGTATATATATATATATATATATATATATATATATATATATATATATATATATATATATATATATATATATATATATATATATATATATATATATATACATACATACATCTTTTTCGAGTATTTAAATTAAGTTTTTCATAACATACTAAAATCCCGACCAGGACAAAGGAGGGACGACACAACACAAAAGTCTACTATGTCCAACTGGCATCAGGTCGTCTGCACCCTAACTTTCTCTTTGTTGAGTCTCCCTTTGTCTTTTGGAGCTAGGTTTTGATCCCCACATTACGGAAAATTTCAAACGATTCAGCAATACAGCACGACCCACATGCTGCCTTCAAAACAATAAAAAAAAGGGAAAACAGAAGAAGCAGGAGAGAAGATGCAAAGACGCTTCCAAAAGACTTTACCAGCTGCAAAAAGCATAAAAAAAAAAAGTGATAAAAGAATAAAGACGTGAAGACACTTCGAATAAAGACACGGCAGCCCAAACCTCGAAAGCTGAGACTGAACGTCAGCGGCTGCTGCATTCATAATAAAACGCAATTATGCATATGATGGTAATGCTATTAATGCAAAGGTGCAAGTGAGCCAGACAAGAATGACAATAATAATCCCTGGAGAAGGGGAACAAGGGAAACAAAGGACAAATACAAATCTTCAGACACAGCTAGGTGACTGGTGCGTGACCAAAAAAATCCGCCTGGTCCTGGTATCAAACCAGGGACCTCTCCATTTCTTGTGCAGTGCTCTACCAACTGAGCTGACCAGGAGTTAGATGTCAATAGAGCAAACGGGTTCTATCAGCTGCCACCAGTCTAACACCAACAAGGGCGAACGACCGGCAGTTTGGTACTTTAGACCCATGTTACGGATTAAAGAAAACAGGGTGTGGGATGTGCGGGATGGCAAAAAAAAACACGCTTCTGTGCAAGGCTCGTCAAATTATGAGGTGCTAGAGAAAACCTGCCTTCTGCATTAAGCCATTATTTCAAACACTTTTTGTTCACGTTCCACCCATTGAAAAGCATGGAGGAAACGCCTCACTACGCACCTTGTAACTCTGCACTGCAGTGTTCTCCTGCTGCAAAAAGGCAGTCTGCTTTCATCACTAGTCACAATGGCAACAAACGCCGAATGACCTTTTCGGACGGCGCGTGTATTAAGAAAGCCCCCCGCCTGCGTTCACACCGCTTTGCGGCAACAGTCCCCAGCTGCTCATTACAAAACTATTCAACTTTGGCTAGCAGACGGCATTTAAAAAATCGGCATTCGTTGCCATGGTGACGGCGATGAAAGCAGACGGCCTTTATGCTGTGGAAGAACACTGCGGTGCAGCGACATGAGGTGGGTGCTGAGGCCCTTCCCGCATGTTTTTCAATGGGCAGAATGCAAACAAAAAGAGTTTGAAATAAGGAAAGGTTGGTTTTTTTCTAACGCCTCAAAATTTGACAAGCCTTACACGAAAAGCATGTTCTTAGACCGGAGTTCGGAGATAGTTTTTTTACAACAACATGGGTCTAAAGTACCAACGGGCCGAACGGCCTGCATTTTTTAAATTTATGATGATAATGCAATCAATGCAAAGGTGCAAGCAAGCTGTACAAGAATGACGATTATAATCTCTGGAGAACGGGAACATGGAGAACAATGGAGAGGTCCCTAGTTCGAAACCAGGACCAGACGGATTGTTTCGGTCGCACACCAGTCACCTAGCTGTGTTTGGGGATTTGTGATTGTCCTTTGCCGCCCCCCCCCCCCCCCCCCCCCTTTTTGTTCCCTTTCTCCAGGGATTATTATCGCAATTAATTACTATTGACACAGAAACTGAGGAACGAAAAAGTGCAGAGAAAGACGGGGAGATACTTCCGAGCTTAAATTCCTGGATAGTTATTTCAGGGTCCACTCAAAAACGACGGTGACTGCATGGAATGACTAACGCTGCTCTGATACAACATAAACACGGAACGGTCTTGCCGGAAGACGGTTCTTCCGGTGTGAGTCACCGTAGATCGCTAGAAATGAACAATTCGGAGCGCTCGTTTTTATAACTAGCAACTGTGTGTCTATTCTAGTTTCAACTTTCAATGTCACGTAACTACCAAGCAAGAGAGGCGTCGGCTTCGCTACGCGACAAAGTTCATGGTCCATTTTATTTTACTTTTTTTTTTTTTTTTCTCGCAACGCCGAGGTTTTGGTGGGTTAGGGCTCTGTAAGAATGAAAGGACGGCCAATGCGTACTCTTTCTAAGAACTGTATGGTTTCTGAATAATGATGCTACGAAAGAAACCATTCGATTCCGTGCTTTTTCGGTTTTTTCTCCGAGGTACTTGGAGGTGCAAAGGTGCGAGCGGAAATGACCCTGGGCCGTTCACGATGAGTTCGCAGTAACCTACACAACGCATTTTCAAGATACCTTAAGGCATTGATACAAAATACTAGGGCGTAATTTACCAAACACTGACCTGTATTAAGTAGGTTTCCGCCGACACTATCGTCCGGACGACGCCTGTGTCACCACGAAATTCGCCATTTTGATGCTTCAACACTAGCGCCATCCGTCGGTGTATCATTAAAAACAAAATTAAAACTCTAGACTCTCACAATCCAATGTTCAAATTTAAAAATTTAAAAACAAATAAAATTTTACGTAGAAATTTGACAAAAAAGTTTAGAAATCAAAAACAAATATTGGCCTCGAGATTGACCTAGAAGTGGCGCTACTGTCGCGCTATCATCATCATCATCAATGCGGGACGTTTGAGCGCGAGAGACTGCGAGTGGCTAGACTGCGTAGATTCTTGCTAATCATGTCGTATTACACCTGAGACTGCGGTGGAAGAGATCGGAAGAACTTCCAGTAGAAGGAACAGACACAGAGAACGTCTTTTGGAGACGTTCTCTGTGTCTGTTCCTTCTACTGAAAGTTCTTCCGATTTCTTCCACTGCAGTCTCGGGTGTAATACGACATGATTAGCTACCACCAGGTCGCCTGCACTCTCACCGTCTTTTCACTAGATTCTTGCATTTATATTGTCGCATAGTATCGGTGGAAAAACAATTCTAGCTGAAAATGGTGCGGCACCGTTAAGTGCTTCAGTGAAATCGAATCGTTTTACCAGCGTACTGCCTAAATTTAAACAATCGCTTACGACGGATGCCTGTCTCCGGGTGAACTGCACGATTTATGTTAAATATTTGTTAATCTTAAATTAGATGTATCGGTTCACCAGCGTGGGAATTCAACAACAAAACAATTTTTCCAACAAAAACAAAATTTTATACAGCAATATTTATCGCGCGGGACTGATTTTAGACATGAGGAAGATACATAGAAAGGGGGACGGACAACGTTGTTCGTCCCCCTTTCTATGTATCTTCCTCATTGTCTGGGAGGCACTCACTTGATCGAATGACGTTTTAGCGAACGCCCACGTTTCATCGAACGACATGTTAGCGAAAAGTCGGACGCCGCGAAGCGGCGTTTTCGGGTGGGCCAAGTGAGTTCATATTTTTGTAATGAGCTGCTGCAGACTGTCGCCGCGAAGCGGCGTCAAGCGCAGCGCGACGGATGGGTTAACGCGCGCCCCCGTTATTCGCTAAAACGACCATTCGCTCAAATGTCGCCGTTCGCTAAAATGTCATTCGCTCTTGTGATATGGACCCCTCATGTCTAATTACCGTTACCACCACGCTCGTTTTGTACTTGACTGATTTTAATTTGCGGCTATTTCGTCCGTTTTGAATCGCGCGCCACAAAGTTGGTATATACGTACGTCACGGAGCGACGTATTCCAGCCACTCCACGCGCGTCGAAAGAGCGGGAGTTTTAAATGTGGAGAGGTTGTGACTCCGACTAAATTACGTCGTGTGGCGTAAATATTGCTAAACAAATTTGTTTTTTCGCGGAAGATTTGTATTGTTACATGCTTGTCCCAATTAGGCTGTCTAAAAAAACACTTTTTTTTTCTTTGCAGTTACCCTTTAAGAACATCTTTAGCTTACTTTCGATGAATTACTGGAACCCATCAAAATAGTCTGTCAGTCCTTTTTGTCGATCATAAGGGTTCTGATGTCTATCAACGGCTGCTAAAGACCATCACTGGCTGCTTCAATCATTTTTGGTGCTTTTGAAAAAAAAATTGGGTTGTGTGTGTGTTTATACAGCCTAGAACTTGGTCTGCCTCACAGGGGCGACAGTCTCCCAGCTGTAGATGAGAAATTTAGCCAGTGCGGTACAAACCGCTAGCCTGGGGTCTTTAACGTGCGTCACGCAGTAGTGATACACGACCGCACGCCGGTACGATGCTCATCCAGATCGAAACGGGCAGGGGTGGGGCTCGAACCCAGGATCCCTGGGTTCTGCAGCGCGAGCTTTCGCTCCACGTGCTCCGAGCTGGTGTGCGCTAGACCACTCGGCCACCGATCCTTTTTTTTTTTTTTTCTTTAATACATAGAAGATTGCGCTAAAAATTCAGGTTACAAGGGCATCAGGTGAAAAGATGACTATGCACACAGTGATAGAAATGAGATGAAAAGTTAAGGTGATTGTCTTTCTGAACCACAGTCCTGGAGCACATTTTCACTCATGGCACTTCACAAACACTAACAAACAACGTTTCAGGTACGCAATAGTCTCAAACATTTCCAGATATTAAAAATCTGGAAGTCTTAAGCACGCATCAAAAAGAGGAAACCAGTCAGGCACCGGTTGGTGAGCTTCATAAACACTTCTTACTTTAGATATTTCTTCTAGAAAAATGGATTTAGTGGTTCGTGGTGTGTCTGCATTCCTGTCAATCATCCGGCATCTCCGGAGGCTGTGTAGGCCTATCAGCATGAATAAATCATAAGGAATGTTTGTTTCGGTGGGGACGTATAGAAAGCGAATACTATGTTCTGTAAAGTCTATGTCCTTCTTAAGAGTTCGTTGAAGGACATCCCAGAAGAAAACTGCATCTGTACAGTAGATAAAGCAATGTTCTATGGGTTCTGGTCGGTGGCATAAACGACAATCAACCGACCACGGTACGAAAAAACCACGCTCTTGGAGCCACCATTTTACTGGAAGCGTTGATGTGTGCAACTTAAAGAAAAATGTTTTAGCACTTGGAGATACGCACATTCGTTTCACTCGTTTTAAAACATCGCGTCCTTCACAATCGCTAAACCGTGTTCTGTATAGGGGAATAGGAAAGACACTTTCAATTAGGGCTTGTGATAGTCTTCTTCTTGATACCTCAAAAAGGAATTCTAGCGAGAAGCGGACTTTTAGAAACATGAAGGTATCGACTATCTCTTTCCAAAATCCCCAGAGTTTGCCTGGGGTAGAATTTGTTGTTGAAATGATCATGAAGGGCAAGTGATGTGCTAGTTTTCTTTGAACTACGGTAAGCAGAAAAGGATGGGATAAATTCCTAAAGAAAAATAGTCGCGAAACGAGCTGTCGAATGAATAAATGTGCCAGACCTAAGCCGCCAGTTTCCAACGAAAGGAATAAGTTGTCACGCTTCATCCGTTCCCAAGATGAGCTCCAGATGAAGGTCGCAAAAATTCTGTGGAAAGCTTGTACTTTTGAACGGCTACAATGTAATACTTGTAAGGCATACATTAGTTTTGACATTAAAAAAATGTTACACGCTGCTGCTTTTGCGAAGATGGAAAGATCTCGCGCCCTCCATGCCAATAATTTTCGTTTGATCTCAGTTACAACAGAATTCCAGTATAGATTATTGGATCTTGTTTGATTTAGTGGAACGCCAAGATATTTGAATGGACAACAATTCCACGACAACCCAGCAAAACGTCCTGGCATAGTTGCCCACTCCCCTATCCAGAAGCCATTAGATTTTTCGGCATTCAACCTCGCTCCAGTTAGTTCGCAATACTTTTCTGTTACATGAAGGGCTTTTTCCACACTTGCCTTATTCGAACAGAACAAGGCCACGTCATCAGCATACGCCAGTAACTTTACCTCAGTGAAGCAAAGTGTATAGCCACGGATATTATGATTCGTAATAATGCTCATGCATAGAGGCTCAAGGTATAAAGCAAAAAGAAGCGGGGATAATGGGCAACCTTGCCTAACTGAAGATTTAATATGGATGGAATCGGAAAGAGAGTTGTTTACAATTAGCCTCGTGCTGCTATTTTTATAACAGAGCCGAATGCCCTCTAGAAGCATGGTCCCTACGTTTGCGTGAGAAAGAAGTTTGAATAAAAATGAATGGCTTACTCTATCGAAAGCTTTGGACAAGTCAAGTTGAACTATAGCTACTTGATCTTGCTCATCGGATACAGAGTCAATCACAGATCTCGCTACGTGAATATTTGTTTGAATGTTTCGTTCTCGTATACCACAAGTTTGATGTTCTCCAATTAGATTATGTATTACGATGTGTAAGCGCTCGTTTAAAACTTTTGCGAAGATTTTATAATCCACATTACAAAGTGATATGGGTCTATAAGCTTCGACCTTTCTTAAAGCTAATGTGTCTTCTGTTTTGGGAATTAATACAGTGTGGCCATGATAAAAGGTTGGTGGTAGTGTTTGGTGCTCATATGAATCTTTAAGGACATCAAGTAGTAATGGGCTTAACAGATCAGAAAATTTCCTGTAGAATTCAGCACTTAAGCCATCAGGACCAGGTGTCTTGTTTGAAGGAAGAGCTTTTATGGCACTTTGAATTTCCTGCAAGGTCAGAGAACCATCGACTATTTGTTTTTCCTCGTCTGATAAGGAGGGCACGAGGCGAACTAGCTCTTCTATATCTGTACTTTCTTCGATTGGAATACTCTTCCCAAAAAGACTAGTGTAATAGTCGACAAAGGCTTCTCAAATATTTGGTGCATCTATTCTCGTACTATCTTTATGTTCAATTTCAACTATTTCTTTTGTTAAAGCATACTTTCGCTCATCCTCTAAGGACCTCCGTCCGGGCGTCTCTCCGAGTAGAAATTTTTGTGAGCGCGATCGAATCACTGCGCCTCGATGCTTCTCAGCATCGTATCGCTGGAGCTGTGTTTTAGTCATGTTTATTTCTTCTGTGTATTCACCGGGTTTCTTACTTTCAAGCTCATAAAGCGTTGACAGCATATTAAAGAGAGTCTTTAGTTCTCGCCTTTTTTCAAATGTGATAGTACTGGCGCGTTCGATTGCCCAATTTTTAACGTCTTGTTTGAACATGTCCCATTTGCAAAATATGTGTAGTGAGGGTATTTGTTGCACTCGTAAAAGGATTTCTGGGATACGGTCAGTAAATATTTCGTCATCTAGAAGAGTTGTGTTTAGTTTCCATAGGCGCCATTCAGGACGTACTGAATGCCGTTTCTTTTCACCAAGGATAGCTGAGACGAGACAGTGGTCTGAGAAAAATACAGGTTTCACTGTGTAATCTGAAATAGCCTCATAGAGTTCTCCAGAAATGTATATTCGATCCAGTCGTGCGTGAGAGGAGCGTTGAAAATGTGTGTAATGAACTCTGCTGCCTTTGTGTTCTCCAATGTCAGCTAAGTTGTTTTCGTTAACAAGGGACTGTAGCAACTCTGCACT